CGTCTTAAATTTTGCATGTAAAAAAGTCGTTTATTAAGTGACTTTTACTACTACTTATGTAGGTAGTCTTTGTCTGAAAATGAAGAGATAATTTTGGTAAATGCTCCTAATTTTTGCCACAGTGGTCCTTGGGCCCATACTTTTATTAGCCACTGGCCAAGTATTGCTATATGCTCATATGTACAAAGTTTCATTTAAACATGATCAAAATAACGCAATTTATACAAAGTCCCAAAAAATCAGTCCAATTCGACTGTAGCATTCTTTAGTTAATTTGATCTACATGAAAATAGGATTTATGTAAGGTTACATCCATATCTGAAACTGTATCTAATACTTAGGAGGGGAGCTTGCGAGGTTGATAATAACAGATCTTGATGCCCTTTGGATATGTGATAGGGTCCCGCGAATGTACTAAAACCCTGAAGTGGTTTGACTCCATGGTCACATTTACGCCCGCCACATCCACTCAAAAATGCCCAAAAAACGCTGTCACTCCAGTTTTCACTCACTCAAATCCACGCCAAAAATCCAATTTTACTCGGATTTTGAAAATTCTTTGACCATTACACTCCCAGATAGTTGCTTTCTTCAATCCAATCTCAAACTCAATTTTGCTGATTATTATTTCGCAGGCATAATTTGCGTTGTTGATTACTACAACAATGCTCATTCAGAATTTTAAATTCTAAAAATACTAAAAATTTCAAAAAATTGAGTTTGAGATTGGATTGAAGAAAGCAACTATCTGGGAGTGTAATGGTCAAAGAATTTTCAAAATCCGAGTAAAATTGGATTTTTGGCGTGGATTTGAGTGAGTGAAAACTGGAGTGACAGCGTTTTTTGGGCATTTTTGAGTGGATGTGGCGGGCGTAAATGTGACCATGGAGTCAAACCGCTTCAGGGTTTTAGTACATTCGCGGGACCCTACCACATATCCAAAGGGCATCAAGATCTGTTATTATCAACCTCGCAAGCTCCCCTCCTTAGTTAAGCCTCCCCTGCCAAGGCAACTTACATATTAATTCGATTTTAAAATTTAATTAATTCATAAAATGTGTTATGGTAGCTCATCCCAAATTTTAAAACCCCGACTTTCCCCGCATCACGTGGGAATTTTCTACCCGAAACTCACAACTATTAAAACCGTATCATGAGGTGCGCAAAATCCTGCAAGAATTTTAAATATCAATATTAAACAAAAATGATTCTTGGTGAAGGTGTGAATGAACATAGACAATCTTGTATTTGTATTTAATGTATAATGTAATGCTTGCATTCTTGTATTTAATGGCAAGCTACGTGGACACAAGAGGCCACTAAAACCCATCTAGTATCTGCACAACTAGATAAGCGTACATACATAATATGTAGTTATGCAACAGTTTGCTTATCTCAATTATACTGGTGGTATTTGACCTTACATATTATGTATACTACGTATTTATCTACATCTGTTCCATCGTGGTCATGGGATTTTGTGGTAAATTTTCAGGTATACGTGTCGAGGGTGTTGCCAAACCTAAATTGACCTTGTCAAAATCTAGGAAAAGATGGATCCCCTCTGTGAAATAATATTTAGACTTTTTTAGATGCGTAAAGATTAATTTATTAGTATTGACAGGATGCTACAATTATCCAGATTACCGATAGGAAAGTCACAATTTATTTTAAAAACATGTCTTGTTCGCACTAATTTCCTAATAAATCTTAATTTTCTAGTTAGTTTAAATATTTATTTCATGACAATGTTTCGGATGGACCGTATAATTATTCAGTTGCCTTGTTTTAGGATTAAGCAACCGCATTAAGTTTTTCCCGTACTCGTCCTTCTTATCCGTACAATAAACAAATACATCCAGCACCTCGGGGACCTGCCAATACCTCAAGACCTTATTAATCAGGCAACCGGTAACGTTAAAAATCTCGAGTTTAATAACTTCCGGTAGGATGATGGGAGTAATCGTTTCGTTCCTAGAATTTGGACAAGTCGCTAAATCTCTTCCATCCAAGGTCACATTTTCCACCCGATTTCGCAGCCAATCTAAAATCTTGTTCAAATTTAAGACCTCGTCCAAGCCTTTGGATAAAATTTGCAAATCAATTTTCGACCCTCGATTTCCTAAATTAGGGGCATCATCCCAGTCCCAGTCATCCGGCTTTGAATACAGAGAACTTATCGATAGGGCGGTGGTTTTATTTCTGATCAACTTGAGGTCGTGGAGGCATGTTATTTTTACCGTGGTATTTGGCTTATCAGGATGTCGAGTGCTTATCTCACCTTGTAAGGTAGTGGAATTTATCAAGGGTAGGAAAGTGGTAGTAAATGGTTCGGTCGAGTGGTTAGGTCCGAAATTCGGGGCAAGTGTGGGTTTCGGTTCCGGGCTTAATACCCCGGAAAAGGCCAAAATTATCACGCTTAGTAAACCCAGAATGATCAAGAGTGCAACGAAGAAACAGGTAATGATTGGGATGGACATTGATGTGGATATTCCGGTTGTGCTGTTATATGAAGAAATCTATCAGCCAGACACTGCGTAAACTGGTCATATCCGGTCCGACCCGACCGGATTATCCGGTCGAATCGGATCGATCAAATGGTGCGACTATCCGGTCGTTGAAAATAAAATGCATCCGATCAGTCCGGTCGTTTGCTATAGAATGGTTCCGATTCGGACAAACCAATCCGAAACCATACAATCCGTAAGCTCGGATGACATCCATGCTATAGTAAACGGATGGGTAGAAAAACAGATCCGGTCCGACCGAACGGATATTTTCCGACCGGATATTCCCACTTTACTAAGGTAAAAAAACAATTGCTTCAACCTTGTTACACGAACGTCACTGTAAGTCTGGGCCAATTGGCTTCCCTTGGATATTTCCGGTTATGTAACGACAACTGGGACAATCGGCGGTGACAAGTTGCATGTTTCCTGCTTTATACGTGGGATGCTCGTTGTTCTATACATAGGTAGATTACACATACATATATTTTATTAGATTCGATTTATGTCAAGCCGAGTTTGGAAATTTCCTCTTACACATTATAAGCCCCCGGGGGGCCGGTAGTCACGACGGATTTGAACGTTTCCGATTTCGAAATGTTAAACGAATTCGTGTAGGATTTCTCCTCGTGGTGGTGCTGAGACATTGTAATTTAGAAATATAAAAGATTTTGTAGCGAATGAATTTATGTACTTATGCCACTGCTCGTCATTGAGTGGCAATTGAACTCAAATCCAGAGTGCATAATGAACCAGTAGCTGAAGGTTATGGTGGTACATGCACCTGTATGTATGCACTTTAATGTGTACGTGTATTAATATGTACATGGTGTATAATAATTATCTGACCAGCCCCCTAAAGTTTTCATATTTCGCAACTAAGCAGCGTGTTAATTTGGTTTTAAAAACTAGTTACTTTGTAGAATTGTTATTAAAGCCCTATTACCAGACTGTATTAAATTTGAAACCCCCCAACTACCCGTGGGTATTGCGCATTTTGGCTACCCCAGAACCCACCAATACCCGCAAAACCCCAATACCCCAAAAACTGGGGGTACCGTACCTCGTATCTGTGATACATATTTAGGGACCGTTGTGCACTTTTTCGTCGGACCACAAGATTTTCGGTGAATCCTTTACTTATCATATTTTCATGAGCAACGAAAGTTAGGTGGGTAATCCGGGATGAAGTTTGCTACTTGTTAAGGCAAAACAGAACAGGCAGTACTAACTTGCCCCTGACTTCGGGTTTCCCCTTGGTTGGACAGTATTTCGAGCAATATACAATTTTTTACACGCCTTGCCCCCTTCGAAAACGACTTGAAGTTTTATCCCGTCGGATAATTATGGTACCATGTATCTACCTAAATTGCAGTGAAGCATCGCTTGGCATAAGTTATGCGTTTACCCACAAATATTGTAATGATCAACTTAATACTCTGCATTGTTTATCAGTGATCGCGGAAGGGTGTAGGACATAAGGGGTTATGTCCCCATTATCTAAATTTTGCCTTGGCGATATGAAATGCATTTGTCCCTGTGGTCTCGTTTAACTGAAGTACAAAACATCCATCTTTTACGGCCACCTAAATACAAAATGGTTACAAAATTATCCGGCAATACGGTAATAATATTGCTTTATCCTCCAATTTCAACTATAATTGATAAAATTTATACGTTAATGCTATTAAAATATACATACAATGCATTTCCTAACAATTACAATGCATTTCCAATTTCATAATTTTCACAAATTTGAATGAAACTTTTATCTTTTGTAGATAATCTTCAAATTGTGTTTGCAAAAAACATTTGCACAATTGTTTAAAGTTAGAAGCTGGACTTTTTCTGAAAATATTTTTAAGCATGAAAATAGGCAAGCAAAATATTAACAAACACTTCGTGTGAGCTTCTGATATAATATAATATTCAATTCAATTTATTTATTAGCATTTGATATGGCCATGAGTCCTCATCAATAGAAATTACAGAGCTAGATATGTAAATGTAAATAAAGTAAAGTAGTCAGAGGAATAGTGGGAAAACCTGGCTATGGTGTAGAGCCAGGAAAACCACTATCACCTCTGGGAATGTGGCCCAGAGGTCCATTCGGCTCTGACTACATCACCCAGGCAGGACAAATGAGTGATAGGGATCATAGGCAGATTCCGCGAGGAACTGCTGATATCCAAATGAGGACGGCGTCGTGACGGCGGAAGCGAGGTGAGTGAAGGTTGTTGGGCGGGGCGTCCACGGACCACGAAATACCTTAGCGCCCTCACGGGCACGGGCTACGTGTCCCCTTCACGGTCACACAGTGTGACCAGGGCCGAGCGACACTACCCACTTGCCCCTTCACCCCTCACAGCACAACCGGGCCATGGGACCCCCGTAGGCCCGACTACACTGCCCACCGCCATGCACGACCCCGTCCCCACTCTTCTACCAACCGCCCCCACGGTCACCACCCCGATATACCAAACAATGACCTACCTGGGGGGAGTCCTCCATGGCGTAGATCCTCCCGTGCACTTGGTCCGGCGAATCCATCTTCGCCTGATGGCTCGGCTTGTCGTTGCTGGGACGGGTGTGGCAGGGGGTGTCACCAGGCACGCAGTTGGGGGGTGTGAGTGGACGAGGCTCACAGGGCGAAAAGCCTGGGACACACTTCACTTGCCCTGGCACACCCGCGACCCAGATGGAAGAGAGAGAATCCAGTTGCAGAGCGAGAGAGAGACACGTCGTGCACGGTTGGAAGCCAAAGAGGATCTCGATATAATATAATATGTCCCCCCGATCAAAATTATCTTCCGTGGCAACTGTTATCTAATTTCATTCTCCGATAAGCATCGTCAAGTCAGCATACTATCATGCATTAACACAACTATTTATGACTTGACTAGTTATGTGCGCAGTTTGCACAATTGTAATAAGTATGAACGTAGATATGCATTTTTCGCCAATGTAAATAATCTACAAAAAGTAAGTAATTAATGAATTACATAATTGCTTAACTGCTTTAGTCGTGAAACTATAATGTCGTGTAATGAAGTGCCTCGTATTACAAGTAGATAAATATGTAAATACATACATATTAACACATGTTAAAAACAATTTATAAACATATGTACAATGTTTATTTAACATTATGCACCTACTTAATTGCTATAAATACTTACTGGGCCCACTGTAGCTGTAAGTAGCTGTTTTCTTCGAAACGGCTAGAGATAATGAAATTCTGATGACTGAATTGGATTCCCCGTGCGATTTTGCATAAGAACCACGAATCAGTTTTTTACTACTTGCAAAGCAAATTAGAATGGAAAATATTGATTGGAAGCGGGCGGCGAAAATTTTTCACTACAAAAATGGGGAGAAAAATGGCGAATTTTAAAAGTGTGGCAGAAATCGAACGTGCACTATAATTTTGTCCGACGGACTATAATAAGGTTCATGGGGACCGGGTCGACTAAGAACAGTCGAAGAAAGATTTTTTGAAATCGTACAAAGACCACACCCATCATGAAGGCGCTGGAAGTTGGAATCCGAAGAAATTCAAGAAATTCCAACGGAAACCAACCTCACAGGTGACAGAATAGAAGCAGATTATCCAATGAGCCCTCAAATTGAACCTTAGACTTAGGCCTTTGAAATGTGGTACTTGCCACAGGCGGATCATTCCCCAAAGGAAGACCAGATTAAAGAAACCCAGGAGTAACTTCAAGCGGTACGCTCAGAAAAACTGAAGAGGATTCTATTTACAGATGAGGAGATTATAACATCGGAAAAATCTTTTAACAAGCGAGTTGGCCTAATCTACGCCAAATCTGTCAGAGACATCCCCCAATATGGACAATAGGTCAGAAAGCCACATTATCCAGGTTTTGTCATGATTTTGGTAGGTGGGGGCAAATTGGGGTAATTCCTCTACATTTTGTTGAAACTGGGGGGAAGGTGGGGGGATCAAATTTCTTAAAATACGTTTTCGAGTCCGTGCCATATCCCCTAAGTGAGATCCAATTCATTGAAGTCGACTGGACCTTGGAGTACGACTCAGCAAGAGCTTATAGTGCAAAAAATGACCCAAGCGTGTGTAAAAAACAAAATTCCGAACTTTACATCCACTTGGAAATGGTAATTCTACTTTCAGGATTTGAATCTCCAGATTATGAAAAATGGTCAAAGTTAGGGGCAAACGTGTGTTCTAAGTCTCATAGAAGTCTAGGGATCCGAAAAAATTTTTTGACCACGGAATGGAACACTATGCCCTGGAATTAGTGCGTGCTTCAGCAGAGGACTGCAGGCGGTTTCTGTAGCGCTGCGTTAACGCCGAGGGAGGAAATTTCGAAAACTAAAAATTGTTTTCTACTCAGAAATTAACTGGCTTTCAGTTAAAATTAACTAGAAATTCGTAAAATAAAAACTGTTAAAGTCACAGGGTTTCATTTCACTTACAGTTTCAGTGGGCCACCTAGTATATAATAATAAATTTCTCAATAATTAAGTAAACTATATGTACAACTAAATACTGTCAATACACGAGACAATTTGGGATTGTAAGCTCATTTCTGACAAATTAAGATCGATACACCCATTTTCATCGGAACATTTAACCCTTGTAACATTACGCTGTCGTAGAAAAAAAATTTTCAAACTTTCCAAATCATCCTTTTTGAAGGATGTGCATTTAAAACTAACCCTAGTTAATCTCGGAGCTTTCAAGTAATATCCTAATCGTGCATAAAAGTTTGAACAGTTTTCCAAATTCTCTAAACTTATGGCTTGCACATTCTGCGCAAATATAATTTTTCTCTGAATACTGGAATCCTTTGATACGTGACAAACGGCCCCTCCAACAAATGAAATTTGTATAATTTGACAAAACTTGTCAAGGAACGCTTGCATCTCTAGATTTGTCAACGTGACAAAAATCGTCAGTCCAATTACCCGCTCGTGACAACGGATTTCTTGTTCGTCATGTAGCACTAAGGGCTCCGTTATGATTAAAATCGTTTCGGAATCGTGACATAGATCGAGCACCGAGTTCTTCCAATTTGGAAGAAGTTCGGTTGCGTTTACGAGAGAATTAGCGTCATCAAACTGCAGGGATGGATTCACTTTGCATAAGGATGTGGGCATTTGAGTTGTTGTATATGAATTATCCGAACGATCCATATTCGGCCCAAAAATATTTGATATTAGATGTATTACAAGAATGAAAAATAATACGGCGCAGCCAATATGAAATAATATACAACAAGCAAGATCAAGAGGGATTTCGGGTTGGGTTGAAACTCCTGCTATTTTTTCGTCTCTTTGTTACTCCTGGTATGGTAGACGGATCCATAAAAATTACTAGAATTACCGTAAAGTATTTATGTCGTTACAGGGTGGTTTAAATGTCAGGTTACCATGGAATATTTTTCAATGGGAAAAATTCGTAAATTTCCATTAGTTACAGATTTGGGATTGAGATTTTTATTAATTTTTATCAAAACTTATGGAACACTGATGGCAAAATTCTTAAAATATTGAATTTCAGAGGCAAAACTTCGGTAACTACCAGGAGATTTGTGAATTTTTCGCATTGAAAAATTTTCCATTGAGTTTTCGTCGGTATTTTGGTATGTTAGCTCTCAATCTGCTTCTGTGTTAACGTCTGCATGCGAGGAAACCAAAAATGTTCATGGGCCCCTAGAAAATCAGGGGTGGTCCCAGACCCCATAAAGCATATATATTCTGAATCCACGTGCCGAGACCTTTCCAACGATACCCCATTTATGGGGTGTTCTGAGACTTAAAATTTTCATCCAAAATTTTTCCAAGTAGTTTTTTTGAAATTTTGTTTTTCGAATTTCAAAAAACGCTCGATTTCGCAGTTTCGACGATCTCGCAGTTTTTGCGACTTTCTGCCCCTCCCCCTCGGTCAGGGGGCGGAGTTGAACCAAATTATTGGTACCGTTGAACTCACAAAAATCACCTCTACAAAGGGTGTAAATGTTATCAACATCAATTTTTTTTCTGTCTTTCGAAATTCCGGTTTACATTATTGCTACTCTATATAGAAAATAACTGTGCTCTACAAAAACATATCTCAGACTGTTGATCGTGAACCTTCTTAAAACTAAGCCTGAAACATCAAGTATTTAACTAAACACTAACAACAGTTATGGTTTAAATAAAGGAGGGCCCGCCATAAGCATTGCATGTAAAAAGTCTCTTATTTAAATGGTCAGACCATATGTAGTATTTAGTTGCAAAGTAATTTAATTTTCCAATATCGAAATTTAATGAAAGTTACATAAGTAAATAAAAATGGATGAACTGGAGATTTTCATGAACGCTATTACCTCTACTAAAACAAGCCTCTTATTAGAACAAAACCAACCATAGTGTGGTATTTGAGAAATTTGCGGAATAGCAAAGCCTTTGCTGCAAAGGTTTTTGGTTGGCATTGGCAAAAACGTCCTTTTTTACCTTTAAATAGGAGACTTTATAGTTTTCACATCTCCGCTTTCCGGTTATAGAAAAAGCGCGGTTTTGCCAATTATCCCCTTAAATCCATAAAATCCGTAGAGGTTCTCAAGTGTTGGATTTACAGTTGTTTGTGTTTATATACTTCATTTTTTTAGTTATGCCTTTAATAAGATCAGAGAAAAGCATGCCTGACGTGTGCATTTTAAGTAAAGCTGTGTAGAATTTAGACATTGCCAGAAGGAGTGAAATATCAAAACTTATGTATGTATGTAAGTTAGAATAATTTACGTGGAATTTTAGCGATCTCGTCGTCAGTCAACGGAGTATTTTGGTTGGTAATGATGGATGGGTCAACCGCCATCGTGTCTGAATCGTGCTGTGCAGCTATATTTTTTGCATATCGAGTTTTTCCATCCAACCGATTTCGGCCTATTTTTGCTAAACGAAGCGAAAAATAAGATAGATACATATGTATTAGATACATAATCAACTTATATTAACAATGCGATGACGCCAGGGGTCTCGCTCCGATTTCGACGAAACTTCGCACTATGAAAAATCCCGAAAGGCTTGTTTAATTATTTGTCTAAGGCTACATAATTATCGTGGTTTTGTCAAAATCCGAGCGAGACCGCTGGCGTCATCGCATTGTAAGTTACTCAACCAATGCATGCATATGTACATACATATAATTTGTACATATGTTAGTATATTAAAGGCTGTTACCTGTAGAAAATTTGTTAACTTGACTAAATCGTGAAGTGCGGGTCAACCTGCATATTTATAATCGGGTCATACGACCTGATCCACTCACCAAGTTCTTTTCTGCATTGCGACAAGGTTCAAACGAAATTAGTATTTTAAATCAAGCTACTTCCAACTTTAGAAAATTCTAGAAACCAATTCATGATCCTTACTTGCACACCGAGCTTATTTTAGTGTTACTCATCCTCAGTCACATGAGTGCATTACAAATGTAGCCTCCACTATCGACTCAATCCTTCTGGCCTGGTTATTCCACGTTATCTTATCTATTCTTGTTTATCACCAAACATACATTGCCATACATAATCGTCACAAACACAGGTGTGCACAAGATATGTACATTCGGACAGTAGTATGTACATATTTACATAAATATGTATTGACTTCTCACTTTCGTGCATATATTCATATTTAGATGCACTCCACGAAATCCGGTGACTCAACCGGGTCTGGTGGTCGGGAGGGTGGTGGTTTTCTTCCGTGTGGTAATTCCGAGTACCACTGGGTTGGTGGTAGGTTATTTCCAAGGTGACACCGAGCGGTGGCAAATGATCACCATTCCGGTAGAGCCACAAATGTATAGCCACCGGCCGGTGATAGAATTTCTTAGAATGTATTTGCACAGTATTTTTTCCTCACCACACTGGTTGTGATTTCGTTTAGTAGTGCACATACATACTTTGTTACTGAATGGTAAGATTTTCTTACGACTGCTTTACTACACTACAAATAATTTTGAGACAAATCGACTAACTGCCTAAAGATACAGCATATGTACACGTTACTTTTAAAAAATACCGTGATTTGTAGAAAAATTGCATAAGAAATTTTAAAAATTTACAATTTTCACATTTTCTCAAGTTTATTCATTGAAAAATGCGAGGAATGTAAAACCCTTCAACTTGATACGAAGGAATCTTTCAGTCACTTCCATTCAAATGTTCATGACCATTGACTATAATACTACCGTAAATACTTTATTTATAGCCGGGTCTAAAGACAGGACAGATCCGGCTACAATTGCAAACCGGGTATAATTGGAGACCCGACTAATTTTTTTTCAGGTGATGAATCAATTGAAACATGTAAGAACAGGCATAAGGTAATCAGAGATTACCTTATGTATTAAATTTTTCAAACTTGAGCTCAAGCCCCGGCTATTAACAGAGTATTTATGGTAAGCAGTGGCGCAACTATATTTTGGGGGCCCCTAAGCAAATGACGAAAAAAGTTTTGTGTGTTTATGTCTTTTTGTCAAAAATCTGCATACTTATCTACGTGTGTATGTAGGTATTTGACAACCGTTTGATTTTAAATTTCAAACATACACAATAAAACTTACAATGTGGACGTTTAAGACCAATTAAATTCATCGATTAGGAGTTTCTTTAACTAATAAAATTTTTTAAATTTGTAAATTATGTATGGTTAGCAGCCTTGGGGGCTCCTGAAGTCGCGGGCCCCTAGTTTTTGCCTACTGTAAATACTCTATTTATAGCCGGGGCTAAAATCCAAAACTAGGGGTCTCGGACTCGGCTACAATTAGAGACCCGGCTAAATTGTGTTCCACCCAAAATTTCAAATTTTACAAGATCATTCTGACTAAATTTAAGCTTTCATATTTATGCCATCATAACCCATTCACTTTAAATCTACATCTTTAAACGAGGTTTTGCAGGGTTTTTTAAAATTTTCTGTCATGATTATATCGATTATTAATTTGAAATTGATAAGTAAAAATTAGTATTTCAACTTATTCGTTGATTAGCATAAGGTGCAACGTTTATCTTGAATGGGCTATGAACGGGGACACAGCGGACATGCCGGGCCATAATTAAGGACCCGGCTATAATTAGAGACCCGGCTAAAATTTTGAAATCTTGGTCCCTAGACCCGGCTGTATTTGGAGACCGGCTATGATTAGAATAGGGCTATACATAAAATGAGGTTTTACGGTATATGCTAATTGCGCCACTGATGGTAAATAAGTCAAATGAATCAAATTTAACTGGGATGAATCCAACCAGATTTTGTGCAGTGTATGAAAACCATCTTATCTCATCTCGTTGTGTTCCATCCGTACGAGTTGCGTTAGTATGTACATATGTACGAACGTATGTTTTTGTGGGAGAAAGTGGGTACGCATACCCAACTACTTTCACGAAGTGGGGACGGAAATGTGCGAGAAAAATCGATACGCATCTTTCACCAGTAAATACACATGTTACATACTGACTTTTGCTAGGTCATCTTTTTCACAATGTAATCCTCCGGTGAATAAAATTAGTACAAAACTTGGAATGTCTGCATCAGACGATAATTGGAGTTCGAATGTAAGTCAGTGAGTTTAAGTATTTTGTGTTGACTTATTCGTGCAAAATTTTTTGCAAGGTTGATAAATAAATAAATGGAGACATTCATCTGGGTGTCCTCATTTGTTACAGGTTGTAACACAATTTTTCCAAAATACTCAGACTCAAAATGCAATAGCCCTTTGGCTTAGGGGTTCGGGGGCGGAACTGTCACCACGCAGTCACACGTTCGATTCCTCTCTGTCCGGGAAGCTATTTGCTAATCCTACTCGGCTCGGTGTTAGTACGGGGTGGGTGCTCCTCTCATGGTAGGGTGAGCCCGGCCAGACGGTCTGGCAATGCCAGAAAGGGGAGCCCTCGCAGAGTCCGTTCTCTGTGAGAAGATCCGACTCATCACCAGAGTTATATGGTGAGAAGGACAGTCATAGATTGGAAACCAGTTTGCTTTTAACTGATATCTGTTGACTTTAAAGGATTATTTTATTTTATTTTTTTATTTTAGACCGACTTGAATATTAGTATGAATATGTAGATTATATACATAAATTACGAATGTTCTGCAGGTCAGCTTGTATCCGGTCATTCTGGTCCACCTGTTCAACATGTTGGTTGTTACGGCAAAATGTACAAGTATGTAAATAAGTAAGACGGTTGGGTTAAATTATGAAATGAGCTATGTACTTAAAACTTGTCCAGGGTGCAGTTTATTGTTTTTTTTTCATTTATTTCACTTGCGACTTACTCCCACTTTTCTTTGGGGACAGAAACCGCATTTACTTCTCCGGTGTGCTGAGCTGTATCAGGTATGAATTGATTAAATTAGTTTTCAAATGGACCGAATACTCATTCCTCAGTAACATTTAGGTGGCTGTAAAGTCCTTTACCGATGACAAGGCGTCCTCAATGAGCTATGCGGAGTGGGCTGAAACGAGGATTTCTCAAGATTTAAACCACGTCACGCAATATTTGCATCCAAAGAGGAGAAAGCGAACCAAAAGGCTGGCATATTTTTCATTTTCCAAATTTCCTGCGTATTTTTTTTGCTTTGAATGCAGATATCTCCACCAATCCTGCGCATTGGCAGGTAGTTCCATTTGCAAATTTCATACTAATTACATTTATGATCGATTGACACGTGTTTAAAAAAGTATAAGGTTCGGATTAAAAAAAAAACTTTTTTAATTCGAAAAAAAACAGTTTTTAGAAGAATAGTAGTTAATGTTTAAAAAATTATTTCTTAACACTTCAAAATTTTATTATTTTATTAGGTATTGTCAATTAAGTCAGAGACAGGTGACTACAGCCACATATATGAATTTTGACCCTGCAAGGGCCCAATTTCATTGTCCCGGCATTGTGCCGGGACAATGGGATGAACCTTCGCTCAGGGTGGCTTGACCGACATCAAAGACGTGTTTGCCCCCCTTCTGGAAATCCTCCATCCTTTGGTGTTTGTTTCCTTAGTTTGTTTGCTCGCATTTCACATTTTTTAACAGCAATAGCAACGACATGAAAAAAAAATCAGCCCGAGTGTTATATTTAATTGGGAATATCTAATTTTCCCCAGTTAAGGTGTGTCCACTATATAGTTGGATTGATGGATTTTAAATGGTACTCGGCAGTTGGTGGTGGTTGTTGTTTAGCTATATGCTTTTTTGGAAACCCAATTTCAAGGGCAACTATCAGGTGGAAAGCCCTTTTTATCAGAAAGTCTAAATTCAATAGAAATCAGGGTCAAAGTGAAGACCTCGCGAATCGAGTTTTTCACAACTACAAAATCGCCACTTCACGTTATTCGAACAAGACGTGGCAGGAGATCAAAAAGGAAGGATGTCCCAAAACAACAATTTTCCTTAACATTTCGAAGTATTACCATGACAAAAAGTGAAATTCAAAAAACATTCCACATCAACTCTGGTCATGACCATCCACCAAAGCTCGAAAAACATTTATAAAATCTTCGGCACTAATTCTTCGACGTCACCTCGTTGTGCCGCTCTGGTACTGAAATTCTCAAAAATTTTATTGCGCAACATTAAAGTTCGCAAACTGAGGATTCCGGAAAAGTTCAAACAAAGTTCCACAAAGTACGTTAAAGACCAAAAAATTACATGCGAAAAATTTTGCAAAAAAATGTGTCGCGAAATGTCATGACAAATTATCATTACTTATGACAAGACCTACGTCGAAGCTGATCCCCCAAAGACTTCGAAAAGCACAGTTTTTCATTCAGGCAACCCTGTGAGTGTGGGTTATCAACAGAAGTTGTACGTGAAATCTAAATTCCCTGCAAAATTCCAAGCAAGGCTTACATTGAGACAAATGGGCTTAAAACAGAAAACCCTCTAAATGCCCCTACTTGCGAAAAATTGAAAAGTTTTTGGCCTTGTGTAAAAGTTGATACTCTAACCGTCGCTCAAAGGCAGAAAAACTGGAAAATTTCGAACTTTAATGGCGAAAAATCAGCAAAGACATTCCGCAAGTGGGTGGAAAATCTCTAATTTGAGGGTTGGTGCGGAAATTGTCATTGGTGGCCCAGAAGAGGCTCAGACAAATCGTCTGCGACAAACACTGACGGACATGGTTCGCGGCTACACTACCCCAAAGGTTTTATAAAAATCTTCTAATTAGGTGGAACTCCACAGGTCATGGATCCCAATCCAACTATATAGTGGACACACTATAATTAGATATTTTATAGAAGAATGTATGTTTATTAATTGCTTAAAAATCTAAGTATGTAGGTCGAAATAGGTTTTCCAATTTTATTTGGTGCCCTTCCCTACAATCGCAATACTGCATATGTATGTATTACAATTAGTGTATATTAAACAATTTTGTCTTCGTCTTAAATTTATATTTAATAAATATACGAAGAACATTAGAATTTAGAACAGTTTTCAAAAATATCTATGTAGATACGTAATAATTTTTCATAGTTTTCTAATTTGGCTGAGAAAAACATGATAGGAATAACTCACATTGCCAATTAGCTAATTTTTGTATTTCTGTACCTAAAGTCATGTACATAATTACGCAGTATTAATTAATTAATAACACTCTTCGACTTTCCTAGTTTTAATGCAACTTAAAAAAAAATAAACACAATAATTCTGAATATTAACATTGTGTACCCTTCCACTCTAAAAGATATCCGGTAACTAAGTTATTACTAGGCCGAGTATCTATGTATGTGACTCCACCGCATGTTAATTAATTTATTATGTACACTCAAAACAAAACCGTGTCAATATATGACTTAACCGCCTTGGTTACAATTGTCATTCCGAGTAGTTATGAATTTTTTCCGTCCGGTCATAACATTATAAAATCATCATAACTCGGATTCAACATTGTAACCAAGGCGGTTAAGTCATATATTGACACCGGCGGTGTTGATTCGACAAATTTGTATGCTGAGTGTAGTGGTAGACATTTTGTTGCCAAACGGGTAATAAGCCCGGTCGGTCGCGTAATTTGCAAATATTACCAGTTGGTAACTAATTTTCTACGACTCAATAATAAATAAATTACTATGCGGTAGAGTCACATACATAGATACTCCACCTGGTAATAACTTACAATGGAGGTCTCCCAACGTATGCTCACAGATTTGGACGAAACTAGCGTCAATCGAGCACAAATATAATTAGTATGAAATTTGCAAATGGCAATATCTGCCAATGCTCAAGTTTTGCGGAGATATTTGCATAAAAGAGGAGAAAACGCACCTTCAGGGTTTTCGAATTTGTCATTTTCAAAATTTGCTGCGCATTTTTCCCTCTTTGGATGCAAATATCTCCGCCAAACCTGCGCATTGGGAGATAGTGCCATTTGCAAATTTCATACTAATTATATTTGTGATCGATTGACGCTAGTTTGCTCCAAATCTGGGAGCATACGTTGGGACACATCCGTTGTTAGCTACCGGAGCATACATAATTTTGTTTTCACTCTTCTTCCCCCATTACAAAGTCCAGGCGCCCCTTCATACTGTTCCGCTCCACTTTGTCCATCATTTTCAGCTGGCCAAACAGCGTGGCGTCCGTCAACGCCAGGTATTTTACGACATTCTCATCGTCCTTAAATTGCGCCATAATTTCCGCCCGCAGGACCAACAGTTCTTCAACGTTTTGCCTAAAATAAAGCATAAAATAAGGACGTTTAACTTTTAAGTTGCACACGCACTCTTAATAATCCGGTAAAGTGATGATTTCTCGGTAATAAATTTGGTAATAATGTTTTACCAGGTGGTAAAAATCCGTTACCATGATGGTAAAACTTTATTACCAAGTCATTCCTACACGGTACAACTTATCATTTCCACTTTGGTAGAGTCATACATATACTTGTGCTTTTCGGTAACGTTTATTTACAGTGCGTTGAAAAATAATGTTCCCGTTTTGAAAATGAATGAATCTGAACTGAATTAAGTAAAATGCTTATGTATGCATGGTAAATCCAGAAATACTTTGTGTACACGTTAAAGTTACTCCGGACTAGTTTACTAATAATAAATAAATATTTACAACCTTCTTTAAATTAGAAGGATTGTGTAGCGGGTTATATCAAAAAATGGAGTCAAAAATCGAATCCTTGTGACACTTTTGTTTCTGTTTGAAGAAAATTATTGGCAGCTAATTTCAATTTTTTAGTAAAATTTCCTTCCCCAACGCCCCAGGGGGAATATTTGCCCCTAATATATTTCCTATTGCTAGATACATTTCTAGATATTTTTCTACATATTTACACATATGTAAGTAAGTGTCATGTGATTCCCAATTTTCGGCTTGATTTTTTGACATAACTCGCTTCACAATTTCAGCGTAGCTTGAAGAAACCTTGCATTGTTACACTATTCATAATTTTGAGACAACTCGTCACCCAGGGCGGTACTATGTATAGTACTCTATTTTTTGATCACGTGGATGTTTTGTCCCCAATGAAGTCAAATACATGGTGTAAAGAAATTATCTGACCAGGCAAGGTACACTCTGAAAACCGGTGTAGTTTTGACGTAAACACCACTTCTTAACAAAAGCTTTTCTAGTATGTCATATATTAGTGTCTGAGTGTCGTCTGGACGATTTTTGTATGTCGTGAAATTTTCTTGGGAGATTTCCTAGCAAATTTTTCAAATCAATTTTGGAAATATTTTTTTAGTAGTCAATTTTGTGGAAGCTTCTTCTCGGGTACCTGGTTTTTTTTCACATTTCGGTACCTCATATACTGAGGATTAGCCACAGGGTGACCATTGATTCAGGTCTTCTGCGTGTGTAAAATATATCTGCCCTTTGCGCAGGTAGTCAAATAGCCATTTTTCTTTGTAAAGTTGCCAAATTTAACCCAGATGTTGAAAGTTGTTGTCTGAAAAAGGTTTTTTTGGACTTTTACAAGCTATTTAATCATATTCAGTGGGATTTAAATAGATAATAGTAAATAATGGAACAGCAATTTTAGTCTTAAATCATTTAAATCGGTCTTGTGAGATTTGGGACCGCTTCACACTTTATTGTCGAACTACAAGATTCTCGGCAGATTGTTTTTAAAATCGTATGCTAAATTATGGAAGAGGGTGTGTGAGGTCGTCTGAGATGAATCGCGTGGCCTGCTAACTTCAGGTTTCTCGTCAACTTGTAGATATTTGGGTAAAATTAAAATTTGTGGCTTGCATGCATTCTCCTTCATCCAAACGTAGGATTATTTTTATAATTATTTCCACAAATGAAGATAAACGTCTGGGGGACATTGTCAGAAAAAATTAGTTTCAACAGAGAAACAAAGAAAGTTTCAACAACGTTTGAACGATTTTTTGGGGTGGTCAGATAATTTCTATACACTATGTACAAAATATCCGATCTATGCTTCCATGTCTAAAAACTCAATGTTCAGTTTTTTAACAACGTCACGTGTCTTTCCTACACGAGTTTTTGGCTTATTTTCCGTCTTGTTAAACATTACCGAAAAAAGATCAGGATATGTGCAAGGTAGGGAAAACCCCGGGTTTGCTGTTGAAAATCCATACTCAGGGGTTTCCCCTGGGTATTGCGGGTACCCGGGGTGTTGGGGGTAAACTGAGGATGAGTTAGGGTCTCACATATTAGTTGTAAAAAACATACTTTTTCTCTAATTGAGCTACAAAACTGCTCGCTAATTCAGTTTGAAGTAACCCCAGCACCCCAGAAACCCTTACCCTTACCCTCACCCTGTAGTACCTGCTGCGCTATATATAGACCATTTGTCCCATAATTATTTAGACTGTATTTAATATAAATTCAGACTGTCACAATTTTAAAAAATTTCCAGTAAAAAATCTAAAAATTCTTACTCGTATAGTTTCATCTCTCGCGCCACCACTTCGTACAAGCCTTTTCCCGCCTTCATCTGGTAAATGATATTGTTCAACTCGCCATTCACCAGGTCGCGCTCGAGGCCGACCAAATCGTTCTGCACGACCGCGAGGACGTTGGCCATTTCCTGATAGCGCGTGAAGAGCGGGTGGATCCGAAACTTGTCGGGGAGAGAGATCCCCTCCGCGAAGGCGAACAGCGCGATGACCGCGGTCATGCCGAACTGTTCCCCCATGAAGTACGCGGACGCGGCGGGATTCACCGTGTAAACGCGGCTGTGTCGGAGCGATTCGGCAAAGTAGAGGCGGAACATGTAGTACTCGTACCTGTTCAAAAAAGTATTTTTTTATTCATTCAAAACTCCGTGGGGCAGAAGATTTCCATTTGTAATCAGTTCTTTTCTTCATTTCATTTTTCTTCATCTGACTTCATTTCTTACTTCGCCCCATGTATTAAGCATACGGTGAAAAATGAGAGAAGCCTTTTCATTCACAGGCATTCATTGGAAATGACGGAATCTTTCAGTTATTGTCATGGAAATGACGGAAAATTCATTTTCACTCAGTCTTCATCATATAGTGAGTAAAATGAATGAAAGTGAATTAGTGTTAATTTTCATCCACAATGGCAGAATATTTATTTTTACGGAGTATCATAATCAGTCAAATGAATGAAAGCGAACAGGTATTCATTTTGATCTTAAATGACGGGAAATTCATTTTCCTTCACTATTTATCATAAAAAAATCAAAATAAATGAAAGTCAATCGTTATGAACATTTCGTTCAAACGACATGATAAAACTAATATAGATATATTCATTTACTACATATTATAACAAATCAAATGAATGAACCTGAACAGGTGCCGTAATGCTCTCGTAATTTGAAACATACCCCCCGAAGGAACCTTTCAGTCATTTACATACGTTTAAATAATAATAAATTCATTCCGATTCATTATAAATACATAAATTCACTATGAAAATCGCTCAAATGAATGAATCTGAACAGGTATAGTAATACAGTTTGAGTTATTCCTTCCGACAGAATCTTTCGTCATTTTCATTCAAACAATATGAAATTCATTCTGATTCACCATACATAATCCACTTTCATAATCCGTTAAATAAATGAATCTGTGTGGTAATCCCCTTACAATTTGAGACATTCCTCCCGCCCTCCTAAGCGCTGCAGCGCATTGAGCGCGTCCCGCATCGCGTGACACATGCAAATAAGCAACGGCTAGGATTGCAAGGCTTCCTCCAACTCTTCCGACATCTCGGAATCGTCCAATTTTTGCCACTGGTTGAGCAGGAGCCGCATAACGGAGGCGTGCCCGCCTTTCCGTTGCCCGCCCTGCGTCGTGGACTCCTTCACGTCCAACCAGTCGTCCAGGATGAGCAGGTTGGCGCAGACTTTGACCGCGGCCAAAAATTGGGACGAATCGATGGGTCCGTTGGGATAGTACCAGAGGGTGAATTCGACCCCATAATCGGCCAATTTCATGAGTTCCTCCCGCGGCACGGCCGTCCCGAAGTATTGGAGGAGATGCGTCTTGAATTTTGTCTTGATCCCGGGCAATGCCGCGAGTTCGGAGGGATTCATTTGGCGGATGGCCTGTTTTGGAAGGAAATAGGCACTCTTAATAATCCGGTGATTTCTCGGTAATAAATTTGGTAATAATGTTTTACCAGGCAGTAAAAATTCGTTACCATGATGGTAAAACTTTATTACCAAGTCATTACTACACGGTAGAACTTATCATTACCAGTTTGGTAGAGTCATATACATACTTGTGCTTTTCGGAAACGTTTATTACCACATTATTTACAGTGTGTTAAGAGGTTCAATTTTTTAGTGTGTATTACATATTCGCTACGAGTTGGCATGTTTGTATGGCAACATAGCTTTTTCAAAATTGTGAATTTTGCCAAGCCACGAACTGAAGGCACTTGGCAAATAAAAAAGTTTGGAAAATTTGATTCATATGGCTTGAATTTTGCAATGGGAAAAATTCGAAAATGTACATTAGTTTTGCGTCAGAAACTTGCAAATTAGGAAATTTTAAAATGAAAACTTCACGTAACTATGTAACAGAGATTTATAGACTTTTCCAATTGAAAAATTTTTGACAAGTATTTTGCGAACTAAATTCTAGCCAATTCATGGAGATGGACAAGTTCGCAAATTAATTTTCAAGCCAAATTTTTTTTGCGAACTTACGAACTTATTTTTTTGCGAACTTGCGAGCTTAACTTTTTGTGAAGAAAAGATTAAGAAATGTGTTCAAAAACCGGGTCAGACAAATTTGTAGTGTACAAAAATTATTTTTTAAGCGTGCAAGGACATTTTGCAGGGGTCGTTTTATTTTATACCTGAAAACAATTTTGTGGAACTTGAAATTATTTCGAACTATGTATGTAGGTGAGAATTTATTTTGAGAAATCGTCACATATGAGAAAATAAGAGTAAAATATATACCTACAAGTAGGTTAATTTTTTATTAAGTTTAATAAAAAAATTAACTTTTATTCTCATGGAAATTTTTAAAGAAAATCAAAATTCCACCCTCTTAACTTTGTAAATGTAAAAATTATCGATTTTTAGATGGAATTTTCTCTATTTATACAAGCTGCACGATGACTATTTATATTTAGTGCCAACTCGTGTTCAACTCACCGGCACCACTAATTTCTTGGAAACAAAGAATTCGTTTTTTTAAGAAAATACATAAATATTTTCAGCTTGTTGGCTTTAAAAACTTTGAAAAAAAAAATTCTCCCAAAAAGTTTGGAGTTAAAAATTTTATTAGATATTAAAAGTATTAAAAATTCTCGTGAATTTTAAAATATTTGTGATTGGTTTACCCATCGTAAACAGTGTCCTGCCAGGTGGCCATTTTTTGCGACGAATATTTAATCTGGACTGGGAAAAGCTCTTCGTTCTGTAGTTTGCTTCACGTGATAAACTCCAGCGGATGTTCCCTAGACACGTGGGAAGAATATTTTTATGTAGAAATCCCATCTTAAAATTATAGCGAATTGTACATATGCCCCGCGTTTTTAGGCATGGGCAACCGCCTAGGGCCCCAATTTTTTGGGAGGGCTGAAATACACAAAAACATGCACTTTCTATATGATTTTCTATATTTCAATTCTTTTAGTTTCGCCTCGGTCGCGATTTTAGGCCTCAAAAACTTTTTTGGCAAAAAATTCCGGTATCAAAAAAATCGGTCATGATCGTACGATAGCTCATTTTCTTCGGAAGACCTTGCAGTTTCCAATAAAAAAATATCAAAAAGTCCATAAAAAAATTATCCACGGACTTTTATTTTTCGCGTTTCATTTTGAAGTGCTAAAAAAATTTTGACCTTTGACCTGTCGGCGACCTTAAAAATCGGCGACGAGGGATTATTCGCCAATTAGTTTATACATATGTACAATTGCGTGCAGAGTTTCGAAACTTTAAGTGCACGGGATTATTTCCAAATTACAAAAGTGCAAATACCCAATACTTTTTGTCTACCGGCTGTATGTATGTATGTACATAAGGTTTTATCATGTCGGTATAATATTTTTACCAAATATGTAGGAAACCTTGTACGGAGATGTTTTTACCTGGGCGACTAATTTCCGAATCTAACAGATACCATAAACAACTCCGTCTCTGTCCCAACCCAATCCAAGACTGGACTCAGTTCTTCTCAGACGTGGTGTCATCATGACGCCAATGTTCCCACGAGAAAACCGGATATTCGAGAGGGCAAGCATACATACATACCTACTTATCTATTCACACACTCTTAGAAATACGTATGTTGAAAAAAAAAATTCATTAAAACGTCAGGCATACGATTTTTTTAGTGAATGAAGATTTGTATTTCAAATTCATTTCATTTCACTTCATTTATTAGTTCGCCCAATGTATTTATTAAGCATAAGGTAACAAAGGAAATGAGTGAGTAATCCTTTCATTCAGAGTCACTCATTTTCATTCAAATCACAGGAAATTCATTTTCATTCATTATCATTTTCTATCATAATCATTCATAAATATGAATGAAAGTGAACAGGTATGTACACATGCGTTATCCTGGATTTTTAGTATAGCTTAGTTTACAAAATGCTCTTAGTTTTGGAAAAAGTATAGGTATTTTTAAGGGTGTACATATCTTGATATTTGTGTGTTTTTCCCATGTTTTTACGACTCGTAACCTAGTGAAAAACGTCACTTCTCTCGGCATTGCTGGTTGGTAGGGTAAAAAATTCCAGGCATGGTTACGACATATTTATGTGCATATGTAGATCTTACTTGATTAGTACATGCTCCAAAGGAATGCTCAAATATGCGAGGTTGCACAGGAGAAAAATGTGGGAACAAATGTTGAAGGTAATTTATGTACGTGGTTATCTAAGATTTTGACCGGACTACTTTTAAATTGTTTACTCTCAGAAATAAGCTTTTTGTGGTTTACAGTGTGTTTTCACTTGTGAGAGAATTTTCAAAACAAAAAATTCAGTCAAAATGTATTTTTTTTTTCAAAAATCTGTAACTGTTCAAATTTAACCTGATTTAAATATTAAGAGCAATTTTTTTTACTCAGAATAACTTCCTTGCAGTTATAAGAATGCATTTTTAAAAAATTTAAAAAATTAGATATTATTATTATCTCATTTCTGGATTTTTTCAAAGGCAAAAATCCATATTTCTTTGAAAATTGAGAGTTTTAAAAACAAATTTTTATAATTTTAGTGATGTAATTCTGAGCAAAAGTATGATTTAATTATTGAAATCTTGCTAAAATTCATAACGTTCCTTCGCTTTGAAAAATCTTGTTTTTGGCTAAAATGTTTCTTGAAACGTGATAAAACATGGAAAATGCAAAAATACTTATTATTTTTTTAGCGTGAAAAATTTAGAATTTGAATCTGGTCAAAATCTGAGATAATCACCTTAAACGTATTCACTGTAAGTGCACACGCGTACTCGATAAATAAATTACCTAACCTTACATACTGTTTGACTGTGGGAGGCGAGCGATAAGTACATAAATACAAGCAAGAATTTGCGTATTTATGTACATATCTGAAAAATAATCTTCTTTACGTAATTTTGCTGTGAGGGTCGTGAAATGGCTTGCCGTAAATACTCAATTTATGTATGCATAGCCCGGGCTAAAATCTAGAACTGGCAATGGAACCTTTTTTCAAAGGATCAATTGAGTAGATCAATAATATTCTGTAATAAAATTGGGGGGCCCATTGGTGGAATATGAGATCTGAGCAAAAACGTGCGAATTTTTTGCAAATTTTGGACTTTGACTCAAACTCGTCCAACTTTTGATCAAATATCATCGGAAATAATTTTAGAAATAATTTTGGACCAGAATTTGCCTTGATTTCTGACCCGAGTTTTCCAATATGCTGAACTTTACAAAATAATTGCATTTTCCATATTACGATCTAATTGTGGAATTTTGTTTAGCATTTTAAATTAACCCGTCAGCGGAATCGCCAGCTAAATAGATTGGGTTACTGAATTCCGACTTTTTTTTACACCAACTGGGAATGTTGTTATTAATTCGAAATTATGTAAATATGTAACTCTTCGACGTTTGTAATTATATCGCCTTAAATTTGGAGACCGCAGTTACTACTTACAACACATTTTTCGGAATTTTGAAATTAATGCAAAGTTTTGTTAACGACTGGGAATTTTGTTAATGCCGCGTAGACTTGTTTTAATGAAACTTTTTTGAAAATCAAATTTCGAGACAATTGGATTTTTCATAACTCAGGTAAGTAATTCTGAAGAGACATGTTTTCCAATTTTTGGATTCGGGCTAATATTCGAAAATTTACAGAATGTTTAATAACCGAGGTTTTGGCTGAAAATATTTTAAAATTCGCACCTCGCGCTCAAATTAGCGCATTAGGAAAAATGCCAAAATACAGGTATGCCTATTTTTTGTGGTGAACAAAATAAAATTGGTCCCAACCAGATCTGAGTTGTACACGTAAAAGACTTGAATTGTTAGTAGTTTGGTACAAAATTTGTGACCATACATACGTTGGGAGACATCCATTGTCATCAGTGTCAGGTTTTTTATAACTTATTTTTGACAAAGGTTGGATTTCATTGCTACATATCCACCATGAATCAGCATTGTACATAACCAAGGCGGTTAAGTCATTTATTGACACCGGCGGTGTTGATTTGATAAATTTTTGTTTTGAGTGTACATAATCATGTAATTGCTTACAGAAATTATAATATTTACAAAAATTGGGTTTAATAACAATTCTTCCAAAAATAATATTCTGCAATAACATTTCTCTCAATGTAATTTCTTCCATCTCTCAAATACAGTAATATAGTAAACCAGGTGCAAGTTCAATAAACCGTTAAACCCATGTAACGAAGGGGTGGAACCGAGAACTGTATAACATTTGTGAGGTAACATATATATCAAATTTAATATATGGTGTCAGTTAACATTTAACACACAGTCATGTAACAAATTCATGTTCTATGAGGTCAAAATGAATGTCCCCATTGAATTCGGGGTTAAATTAAAGTTCACATTGACATATGTATCAGATATAACATTCAGTGACCTTTCAGTGACCTCTAAGTGACCTTCAGATGACCTCTGAGGTCAAAATGGGTGTGACCATTGAAATCCGTGTTAAATTTCCTATTGAATTGATATATATATGCAATTTGACCTTTTAATGACATTTCCTGACCTTTTGACCTTGAAGGGGGTGACCTTCAGGGTCATCTTTGAACTTGACCTTAATATTTATGTTCAAAGTTTCAAATCAATATTTCAATCCGTTCTTGAGTTATCGGTCGGACAGACGGACGGACAGATGGACGGACGGACATATCAATCTTATAAAGGGGTTTCACCCCTTAATAAACACATTCTTCTTACTTATCTACGTGACTTGAGTAAAATTTCAGTTGTTCGTCACGTATGTAGGAATTGGCAAGGTGCACTTCTTCTTCTTGTGCTTGATACATACATATTCTTGCTACCAATCAAGTGCATGCACTTCCATTTCCATTTATGTAAGCGGTTCACAGTGGGGTTGAGTTGTATCTAGAACCAGTTTGCTTACTAAGTAAATATGGTGTCCTTGCTTATTTACATAACTTCATGTTAACATCAAGTTTATTCAGCATTGATCTACTGGGTTTTCCGGCTCTTATTTATTGCTGACGGTGTTTCTTGGTTTATATCTAAATATGTCGAGGTAATCTTCCTTTTTAAATCTCGGCGTGTTACAATATTTCTTACCTTTTGATAGCCTTGTAATACAATTACATATTTACATTGTTCTGGAAAAAATTTGATAGGAAAAATTCGTAAATTTATTCCACTACATAATAACGAAATTTGGTCCCTGAAGTTTAACATTTTAAGAATTTTGTCATCAGTTTTGATAATAAATGTAAAAATCTCAATCCAAAATCTTGTAACTTATGGATACAGTACATACATACTTTAAGGGTTTTTCCCGTTGAAAAATGTTCCATTGTAGCAAAACATTTTAACCACCCTGTAAATATGTACAAAGATATTGTTATTTCTTGCTTGACTTGATAAGTTGATAAGGATCACCACGTGGAGATTTTTTTTCTTTCTAAGCTTGTTCTACAATTTCCCACGCGTAGTGTTTCTTAATGTGGTGGTTTTACCAATTTATGTATAAGTGATTAAATACTTATCGTGTGGATACGTATTTATGTACTTCTCGCTTACAAGTTTGACCTCAAATATTTTCACTAACTTGATATCGCCATCGCACAAACTGCGTCAAGAAACCTTGATTGTATATATTGACTTGGACTGCAATAATTTAAAAATTTCCACCAAATCATTGCCTTTGGGTTCAGTCTATCTTGGTATTTTACATCTGTGGGAGTATGCAGTTGCATGAAAATATACGGAAAATAAATAAACAAATAAATTAAACAAAATAAATAAATACCGTAAGCCGAAATGTTTTCACTGTTCGCCCGGAAAGTGTGTTTTCACGCGAAAAACAAGAAGTGAATACATACAATGTAGGTCTCCCAACGTATGCTCACAGATTTGGACCAAACTAGCGTCAATCGATCACAAATATAATTAGTATGAAATTCGCAAATTGAACTAACTGCCAATGCTCAAGTTTAACGGAGATATTTGCATAAAAAGAGGAGAAAACGAACCTTCAAGGCTGGCAAATTTTTCATTTTCTAAATTTCCTGCGCATTTTTTTTTGCTTTGAATGCAAATATCTCCGCCAAACCTGCACATTGGCAGATGGTTCCATTTGCAAATTTCATACTAATTATATTTGTAATCGATTGACGCTAGTTTGGTCCAAATCTGTGAGCATACGTTGGGACACCTCCATTGTTAGTGTAAGGTATCAAGTTTAATTCGATATATCGTTGGAATCGATGTCTTTTATTTTGATTTATCTCCTTTGGTATACTCTCGGTTTTTTTACCAAACTTGTACATATGTAGCTTCAATGGATGGCAAATTTGGTTAAGAGGAATTTTTCACAAGACAGTATATCTGGCTTAGGAGAAAAATTTGCACTTTTTAGGAGGAAAAAGTGTCCCCTACACAATATCAGACTACTTTTCAACTTTATTGCGTTTAATCATTTGAATTTTATATTATTATGGTCACCAACGATCACGGGAATTATGTAAATTTTTCCCGAGGTTGCATGCTGACCATAATAATGAGGAATTCTTATGCTTAGTTTGACAATAGTTTGGACCAAACTATTTTTACCAACCTGTTTGGTCAAAATCGGTCGGAGAGCATATTCACGCTGGTAAATGTCCATTACATATCAACTTCGTCGTAGGTAAATACACTCAAAACAAAAATTTGTCAGATCAACACGGCCGGTGTCAATCTTGGTTAAAATGTTGAAACCAAGTTATGATGACTTTGATACCGGTAGTTATGTATAAATGTTGTTGCAAATTTTAATGAAAATTGTTGTAAAATAAATTAACTGGTTGCACATATCATGATTGGCGAATTTATTAATTTTTGGTCGAAATAAACCATATTTTCGTTGGATAGTATAAAATAAATTTTAGTTATAAAGTTATAACCGCACAGAAAAAAATTTCATTACCACTCGGCATCACAATTGTGACCAAGGCGGTTAAGTCATACATACATATATTGACACTGGCGGTGTTGATTTGACAAATTTTTGTTTTGAGTGTATTAATGTGTAGCTCATTTCTACCTAAAAATTAGGCACTTTCACATTAAATAAAACAAGACTACACGTTTTATGTCGCCTTGGTATTTATTCTACAGAGATAAACAATTCAGATAAAGATTGGCAAATTATTTACATAGTTCGAAGTTCATGAAAAATAATGATTTACATAAATTTTGCAACTATATTTAATTCAACCTTAACGAAAAAAACAATGAGTTAAAATTTTAAGTTAAAATTACACACCGAAATACATAAAGTTTATTATTCGAGAATTTTGAAATTTTAGTTCACATTGTGCATCAATATGTAAATCACTTGTAAACTTATTTATGTACAACTGTAACAATCCGACGTTATTTTTCATGAAAGTTCACAAAAAGAAGATATTTATCAAAAATGTATAATTAAAATATTTATGAAATGCACAAAGGATTTTACAAACTTGGTTTTGTAAGTCTAAATATGTAGCTAGCTGTACTCTTAATTTTTTGCAAATCCAATTTCTTTGAGCAACAATTTTTTAGTTATTGAAATAATAAAAAAACACGTTTTGGAAATAGTTTGGAAGTTTTAACTAGTCCGTTTGACGTGACAAAATAGAAAATTTGAAAATACATACGGTATATGACTCATTTAGTGTTAAGATTTTTAATATACCTACATATATCAAAATAATATGATATTCAAATTTTAAAGTTTGAATAAATTTTGAAATTTTGAAAAATTTGAACTTCAAATTAAGCTTCCCTAAGAAAATGAAATTATTCCTACAAGATGTATCTACATACATACATATTTCTCACCTGCCAAAGTTGGGCCATAATAAATATTTGTAAATTCCACAATTGTAAAATATTGAATTTTTAATCATCTCCCAGAAAACTGAAATTTTACATGGATGTAAAATCGTAGCACTAAATAATTGACATACTGTACCTATGGTACATACTTGTGTACCAGAGGTACACACATTCATATTGGGTACACTCCAAACAAAACGGTGTCAATATATGACTTAACCGCCTTGGTTACAATTGTGATTCCGAGTAGTAATGAATTTTTTCCGTCCGGTCATAACATTATAACTACCGGTATTAAAATCATCATAACTCGGATTCAACATTGTAACCAAGACGGTTAAGTCATATATTGACACCGGCGGTGTTGATTCGACAAATTTTTATTTTGAGTGTATATTCTACAATCAAGGCGGCGGGGTAATTAAAAACCGACGGCCCTTCACTGTGCCAGGGGTACCCTGCTCTTCTCATCCTTTCTCACCAGGACGGTCTGATAGATCATTAAGGTTCCGAATTTCCCATGAGCGAACGGTATGGCGTACGTGATTCGAAGGGCCCTCCAAACCTTGGGCCCTACCAAGGCTTCCATCTCGGCCCGATTGTTGTCCACCATGTCGAGATAGTGTTGACAGGTGAGGGACGCGTCAATCGTCAAGTCTTGAGTGTTGGCGATGCGCAAGTACTTGGACGAAGGCTCGACGAACTCGTGGAATGAGGGGAAGTAAACCTGGCCGAATTGGTATTTACAGTAAAACTCGGAAAAGTGGGGGACATTATGGTCCGTGACGTAATGCTGAAATAGAACCTGGCCCCCTGGAAATATTTTTTTTTAATTCTGAAATCGGTGGCAAAGCATGGTAAGTTTTTAATATTGATTTCATAACAATATCTGATAGCAACTAATTAAAATTTCGACTAATTTACGATCTTTTTGTAGAGGAAAGATACGAAAAATCCACTTTATAACGTTGTTCGGTATAGGGAAAATTCCTAAATATGAAGAGAAAATTGTCGAACAAAAGACACTTTTGGGCATCGGGTTTTCCGCAGAATACGATAGAAATACTCGTTTTTTTGGGGGGGAAATTTTGATTTCAAAGTAATTCACGCAGGACACACATTTTTTTACTTGGTCTTCAACAGAAAATAATCTGGTACACAAATATGTATACTTTGGAAGCCAACAGGTTAATTTGTTTAAAGTGCGCGTACCTTAAAGTCAGTGATATTATACAGGGTGGGTTAAAATGTCACGTATCAATGGAAAATTTGTCAATAGGAAAACCCCTAAACCTCCATTAGTTACAAGATTTTAGTTTCAGATTTTTATCAATTATTATCAAAACTAATCGAACACAAAATTCTTCAAATGTAGAATTTTAGACAAAAATTTCGATAACTAATGGAAATTTACGATTTTTCCAGATCGAAAAATTCTTCAGTGTACCGTGACATTTTAACCACCCTGTACATACATATATCGACACTTCATAAATATTCGTTATATTCCAAACACTCACCAGGGTTCAGGAGGGATTCAATTTTTCTAAAAAACTCGTCATAATTCTGTTTCCCGACATGTTCCAACATTTCAATGACCGTTATGCGGTCGAATTTTCCCCCCAATTTTCTCCAATGGTGCTTTTTAATGGTCACATTACTACCGGAGCAGTGCTTCCTGGCCTGTTTTGCCATCGTCCCGCAAACCGTGACTCCCACGACGGTGACGCCATAATTGTCCGCCATGAATTTGGAGAGACCGCCATACCCACAGCCTAAGTCCAGCAGGGTCATTCCCGCTTTAAGGCCGAGTTTGGCCGCTATCAGGGTCAGCTTTCCGACCTGCGCTTCGGCATAGTTGGTCGCTCCGTAGGCATAGTAACCCGCCGAGAGTTGCATGTGTTCCTTGTCCGTCATCAGTTTGAAGTAGGCGGGAGCTATATAAATAGATAAGTAATTAGCGATTGAGAATAAGGCTGTCAAATCCGATCTGAATTTTAAAATTCGAATTTAAGATTATGTATCTACCTGGGTGAAAATGGTATGTCGAATTTCACATAATTCTACCCAAACAATGGTTTGTGACGAAAAAGTATGAACGATTCTGCGTAAAACTGCTGAATACATATATACTGCAGAAAGGTTTAGCACAATTATGCGTAATTCTGCATATTTTGTGCACACATTGTTTCGGCATAAATTTGTCTGCATAAAAACCAGCCAAATTTCTGCATAAAATCTCTTAAATTTTTTAGTCGGGGGTATAATCGGTTTAACACAAAATGGGGAGAAACAATTGGGGCGATTTGATGCAGAATACATCAATAAGTAGTTCAGAATTAATTGGCGGGAGAAATATGTACTTAATGACACAATTTTGAAAATTATGGAGTTTCTCTTACGCAAGTCATATTCCGGCGGGGCACTGAAGTTATGCCCTTCCCGCCCCGTGTTCAAGAGGGCCCAACGAAATTGGGCCTCCCAGTAGGCAATGTGGGCCTTAGCAATCCAGCGATTTTTTTCGAAAAAGGCGACAATTTTTTCATAAAGGGCGTCCATATTTTCCGTCGTCCACCACTCCTCAACGTACATTTCTTGAAAACCGAGCTCCTGGTCGGACCACAATCGGGCGTAGAAGCGCTTATCCAGGACGCAAATGTCGGCGTGTGACCCCTTCATTTCGGAGCTCACCTTAATTCCGATGCTGGCAAACAGGTAGTCCGTGATGGGCTTCAAAATCGGGGTAAACGGGAGGAGGATGAAGAACCGGATTTTTCGGAAGATTGGAATTAGTGTGTCGAACAGGTAAACGAATAAGGTGATCAGGCTGGAAAATTGTAAATGAATTTTTTGGTTAATGAATGAAGGTGAACGAATGAAGGTAAGTGAAGGCAAATAAAGTTAAATGAACCCTAGCGAGGGAAAACGTAAAATAATTTATGAAGACAAATGAAGGGAAATGAATGAGGGTAGATGAAGGTAAATGAACTTTTGGGAAGATTAGACTAAAATAATTTGGGTAAAATAAAAGGTTCAGAATGAGGGAAAAAATTGGCGTATATAATTTTCCACAAGGGAACGCCCATATATACGGTATTAAAAAAATCTAATTTTTACAGTCAAGCTTAACACGAGTAAGATACACGACCCTAAAAAAACACCCAACTCTTTTATAACGTGTTATATGGACGTTCCTCTAATGGTGCAGAATAAGCGGACAAAATATATATATGCATAATTTCTACTTACTTACACTCTAAAAAATGGGGTTACTTTACTACATAATATAACCAGAAAATAAGTATTTATGACTATACTTCCATGGTTATAAATTTGTCACCAGCTTGTTATAATCCATAACAAGCTGGTGAGGTAAAATTCAAATCAAAATGTCATGGATGACATTTTGCAGTACAGAATTATTGACAGTGTGATTAGATATTTCAGTTTTTATATTAACCTTTTAAGCATTTACATTTTATAGTCGAAAATGGGGAATGAACTTTGACCATGAATGTCATGGAGAAAAATTTTACACCAAGTTTCCTAAACCATGGTGTTCATGTCATATTTTTTACACATCGAAAGACCAAAACCATGTTAGTCATGGTCGCAAAAATTTGCATTGCAGGACCAATACCATCAAAGTCATGGCGATTGTTTTTGCAAGAAAATACTTTGACCATGACATACATGGAAGTCGAAAATAATAATTTCCACAGCTTTTTAGCCCGAGTCAGGGCTTATGGAACCGTCATGTCCGTCCGTCCGTAAACAGGATAACTCTCTTTAAACACAAGCTACCGACTTGAAATTTTTACCATGTGCATATTGGACAAAGTTAGGAATCGAGTTCGAAGATGGGCGAAATCGGTTAACTGGTTACCCGGTGGGGGTCATCTGAGTGGGTGGGGTCTTATGCACCAAAATTTCAAAATTGTCGTAGAAAGCTGAAATTTGGCACAGAGGTTGCTAATGGCTCCTAATAGATAAAACCTACAGTGCAGACTCCATATAGCCCGAGTCAGGGACATAGTCCCTGACTCAATAAGTCAGAGCCCGCTTCTAAATTTTTTTCCGAATTGACCAACATAATATCACCAACTTCAGTGTTGTGGATGGTTAAAAGTTTGTTAGATAGTTTCTATTATTTGGTCCCAAATTTTTGAGCAAGTTACAGATCATGTGTCTTGACCACCATGACCAGTGGGCTTCTTTAACATCCTGAAGCTCTAAGCTGTATGTATGTGCTATCCAGCAGTGGTTTTCAGCCTCCATATCAAATTTCAGCTCGATATAATGATTTTGAAAAATCAGTATGGGTCACCCCATAGGGTCACTCTGGTTGCACTTTACTCACTTTTAACTTCATATTCTTTAATTAGAAGCCATTAAGTACCATTGTGCCGGATTTCATCTTTTTAAAGTAATTTCTAAAAATCAGTATGGGTCACCCCACAGGGTCCCTCAAGATTAAAATTTTTCCAACCTGAAGTTATTTTTTTCTATTAGGAGCCATTAGCAACCTCTGTATCAAATTTCAGCTCTCTACAACAATTTTGAAATTTTGGTGCAAAATACCCTACCCACTTATATGACCCCCACCGGTTCAAAACTTTTCTGATCGAACCCATCTTCTAACTCGGTCGTTGCATTGCCCAGATACATGTCTGCACCAAATTTGGTCAAAATTGGTTAACTCGTTCGACAGTTCGACTGACATGACAATTACATAAGCCCTGGTTCGGGCTAAAAATCACGACTCGAGAAAAAGTCAGTCTTTGGATGTAATCCGAATATTTTAACGTTGCGATGTGATTAAAAGTCGACAATAATTACTTAATAAATTGATATATGTAACTAAGGACGGATCTTTTTAATTGTTGTGTTTTCGTCCGGCACTTCGTGTAAAATTGTTCGCCATGACATACATGGTCAAAATGCTTAAAAGGTTAATATTATATCTCAAAATTTGAAATTTTCACTTTAATTTTCATAAAATTTCCCCCAACGGAAAATTCTCAACACTTTATCGCCTAACACCTTTTATCCATAATTTTTTTGCTAAAATCTGGCCACGATTTCTCCAAGTAGCTCCGTCTACCCAAATATCCAAATCTGTGGGGTACATACATACTTACAAAAACGTGGGGAAAAATCGTTCCCGTAAAAAAGTTGCCGAAATATTGTTTAGTTTTATAATATTGGAAATATTGCAAATTCCGGAAAATATTTATAATTGATTTACCCGTCGTAAACCGTGTCCTGCATCGTGGCCATGTTTTTTTACGGATTAATACAGGCTCCTCGTTCTGTTTGTTTTCACGTAACTTAGCCTCCGATAGGTGGCGCGTGTGTGCCCTACGGATAAAGTATATTTTTAGGGATCAAGTATTAAAATAAGAAAAAAAAACGTTGTAAACGAAATGTAGCAAAGGGTTGAAGCGGTCATGGCACGTCAAAACTATGTCGATTTTTGAAGTCCCTTCTAAACCGGTTAAAATAAAAAAAACGACCGTTAGCCTCATCCCCGTGGCGCCGTGACCTAATCACCTAACACGCCCATCTTCGAACTCATCCGTACCTCCAAAATTAGAAATACGTCGACGAAAACCGAATACCGAAATTCGTATCCGTTCCAAAGCTATCGTGGATACAGACAAACGAACGGACGGACAGACAAGACATTTCCATAAAGGGATTTTATTTCGCTTCACCCCTTAATAAAGGCGATCGGTAAATATTCAGATTTGTATAAGCCCGCATAACAATAAGTGAAACCGGAAGTTCGAGAGATAGAAACTAGATTTGATTTTGTAGGTTACCAAACCGGTTTTTCAAAATATTCCCATTTTTTACACCCTACAAAAAACGACAAATCGGGCAAATATTAAAAACCAATTTTTGCACATTCTTAACCCCACTCCGTTCCGAAATGCATTTTTTCTTACCTACATAATAACCGATTTAACACACTCTTAGAAAAATGGTATTAAACCATTACCGACCGGAGTACATACCTATGTGACTCTTCTGGCATCGGTAATAGCAGGAACTACTCTTGAGTAATGTTGTCGTAATGAAATATTTACCACCCTGGAACAATTTACTACCAGTCCGGTAGGAAATTATTACCCAATCAATACCACCAAGGAATATCTACATATGTGACGCTACCAGATATGTAACGGTGCAGAGATTCCGATACATACCTGCTTTACTTTATACTTCAGTTTTATTAGTGTGCCCCGCCGTACAAGTGGACCGCTCACTCTTAAACGCTGTCTCTGTCCAAACCCAACCGACGACTAGTCTCATTTCGTCCCACACTTCATTAGAACGTACATAAATATGTAAATCCTCCCACGAGGAAACTAGGTATTATCAAGGGCAAGCATACTGAAATACATAGTTACACTCTTAAAAATAAGTTCCCAAAGTAAATGCATCCACACAAACGTACCTGTTCGAAAAACGTTTTTTTTAATCAAAGTTCAGTCATCCCAATTTCTGAGTGAAGATTTTCATTCACATTCAGTTCTTTTCTTTCATACTCATTTCATTTCACTTCATCTGCCTTCATTCTTACTTCGTCCAATGTATTAAGCACAGGGTGAAAAATGAAGTAGTGAGAAATCCTGTCATTCACAGTCACTGTGTTCATCAGAAATTACTGAATCTTTCACTCATTCTCATTCAAATAACAGGAAGTACATTATTAAATATTCACTGCCATCATAAGCATTCACATAAATGAAAGTTAACAAGAATGCACACATTTGAACCTTTCCCTTACCTACGCCGGGATTGTTTAGCGTGTTGTATTAAAAAATCAAGCCAAAAATTAGAAATCAAATGACATTTATCACTCCGTTGAATGGTCCCTTTGAAGTAAAATATTGGCTTTGCCCCCACCTTGTTTTTCGCCCCGTTAAGGAAAAAGCAAGAGAAAATTGAACAACTTCACCGCCAATATTTTTCAATAAAGGGCCATTCAACGGAAAGAAAAGTGTCACGTGGATCCTAATTTTCGATGTTTCAATCCCGGTGTCCATAGTTGGACAAAAGGTTCCATTGTAAATCCAGAGAAACGTCGATTTAATCCGGATTAAAGTTTACTCTGGGTTTGTCACAATTTACTGAATTTACAATTCAGAATACATTTAAAGTGAAAAATGGTAACATTATTTTTAAGAGTGTACATATCCTCACAAATGCCTTTCCCAAGTAGGTTTTCTTTAATCGTGTTACGACACAAGTTTGACTTAAATACATACATACGTAAGTCTAATTAGTAAATTAATAGTTACTCCGAAGGAGTCTACAAGGAAGTGAAGTTTGTAGTGTACGTACGTACACGGTGGGAAGCAAATGTCGAGGATTATGCATCGAGTTACATAAGTAATTACATACGTACATATGTAAATTGTGGGAAAAGAGCGAGGACTGGAAGCAATCGGTAAAATAATCTTGTGCACGGAATTATATTCTGGTTTTACCGAGCTAAAGTTACGTATGAATTATGTAGATATCTATCCAAATTTGTGCATGAATTATTTGCGTAACTGAATTTTTATACGATTTGATACATATGTAATTACTTATAATTGAAGACGTTCGTGTTGATTGAATTCGTCCCGATTATATAAATATTTCTCTTGTCAATATTTAAGAACTTGTACTTGAAAAACAGCGAATTTTGTTACTAAAGATACACTGTCACCATGCAGTAACATTTATGTAGCAATTACAAAAACAAGGCGACAAATGAATTAGTTTTTGATAAAGTGCTGATCTTGAAAAATATATTTTTAAAACCCCAAAAATTTTCTTCCCAATTGAATTGGTGTTCAAAATCATAAAATCTTTGTGTCATCCTCTTTTTGTTCGCAACCTGAACTAAATTTTACTCATTTTTATTATGAGTATTAGATCATTTAAATATGTATGTATTTACGTCATGCATAAATATCCAAACGAATAAATATTCGGATTTCTAAAAAAAAGTTCAGAAATTTGGTTGCCATCTTCTGTAAAACTGGTAGAAAAACGTTCAAAGTTTTTTTTATATTTTTGTTCTCAAATATTAGAATTTTCTATCTACATATGTACCGACCACGATTAAAATGTGGTAGATTTATTTGCATTTTTCGTAAAAAACCATATTTCATCTTTTTCATGCATATATAAAATCATGGGAACTTACTTACTTTGCTGCCAATTAAATGTCGGCATGAAATCAGTATCGTACATACTCAGGATAGATTCTTTTATAAATCCATGAGCATGGTCACGATGAGGTTAAAATGGACAAGATACACAAAAAACTATATCTTGTGAGTGTTACACACATGGTTTCCTTGACTTTGAGGAAATAGGTATGTATCCACATATTTATTCAGTTGATCAGTATCACCACGTGGAGACAAATTCCCACGCCTGATACAGACTTCTTACGTATGTATGTACGTACATACGTAAACTTATAATGTACGGAACGTCTAATGGACATCTTTAATCTTATTGATGAATTAGAATTTACATATGATTGATATGCTTTTGTAAAAAGTGTCTCTGTAATGAATGACTGCCTTGAAATGTAATGACCCAGGAATCTGGGGTACATATCTCATTGTAATAAATATAAATTATTTTTATTATTATTATTTAGGTGTTGTCGTCACTTACAATTTGTATGTAAGTCGACCTTCAATTTTATTCGAAATTATCCGAAAACGTGAACCATATCTACATACTTGTTTATGTATGTACAAATCAATGTTAAAATTTTGGATTTCCAACGTTATTCCCATTATCACCGCGCGGTGATGTCACATCTGCACACCGTTTGATGACTGGTTCTTAAGATGTACATAGTGTACAAAAATTATCTGACGGTCCCAAAAAAATCATCCCACCTGCCACAAAACTTGTCAGAACTTTCTTGTTGTTGTGTTCTCGGTACTAATTTTTTCTGACAATGTCCCTCAGACGTTTATGTTCAAATGTGGGAAAAATTATAAAAACAACCTCACGTTTAGATGAAGGAGAATTCGTTTCATAAATTCCTCAAAAATTTTGGGTTCCCTGACATACTGTCAAGTTGTGGAGGAACCGGAAGCCATCCAGAGACCCAATTCATCTTGGACGACCCACAATAACCTCAGCCATAAGTTTGGACACGATTTTGAAAATAATGTCCCGAAAATCTGCAAGTTCGACCATAAAGCGTAGTGGTCCTAAATCTCGCAGATCGATTTTAACGATTTTTGGTAGGAAAGCTGTCGTTCCATTATCCAGAATCAGGTAAAACCCAGTGAGTAGGGTCACTTAGCTTTCATGAGTCCCAGAACAACGCATTTTTGAACAAAAACATTCAACATCGACTAAACTTTAGCAAATTTCTGGAGCAAAACGGCTTTTTGACTGCTGTCGAAAAGGGTGGAGAAATTTTATGTACGCAAAAGACCGGAATGAATGGTCATCATGTGGCGAATCCTCACTATACAAGGTACCAAATTGTGAAGAGAAATGAGGTCCCCGATAAGAAGCTTCAAAAAAACTGACCATTGATGGGTTGTGGTTGGCTCTGCTGTCTTGGCGCCACCGAGCTGCACATCAATTTTGTTTGTCAAAATATGGTCGGACAGTTTTCGGGTAGCCACATCTGGCCAATGTACTTCGATACTATGCAAACTAACAAACTTTTTCCAAATTCGAAACAAATTTAATATTAACAGGATGGAGCACTAGCCCATGCTTCAAATGCTACCACTCGCTTTTTAGACAAGCGGTCGCTTATCATCTTGAGGAAGTGGTTGTAGCTCGGAAAAAGCCCGGACACACACCGAGGTGAACATTTATTGCCTAAACTTAAAAGCAATGCGTTGAACAAACCAGTTCCACCTGATTGTGCTTCCCTGACTGAACTTTTAAGAACAACTTTGAAAAAAATTCCAAAAACTGGTTTGGAAAATCGATCATAAATTTTCAGGACAAGATTTCAGGACATGCAAAAATCGTCTGAGGACACACCAAATAGTGTTGTATTACATGATATAAACGATTTCGTCAATAAAAATTTCCTCGCGCCAAAATTCCAATAGTTGGAAACTGTACTTTGGACCGTCAGATAATTTTTGTACACCATGTAAACGTCACAAAAATGCATGCATAAAATCACGGGGTTCATGCAAGTATGCATATGAATAAGATGGACGACATCAAAAATAAATTTCATTGACGTATTTAGGACGTCCATACATGTTTAATTGATCCCACATTTATGGGGCCATTCATAAATTATGTAACGGAAAAATCGGGATTTTCAAATCGCCCCGCCCATCTCTTCTATTTAGCATGTGTCACGATATCATTGGAGCCTTTGACCCTGTCGCGTGACATAATTAATGAACGGGGCCTATGTTAGTAATTCTACCAACAAATAGTTTAGTTTTGTCCACATTTACAGAAATTTTCTAAAGTGTGTAAACTGTATAATTTCCTTTATAAGTATTTGTTAAAGTTTGGAAGTTTAAAGAATTTACCGAGTTTACAGTGTTACCAAGGTCAGTGTGAGTTGCAAGACTCGCATTTTATTTCTGCCCATCGTACAACCCTATTAATTCACAATGGGCAGTAATTAAGCAGTTTATTTCATCCTCTCATTCAATTATGAAAGGAAGTATTAAACCAAGTGGATTACATATTTATGTACGTCATTCTGAAAAATTTATGGTTTCGGGAATAGTATTGAAGTGTAACTCAAATTTTTGACAAAACTCTTCCTCCGGGTAAAATCGGTGTTAAAAAGATTCAAAATTGTATAAAAATGCGAAAACTCCAAATTGTCTGCCTGCTTTTGGCTGGGTTTCAATTTAGCTTAATTAAAGGATTCATAATTTTTAAAAGTAAATAAGCTAAAGGAAAATTTAAATCGATACTTTAGACTATTTTAGAAATTAAAGTGTTCCACAAAAGGAAGAAGTTCACGCAGTTCTTGCCAAATTTATTTAAATATGCAACCCGTCAACATTGCAAAGATACAAATTTCTTCAAAATTTTGCAAATATGTATGGATTTCCAAGGAAAATTAGCTTACATATGTATGTACATGCATGCATGCTAACTTTCGTAAACTCGCAGAGAGCAAGGGTTTTATCAGAATCTTACAAGTTATCAAAAACTGAGTGAATTGCAAAATATATTGTACATATTTATTTACATATTTATGTACACACGAAGTAAATCTTTCCCAAAATTTAGCAAAAAATAGAGGATAACACAACAATTTGCATAATTTATCCGATGGTTGAATAACTTTTGCATAACTTCGTGTAATCCATTTTATCAGGCATCGTTGGGCAAACGCTGCCTAAAAACGCCCACATAGTGAAATTCTTAACTTTTTTTTACTCCTTTATCTATTTCTGCCAACAGCCGAGGAAACCCCGGAAGTTGAAGTTCTCAGGAAAAATCTGACCCGAAACGGGCGGATCGTGGGGGGATATAAAGCCCGAAAGGGGGAATTTCCATGGGTGGCTCTACTCCAATTTGATGGCGCACTCTTCTGCGCGGGAACCATCCTTAACGAAAATTACATCCTGGGGGCTGTAAGTTTCTTTAAAAAAACAACTGCAAATTTGGTCAAAATTGTGTTAATTCATGCAGTTCCTGGTGAAATTGTAAAATCCTTATATTCTATAAGTTTACCAAAATTTTGCCAATCTTTCGAATGGAAAATAGCATACAAGTTATTAATTTATCCGATTAAGGCCCTATTTTCTAAATGGTTGTATAAAACTTCTAGAATTTACGAGTTATTACTAATTACTTTAAACTAAATTAGAGGTGAGTCGGATACCCGGTCCGCCCGGGTTAAACCTGCCCGGACCGTAACCAGATCGGATTCGGGGGACGGGGACAGAGCAAGTATCCGGGTCGAGTATAGAAATTAACCGGCCCGGTCGGATTGGGAAATCGGATTGGGTTTTCAAAATGCTTGATCCCAATCGTCTTCAAACCAAACACAATTTTATAATCTCCCAATTTTTTTGACATGTAAAAATCTGCGATAACATTTTTCTAAGGAAAAACAGTGGCTAAATCCCCACAAAATATTTATCAATATGCTTGAGGCTGTTTATACATTACAAGGACGCAAAATCGCGATTCTTTTGACCCCCTCTCAATCCCTACTTTAGCATGTGTAACATAAGCACGATTTCACTGGTCCCTTAGTCCCCCCTCTCGCGTAACGGAATTTATGGACAGTCCTTTATCCATAAATATATCATAATTAGTACATTTTCTCCATCCCCCCACTATCCCCCATTGTTCTGCTGCATCTTACGTAACAGTCTTCCAATAACAGGCCCACTGCACGGGAGTGGATCCCAGCATGTTGACCGTCGTCGTGGGGGACCACATTCAAAGCGGGGATGAAGGCACGGAACAAGTCGTCAAAGTAGCGGAAATCATTCCGCACAAAGATTTCACAATGTGAGTTGGTTACCTTTCTAAAAAAATAAGTAATCTTCTACTAAAAATCTAGATTAGATTAATTTTTCCAAATGCTTAAATCACTTGGAAGGCAACACAAAGTTGAAATTTTCCCAAAATAATATTTAAGAATATTGCCATTAGCATGGTCCCTGCAAGAAATTAAAAGTTTCTAGATTTTTCTCAACACCATGCCATGTTAACTCCCAATCTATCACTGTGTTAAATTTGGGACAGCGCGAACCCCATAATGTGTCAATTCTTCGACCCTTCCCATTTTTCGTCCTGACACAAATACCAAGTCGATGTATCTGATTCTACTGCCGTGGTTATAAACTTGTCATCGAGTGGTTACAATTGTCACCGACGAATTATAAAGTTTCACCAACCTGGTATTAAATTGTCACCAGAACTAATAAATTTATAACAAATTCATAACCATGGCGGGGGAGGCATAAATATACGTTTACATTTTGGTTATAATTGTAACCCTATTTGTAAGAGTGTAATAAATACGCTTTAATAATACTTTATCTTGGAAAAAATTCCAGCAAAACTTTTCTTCACGACATTGCTCTCTACCGGCTGAAAACCCCGCTCAACTTTAGCACTCCGTACATCAAACCGGCCCGCATCGCGAAAGTCGACACAAAGCCGACCGATGATATGGTGATTTGGGGTTCTTACCTTCTAAAATTGAAGCGCTTTGTGGACAAAGCGTTAAATTTGCGGGTGGGGCGCGATTCGAGCGAATGCGCGCGGCAGCGACGTCTTGCTAAAGGTCGGGGTGAAACTGAGGGAAGACTCCGTCTGTGAAAAGGCGTATCAACCCACCCCCTTAAAGTATGCAGGGATGGGACAGATTTGCGTCGGCGCGGGGGGGAAGGACAGCTGTCAAGGGGATTCCGGGGGGCCCCTGCACACCGGAAAGAATACGGATGAGTACACCGTCGTGGGGATCGTCTCGTATGGTAGGTTATGCTACACTCTTAAAAATCGGGTTACCCTTATGATAAGGGTAACCCGGATTTTAACGATAAGGGCCTTATCGTTAAGTTAATTTTAATGAATTTTTAAAATTGAGAATTTCAAATTTTGGTTTTTGAGCTGAAATTATCCAACAATTGATACCTTGCAGTGGGTGCTGTCTGATTTTAACCAAATTTTTGTTAATCGAAGACAAATTTGATTCATAGCAATTTTCAAAATAGATTTTCCTCCTAAGTGGAGAAAACTCGCCCTGGAGTTAATACTTTGCAAATTTATTGCGTTCTTACATTTGAAGATAGCAGCTTTTCAAACTTTCGTATTAGTTAGGTGAGTTTTTGACTAGTTTTAAAATAGTCTGGTAAAATCGAAAAGCATACGCCCATTGTGAGTTTCATTGGAGTACTCAAATTTTGTAGTAGGATTCCTGTGATAATGGTCACATTATTTTGTCAGGTATTGGATGTGCATCTTGGGAGTATCCGGGCGTTTACACGAAAATATCTGCTTATCTGGACTGGATTGAGAAAAACATAAATAACGTGGCTACCAAAGGATGATAATTAATACTTGAAATGCATCCCAAATAAAACTCATTATGAATTTTTTTTTGCTTAAAACATGCTTATAATTTGTATAAATAAAACTGAGTTCGACTTTTAATTGCATCTTTGTATTTACATATTCTACAGACAGAAGCAACTAATATCCACTTTTGCATATTTATTTAATTTTACCTTAACTAAACAAATCCTGATTAAAACTACAAACCGACTTAGATACTTTAATTTATGAATTTCATATCTTGAGAATTTCGAAATTTTAATTCACATTTTTGATAAATCGCTTTAATCGAATGATCTAAATTAGAATTCTTTCGTCCATTAACCTAAATTCCTTGGTACTTATTATGACTAATTTTAGGTTTACCTCTACAACACACCTATAACTTATTATGTTCATATTGTTTCCGCATACATCACAATCTTGTCGTATTAAACAACACAGTTTGCCAACTTGACACTGTTCTGGCTCGACATATTGTCCTCAAACTCTCTATCAAATCGTTACCATATTTTTATGGATATTTTCTTTAAACATGCACCTTAATGAACATTAACAATTTATCCATACAGCCATAGAATTTATTTTCTACTCATCCTAATTAATACAAAGCACAAGTTGTTTACGTTGGTAGTGCACTATTAACCAAGCGGAATAACATCAACTTAATCAAACTCTGTAGACTAAGCCCCTTAACAATCTCGAAAACCAACGCCAGACTACAAATTAAACAGCAATACCCCCAAATCTGCCAAATAGTGTTAAACTTTTCCCCGAAATCTCTCCTCTCCAACTCGTGGAGTATCGGTCTTGTCCAATTAGCATAATACATGAATAACTTTTTCGGCCTAGTTTTCTTAAAATATTTCTCCCACCTGTAATAAATCCCAGAAGAAATCAAACCCTTTAACCGCCGGGACACAAAATTCTTCCTGTGCGTCGAATCAACCTGAAAGCCAACACGATACGAAAGAAAGTTATCGTCTGCGCCCTTCAGAAAGAATATTCCGTCATCATTGTCATTCAGAAAGGGTAAAATCTCAACAATATTTTCAGTGTAGTCGACATATGCAAATTTCTGACTACATTTAGACAAATTAGTGTACAAATCATGTGGCCATTTATAATGCACTTCTTGCCAAATTCGCTTCGATTTTTTCGCAAACCTGGTATTATGATAGGCTGGATCGCCCCTTAGCATCCCGCTGCTGACCCGCCTGTAGCCCGAGAGTCGAGTCAAATTCCCCGCATATACTGAAGCCTCATGCAATTTGCCGGCAAATTCGATAGATAAAACTGTAGCTCCCCGTGTACCATTCGAGTACCACTGCTCATACTCGGGGACCGACTTAAGTGGAAGGAGAAATTTAAATTCTAGTTCGTCAAGATCGTAGATGTGCGACCATGATGGATTTCTGTGGAATGGCTTGATTACTTCTGAAGTAAAGACATCTTTGCACATGTTACTGATTACGACACAGGAAACTATCCAGAGCCAAAAGAGGGCGCTCAATTTACCATTCAATTTATCAATAGCGGTTGACAACGAAATTTCGAGTAAAATTGAAAATGATACAATTACGATGTCAACAGCTGACGTCCTAACCTGAGTTCCTGTTGGTTCTTCCGTTTCATTCTCAAAGAGCCAATTCGTTGCCCAAGTCATCCCAATAATAGAAAGGATAACAAGAAATATTGAAATCCAAACACCTCTGTGAAACGGCTGTGTATACAATTCGTACGACATTTCATGTTGGATACCATAGCACGAAATGAAACTACAAGATTTCCTGCCTACCAAGATAATCTGATGATTTCCTGGTAAATATCGAAAAGTTGCCGACCCAAAATACAAATATTTATCGTTCACAAAGATACTTTCTAGAATACTTAGATTGTACAGAGTTTCTGAGAGTATAGTGTACGCGATGAAGTCCTCCAGCCCTTTTGAATCGTCCGCGACAGAAAACCAATCCGGATATTTCGTAGCAAAGAAGTATTTGTGTTGCATTTTTCGAAAATCTAGACTATACTTGTATTCGAATTGGATGTCATCCATCCAGTATCCAAATGTCCAAAAGTATTTGTTAAACGTCGCCGAGACCAGGTCAGCATTTTTATTAAGAGCGGAGTAATACGTGGATAAGTTTTCTCCAGAACATGAAATTTCTGTAAATTTTGTAAATTTCTTTATTAGTTCAGTCGGAACCGGGTTTGGATTAAGGACTCCTTCCTGTCGGTGGTATCGATTAAGGTGATGCAGTTTTACAACTCGACCATCCTCAAAGAGACAAAATTCTCGATTTCCCATGAAAGTTAGATCCGTCTTTAACATCATTTTGTAAATGTTGCCCAATTGGTTTTCAATTTTTTGTTTGGGATACGCCATAAAGATGAAATAAGCTGGCCCACTTCCCAAGATTTTTGGAAATATTCTTGAAAAGGGCATACCTCTGGTGTAAAAGTGGGATCCAGTATCTACAAAAAGTGTAGCCCAACACCACGATTTGCCCTGCTTCCGTCTGATGAAGGTTACTTTGTGAAAAATAAATTCCGAATGGGCATACGTTTCGGTGCTTCTATATTCAAATAGCCCAGCATCTTCAATATAAACTAACAATGGGTGCAAGGTAATGAAATTCCTACTTGAATTAGGCAGGATTAAAGTAATCATGCAATGCGAAAAAATTTCAACGATACGAAACACAGATAGTGACGCGTCCATATTGATCAACAAATGAGTTCAAGATGCCACGCTAGGAATTTACTTGCGTGGGTAATTTCACAAATTTAACTACATATGTATGTAAACTACTAAATGTATTAGCAATTTTATATGGATATCAAACAACGAAAAAGTGTGTTTTCAACGAGCCTTGATAAATGAATTCAGTTGTATTTCGTGCGGTGTGCAAAGCTGATCTTACGCCCTTAAGTAATAAATATCTCATCAATAAAGAACGGTTTGTGCAACTTTAATTTAAGTTTTATTATATACACGTATATGTAGACAACGCACCACTAAACAGCGAAAAACTCCTAAGTTATTCATCCAAAGGTGTAAGGATGAAGCGCCTCCACTTAAAACATCTGGTAACACGTACTTATGTACCTATATTGTAAGTAGTTTTAGCTTCAGGAACATCCATACTTAACTATTTTGAGTATTCAGTTTCCACTTAAACGAGATCAGTAAACTTGTTGAACCATACATAAATAAATACGTAGATGCCGGAAACGAATATTGAGCAATTTAATAATAGATGCTCGAAATCGACAATGAGCACCTGGTCAAGCCAATATTTGCAAGAGACTTCAGCCGACATATACATCCTTGAATTTACCTCTAAATCTAGTTCAAACGCGCCAGTAGCCAAATCGATTAAACATTTTTTCTCCATATATAAGCTTCAAGACTATGCAGAATAATAATATGTATGTACATACATACTACCGGGTTTTTAAGAGTGTATCCCTGTCTTGTAGTTTGAGCAGTTTGCATGTATATCGAAATAGCTATGTCCCGTTAAGTAGTTTAAAGATATTATTGTGCAAATGTCTCAACCATATTATCCTGGCCACCAAGTACATAGATAAATTTTCATCTCTAACATAGAGAGTGAAATACATCTTGAACATGGTTATTGCCTAGTGGCGGAATGGAAGATCAGTATGTACCTGCATTGAGATTATACATAACAATGCTCACTTTCATTGAATACGTATGTATCGTTGTATATTTTAAGCTGTGCTACAGAATGTATGTAAATATGTATGTATAGATATGTGTACATAGAAGCATGTACATACATAAATAAATGTGGTATACAGTCTAATGAGAGCCATTGGTGAATATATTTATCTCACTTAATTATCAGATTTTTGACATAAGCATATGTAAATATACTTAACTTAATACTTTTACATGTTATTTGCAGTTTGTAGTGTAGTGAAATGGGAACAATTTGTGAATATGTAATTATGATTGGAAAAACTGTAGACGACTAAAAAATTATGTTCCCCTTTCTAGAGTAACTTCAGTCTGAATTCCATATGTATTAAGCAAATTACTAAATCCAGGGTAAACTTTACTCTTTATCAGGGTCACGTTATTGTGGATGTTGAATATGACGGTTTCCATCAGCTATCGCCAGTAAAAAGCATCTTATTTTATTTTCAGGTGTTTTAGCTCAAAAACATGTTCAGCGGGTCTGAACTATTCGATTTAGTTAGTTTTTAAAATTTGCATGACCACCTCCACGTAATGGCATAGGCGACAGCCGTACTTTTTTTGTCAATATTTGTCAACTTTCTCCCTCCATTGTGAAGCAACCACAAGGCCCACAGCGGTCAAACTTCGCATGCACAATCCTCCGGCCATGCTTTAGGATAAAACGGAAGCGCTAAGCCCTACCCATACTGCATGACCTGAAACTAACATGAGGTCAAGTTACAAATTTGGCTCCTCCATTACCATTCTTTAAATAGCTCGCATTTCAACAATCCTGGATAGATTTTCTTCATATGTGGTGAAAACTGATCCGAATAATTTGTATTATCAGGTACTTTAAGAATTTTTAATTTTTTTCCAAGGTCAACAAATTTTTCAAAAGGTCAACAGGTCAAGTCTCACATAACCCCATAAGTGGGGTATCATTGGAAAGGTCGTGGCGGGAGGATTCAGAATATATATACTTTATGGGGTCTGGGACGACCCCCTATTTATTTACAGCTGTCGCCTATGCCATTACGTGGAGGTGGTCATGCAAATTTTAAAAACCAACTAAATCGAATAGTTCAGTCCCGCTGAACATGTTTTTGAGCTAAAACACCTGAAGATAAAATGATATGTTTTTTACCGGCGATAGCTGATGGAAATCGTCATATAGTTTACGACAAAAGAATTGAGAATACATTAATTTATAAATTCATCAGGTAATATATATATACAAATTTGCGAACAAATCAGATTTTTTGTTTACAATAATATTGTGATTGTAAAGACCCCAGCCAGATAATTTTACTTAAATGTGTACCTTAATAATCCCATGTACATCTGTTTATCACATTAAATCTTCAAGATAAGGGTAAAGCTTTCTTAGGTAAAATTTTAAAAGTATTTCCCAGTGCATGGTAGAGTTCGATACGGCGCCGAGCTTGCAATCTGTGATGGATACTGTTGAATCTGTTTCAAGCCATTTTGCTCGACATTTCTTCAATGCAATTCCTTCAAGTCTGTCTACAATTGCAATCGCACCTGAGCACTGCACATTGTGAAGTGACACATTGCTTACCATAACGAGGACATTATTGCATTTAATTTCTTCCAGATTACAATTTAATCCTTCAACAACTATGTCCAATTTTGGGGGAACATCTCCACGATTAAATAGTTCGTTTCGCGACTCTGGACGTAACGATTTAATTTGAAGGGGATTATCTACCAGATCCGACTGGCCAATACGCTTAAGGGAACTATTGTCGCCGATAAAGTATATTAGAACGTGTCCTTTCGTGACATACAAATCAGAAAAGTCCAAGTTTGGTTGGCAATCGCCATAAATTACAAAGAACTTCGACGTCGTGTTGTCAATCGTTACGCGTTGCAACATATTATTATCACCGTGCACAATAATTCCATAACGGTCGGATTCTCCTTCTGAGACGTCGTCATTGTGAGACGCGGCAAGTGTAGCTATAAGGTCATGTATTTTATTATGTGAGTGTACAAATATATTCCTACTCGATCCTTTTCCATGACAAGCGACTTTCATATTTGAAAGGGTACAATGACTTGCATATATGCAGATGCGTCTTGGGGTACGTAAATCAATAACGGTGTTTGATCCTTGACCAATAATATTCACGTTGTCCATCCTCAGGTAAATGCCACCGAAATAGGTTGTCTCTACCAATCGGATGGTGCATCCACTTGAAACAAATTTGAGACATAATTGTAACTCTTCACTTGTTCTAGCAACGATTTCTTGTGGGCGAATTTTTATTTTCTTTATATTCAGTAGTTCGGAGGCTGAAGTCATACTTGTTAACCTGTCGATTGGGTTCCTTTTGGTGCAGGATATAATTAATATTTTTAACCATGGGCCAAGGAGGGGATGATTCTCAACTAATTTTTCATTTCTATCATTTACCAGTTTCTCGAACATACCAGCTCTTTTATGTGACGGGATTAATCCCGTTGTTTCCCATACAACTAATCCCAAGGAGTAAACGTCGGCCTGGTATGAGTACTTTCCATCCAGCACTTCCGGTGCCATATACAATCTTGTTCCGGTATTGCTCGTAAACATGCTGCCATCTTCTGGGAGGATCCATCTAGCGAGGCCTTTGAAATATAAACATACATATTTCACACTGAAAATTGTTTACATAAATTTTGGACATACCAAAATCTCCAATTTTAACGGGAAGACCATACTCGAGCGAAGAGAACATAATGTTTTCTGGTTTGAGGTCGCGATGAATAATTTGATTACTATGCAAAAAATTGAGCCCTTTCAGTAGGTTTTTGACGATGACGGCTTGCTTCATGTGGGTATAAATCGAGTCGTTTGATGGTTTGAATTCGTTCAGCCAATCTCGTAAACTTCGTCCACAGAGCTCCATTTGAATGCAAGTCCATTTCACGGGCGCCCCTTTACGTTGTTCAATTTTGTATCTAGCTTCAATGGTGGGGTCCGATAATTGGATAATCTGTTCCACTTGGGAGTGCGACAGGACCTTCTCTTCTACGAATTTGTGAATCTGTACGACTTTATCATGTTTTCTTAGGGTGAGCGGAATTTCGAACTCCCGACGTGCCTTTTCTTCGGGAAGAATTTGGTTGGGAAGGAGGAATTTCACGGCGTAGAATGTTGAGGAGATTTTGGCCTTAAGAACGACACCAAAAGCACCATGACCAAGGCAATATTCAAGCTTTGTTATCTTGTCAATGAAATCAGAGGGCGGTGAATTATCTAGCGTAAGGGTTGATAGGTCTGGGACTGGCAGGTCAGTAGTTTCTGGATATTTTGCAGCCATGGTAATATTTTTTGTTGAAGATTATGCAATAAAAACTGGAGTATTGGGCGAGGTTGCAAAATGGCGAGAGAAATAATACGCAGTTGCTGATGTGGCTTCTGCTTATCATTTCCAGATAAAGACTTATCTCAGACTAAATTCCATTCCATTGACTAAAGATGAGTTTTGATGGCTGCAAATTTATACGAATATCATACTGTTCAACTGCACTCTAACAAATCCGTTGACAAAAGTAACTACGCCGTAACTACAAAAGTAACTGGTGAGGTCGGGGTTTATACACTGTTAGCAATGGTGTTAAATATTCACCGATCGGCAGTGGCCGTGGAAGTGTGAGGACATAGGGGCAATGTCCTCACGGAAATTTTGTCGTGGGGACATGAAATGCATTTGTCTCCACGATCTCGTGGGACTTATGTACATACAAAGACATGCATTTTATTGGACAAATTTCAACACTAATTTATAAATTATGTTCATAGCAGTACAAAAATAATCTTACCTTTACAATCCAATTTCAACATAGATAATTGATGAAATTTGTAACGTTTTTTCAAATACTGTTGTTTTTTCAGACAAATTCTTCAGGGTAAAATATTTATGTAGGTAACGCAAATTTTCTGAGCGCTATATGGGTAGACGCTTAAATAATATGTCCCCCTGATTAAAATTATCGCCCATCGCCACTGACGATCGGAGTGCATGTAAGACTTCGCCGGCACAGATCGGCATTACCGTATGGTAATAGAAGGACACGGGTTTCGACTGGTAAAAATCGAATTTACCAGCGCAGCAGGAAAAAGTGGGACAAAGAGAATTTCACCACCCACCCAAACCAGGGAATGGGAAAAACTCTGGTTTAGGTAATCCCAAACTTCTTTAAAACCCATCATTTTCAAAATTTGACTTTATATCTATATACTCGTGTTCTCCAAAATATAATGTAACAAAAAATATTTTATATTATATTATTTATATGTATCTTAATATAAAATTAAGAGTGAATTTAATTTTCAAAAGTGTAACACAATTGATAAGAGTGCGATTACAAAAACTCGAGTATCAACATGAGGAATATGTAAAGTAATGAGACTACGGATGCATATACATATGTACATCCTGAGTAAAGCTTACTCTTTATTACTTTGCCGTCAACCTAATTAAATCGAGTGTGCATCTACATATTTACATTACAAAATTTTGATATCTATATAAAAAACTTGAACATATTGTTAAAACAATACAGATGCAAAAATTGAACTCTTAGAAATCCAGGCATGATTATAACCAGGCAGTAAACCTAAACGTATATTTATGACTCTATCGCAGTGGTTATTAATTTATCCCGGACTGGTTACAAACTTATCACCACTGTAAAACATTTATAACCAGTCGGTGACAAACTTATCAGAGCACATGCACCTTCGGGTAATAACCGTAACTGGATTTCTAAGAGTGAATACATTTTTTTTTACATATTTTGCACTCATTTATACAACAATAACAGTCTAACACACGTCTTAGCACACCAGCTAATCATGACTAAGGAGGTCGTTATCTCCATAAAATTGCTTGCAAATCTTATCTTCATGGGAGCACAAGATCTTACAATTTTTCCGAACAGTTTCCTCCTTGTCCTGTTCCCCTCAGAAATCCCGCATAATCGTTTCCGATACAGCTTCGAACCCAAATTTACATACCCGGAAAGCGTTCCTATCGTTAAGATTGAATTGAACGAGGCCGTCGCAAACGTGGGAAACACGCCGTTTCCTAAATGTTGAAATAGCTCCGACTTAAGCGAAATTGTCAAATATGTTCCCAATATGTTTCCGAACGAGATGGTGACTAAGACGGCGGGAAGGATAACTTCTCGATAGCAGAGGTTTACTTGGGCAACAATTATGCGAAGATGTGTGTAACGAGAGATTAGATAATCGGTATCATGTGGTCGCTTGAATTTCGCAAAACTGTAAAAATGTCACACTCTAAATAATTTGGAGTCAAATCGTCCCCCGAGGAGCTACTATCATAAGTGCTCTGTTTTTGGGTAATGATTAATGAGACGTTTTATTTACCAAAATAAACAAAAAACACTCGTGTACCAAACAAAATTTAGAAAAAATTAGAATTTGCAATATCTGAATAAAATATTTTTTTAACAAGAAAGTTTTAATTTTTTAAAGAACGACATCACGCCTGTTTGGTACATGAGTTTTTGACTTACGCATTTCCCGTTGGTGACAAAACATCACCTTAATTACCACCCAAAAATCTAGCACTGAAGTACAGATTATCTCCGCAGGGGACGATTTATATATCTCTAACAATGCGATGGTATGAAGTGTAACGCTCCGACTTAGTTGAAATTTTGAAACTATGTGGTCCATGTGAATACAACCAACGCATCTTGAGGCAGTTTGTGCGATGGTCAGAATTTGGCAAACTATTTGAGGTCAAAGTTGAAAATGTGCAATTTTTAACACAGGAAGGGAACGCAAGTTGAGTTTACTTCATCCGCCTGTTAAAAATCGCCCGTTTTTCAACTTTGACCTCAAATAGTATGCCAAATTCTGACTATCGCACAAACTGCCTCAAGATGCGTTGGTTGTATTCACATGGACCACATAGTTTCAAAATTTCAACTAAGTCGGAGCGTTACACTTCATACCATCGCATTGTAAGTTAGGTATTTCGAACAATAGATTTAAAAATTAAACCAATTTAACCTCACACTTACCAGTTAAATTGGGATAGACTGCATCCAAGACAGAGTAACGTTCCCAAGAAAATTTTAAAAACGAGGATACAAAATATAAAAGTAAGAATTATCATAGCCCAAGCTTGAAGGCCGAACAGGAAAACGTGGCCAAAAAGACTGGTCAATTGTTGATTGGTCGAATATGAAGGAAATAGAGACCCAAGAAATGGAGGCATTTCCGGTTTAAATAATGGAATTGCTACTACCACAACGGATGAAACTATTGCTGTCAAGGTGGATAAAAGGTTGCAATATTTGATCCCTAATTTCCACAAGGTTAACGTTGGGTTATTTTCTGCAAAAAAGTCATTTAAAAAAACCCCACGTGATTAATCCTTTAGAAATCCGTACAAAAATCATTGCATGACTTTCAGGTAGGATTGTTTGCATGAAAAGCGTGCACAAAATTTACAAGCAGTTATTAGCAGAAGTCGGATATTTCGTTATGTTAAACTTTTTAATTTAATCACAGTCAACGGACAAGCTTCATGTATGTGTTCTCTAATTTTTATAAATTAATAAAATTTCAAAATATTTTTATGCATTGTAACATACTTATTTCTATGTTTTCGGACATAAATATTTATATTCCCCATATTATTTAAATATTTGAACGTTGCATTATTATCAAAAATATAAATTTTGCGAAATTTCTTCTTATGTTTTTCTGGCATAGTTGCATATTTCGTAAATATGTATACTGGCGTTTTTTTTTACATAAGTATTTAACATAAGTATTTTAGAGATTTTTGGAAATACATGCATACCCGTGCTCTGGTAATGAATATATTAAGAAATAACTTTCCAGATCTACACTTTTCCTCATATTTTACTCACCAATTGGAAGTGACTCCTTTAAAGCGAACATCATATTTAGCAAAGTGACGAATGAACCCGGTTCCCACAAGAATTTTAATGCTGCGACCACGTCACGAATTCTAACTTCTCATCTCTTGAGGGACCGGGTACGATCAGTATCGACTTTTCTGACCTAAACTTCTTGAAGTTATATGGAGGGATGGTTGATTATCACTTCCCCAAGGAGTATATTGAGAAAAGGTCACGAGCGCATCTATACGGTCGAATCTTATCATGGATCCCTAGTTTTCCTACCTTTTGATTGACCGTACACCTCATACTTCGACCTTCTTCAACTTTTACTTTGATAGAACTATAGAAAGATAGTTGATTATCTTATCTATCAAAGAAAAGTTAAGGATAAGGCAATACCAGAGGTATGGGGCCTGATCTTGAAACTTCACCTACATGTGTTTGGTTAACCATGAGAGGCGAGTTGATACATACATATAACACTCTGCATATGAAACTAAATCTATGTAGTTGAATCCCTTGACCTTTGGAATGGTAATGTCACATATGCATTATCATTACAAAGGTTGCATAATGTTAAGTATTGCCGGTTAAATGATCGAATTATTAGGAATAAATATATTTAAAAATTTGCATAAGCGTGTTTGCATGCATAATATTTAACTTCGTTTGAGCACGTGTGGAATATTTATCATCGAATTAATACCTATGTATTAATTATGCACACATAAATACGTGCAGATTGCGGTAGGGGCTGTCCATAAATTTCGTACTCAATAAGACAAACATTTTGTGGCTCCAAAAGAACGAAAAAAACACATCAATCCAAATCTAACCTAAATTTATTTCATCTTTTCTTTAAATTTTGACACAAATTTTGACATTAATCGCATTTATAGACCGCCTTCAACACCCATTTTGCCGGTAGTGGTTCCTTCTTTTCGCCATATTCGTCATCTTCCGCCTCATTCGCGGCGTTGATTTCGGCATGAACGTTTTTCCAATCGATTTTGAAGTTCTTGCTTTGTTGCGAAACTGTAGCTCTTTCTTCCGCGTGGATATCTTCCTGCTGATAATTCGCAAATTCGACCTCAATCCAAATTCTGTCGCGTTTGTGCGCGATCCACTCCAAGTTTTGGAAACTTCCCAAAATTCGGAGGTTGACGAGTTCGTCGACCACGGCGACATCGGAGTCTTGCACGTTGGCGAGGTGGAGGCGAAAGGGGCCGCCGGTATGCCAGAGGAGCGTCATGACGTCGTCGTTCCAATAATTTATGGGAACATTGAGCGATAGAAATTGGAGAGAATCGAGTCGAGTGAAGGATTTCGGATCGATCAAGCTGATCGGGGCGTGGGCCACCTGAAAATTTGATGAGGTACTGGTTTAACGCAAAGTTGGGTAAACTTTGTAAAAAAAAGAGTGGGTAAAAGTTTTTGTAAATGAGAAATGCAATATCAATAAAGTTATTTAATAAAATGTGAGTGAAATATTTGATAGGAGCTGCATAAATATGTATGTACCTTGTAAACTTTATAATTTTACCAAATTAATATGAATATGCATCACAGTTCACTCTAATATTCGTAAAGTGTAGAAGTCAAGGAAAATATTACTGACTTTAAAAAAAATTATAGGTAAGTCGTGTAGGAAAATTTCTGTTATAAAAAACTACAAAAGTTGTAAAATCTTTGTAAAGTGTGTAATTTTTTAAAATAAGAACTTCCACAAACTTTTATGTATTATGTATGCATGACTTCGCTTTGTGGTCTTTGCAAAATTTACAAAGCTCCCATATGTATGTAAATGTATATACCTAAACGTTAATAAAACGATAAATAATCTTATTTTTATGAGGTTTACGCAATAAGTAAATTTCATCAGGGTGGGAACCCTCTCGTGTAATCCAGTCCAGAAAGAATCCTTCATAATTAGGCCGCGCAGGTCCAACTTTGTAATTTTGCAAGCCTCCGGGAACTCGAGGTCGACCGGGGTCTCATTCCTCTCCAGGGTTTTCCACGTGTCGAAGATGACGCCCAGCTCGTGCGGCGTGATGGCGAGGGAGACCAGCTTGTCGAATCCGGTCAGGTCCAACGTCCCCTCCCCCACGGGCAGCTGGTCAAAGTACAGATGCAAATTTCGCAAATGGACAAACTAAAAGTGGAATTAGCAAGATAGGTACATATTTACATATAAATCGTGTTTTTCCAAAATTTCGTATCAAACTTCAAAAATAGGGATAAGTTAACCCGAAATTTTGTAATGGATTTCTTGCAAATTTTCCATATTTTGTGCACTAAATATGCTACAATGTAAAAATAGGTACCAATTTTCTGCATACAAAACAACAGTAATTTCTTGCAGTAAATTTTTGCAGATCTTTTCTCACGAAAAATTTGTTATATTATATTTGAATTTTTTTAAAAATATGGATGCATCAGAAATTAGTCCCCAATTTCTGTTTAGAAATCTTAAATCCAAATATGTATGTCCCTATTTCATGTTTAATATTTTAGCAAACCGAGAATTCATCTTATCCAAATCAATTTTGTTTCTGTGAAAAATTCAAAGTTTGTTCAAACCAAGAATACAATGAAAGGATTTTCTGATCCAATTTTCGCCAGGATTTAAAATGTTTTAAAAGTGCCACACTTATGTATGTAGCGCAACTCTTGTAAATACTCACACTCTTAAAAATACTGCCCCTTTGAACCGTAAATTCTCTTTGAATTCTATATTAAGTAAGTTATGCCCAGAGTAAAGTTTTGCTCTGGATTTTGTACAGTTTCCTAAATTTAGACTGTATTTACGCTTCAAAATGGTAACATTATTTTTAAGAGTGGACATAAAAATGTTATGCGACACGTGACCCAAATATGTAATTTCACGCACGTGTCTCAGTTCGTTGAACATCCATCCGTCCGCCAAGTCGACGTAGCCGATCTGCACCGAGATGAGACACGTGAACGGGTCCTTCCTCCGGATCGCGTGGTATCCCCCCAGCTCGGCGCGATTCAAGTACAGCGACGACCATTTCGGAGGTTCCGCTGCGAGCGCGATTTGATCCAAGTTGGGCGCTTCGAGGATGAGGCGTTCGAAGGCGAAGCGCGGAATGTGATACGGGAAAGAGGTCGTGGGGAGAGAAATGTGACGCAGCGTGGGCGCCACGGCGGTCACAAAATCGTCCCAAATTTGAGAATGGGGGTGATATTCTCGCTCTAAAAAAATTTAAAAGTATTATTTTTCAAGTGTTTTTGCTGATACTTCATTCACGCGAGGCTTTGTAGCCGTTTAAATTTTATTATGCATTTCTTATAAATATTCAACGTGTTTACCACTATTTATGAGACTGGTTGTATTAAGATATCTACGTATTAATGAATAAGACAATTCACGCAGGACTTAACAACATCGCAAACCACGTAAATTCTGCAAACTTTGATAAAATTTGGCAAAATATCTTTAGGATGAGTTATTGTAGGTTACAAATTTCTATATACCTAAGCACATCCTCAGATCATGACGTCTCTTTATTTCGTAAAGTTTGTAAAATTATTTTAAAAAATGCACGGATTTTATGAGTTTCCAATGACTGTGTGAACATTAAATATGTGCGTAGAGATGTATTACATACAGTTTTGTAGTGTGGTAACTTTTGATTATCTATTTACGCGACAAATATATATGTAATGTTTCCTATTGATTTTTTGTGAAAATAGACCTGATTTTTACAGAAATTGAGTCCCAAATTCTACGGTTTTCACCAGTAAACTATTTCGAGGTTTACACAGTTACAAAGTTTCGCGTGCCTCAATATTTTACCACGTCCCAAATCTTACTCACTTTCACTCTCCATCCTCCTCTTGAGCTTTCCCTCGACCTGCGAAACTTCACTCGTCCTATTAACCGCGAGACAGAAACATTCCAACCTCCCCCCGCAATACTGGGTCACCAGCTGCAGAATTTTGGCATAGTGATCCCACCCGAATCGGGAGCTGCCTTGTTCACTCAATTTTCCCCCGATCTGGACGGAAACCAGGTTTCCACAGGTTTTCAAAGTTTCCTCGAATTTTTCCAAATTCGTAAAATCGTCCGGATCCAGGAGCAGGGTGGCCGGCTTGTTGTCGCGATTTGTCGCCTGGTGAGATAATTTTGGGCAGAAGGTGGCAGGGACGGGGACCTCCCACTCGTCCCCTGGGGGGCAGGATGTCGCTAAAATCGTGTACTCCATGGAAAAGAGGATGAGACGGAAATAAAGTTGACTTGTTGTTTAGTCGAGGAGGAGAAATTTGTGTGGTGACTTTTCCACTAAAATTGTCATGGAGATGGTTCGTTCATATTGATTTTACCCCGTTTTAAACATTCATTATAAAAGAGGTGGCCAGGGTTTCGAGCAATTAATGCTGGCCATGATATTAATAGTTATATATTATTGCTCTTTGGGGGAAATGGGTTTCCAAAAATGCAAGCAAACGTTTTGTGGAAACATGTTTGTTTTTTTGCAGCAGGTCAAATTCAGAAATGTATACATACGTAGGTTAGCTCATGAAAATAACTCCAAATTCATAAATAATCCTTGTGGGACGTTAAGCTAAAATTATCGAAAGAAAAATAAAATTTTGAACCCAATTTTCTTGGTTTAAAAATTCTTTGGAAACGAAATTTGTGGGATAGTTTTTCTGGCAAAAAGAAACATTTTAATTACATTGAATAAAAGTTGAGATGAAACAACTCGCTGTATAAAATTGCCAAACGGAGGTTAAATTTACTTCAATTTGAGCGAAAATTCTGCAACATTGGATAAATCATAACTTTCAGTTAAGTAAATTTTACACAACAACTGTGTCATCACAAATTTTCCTCAATCTTTAGTAACATTTATTTAGCGTGTATGCATGAAAATGTTCTAAATTTTATGCAGAATCCACAATTTGTTTCATTTTGCCTCATAATCACACAAAACCCGACAAAACAGCAATCACCTACAAACCTCGCATCGTTATAGATATAATTTTCCAAACCCTGGTCACATCATGAAATTGTCGTTAAATTAGTAATTCGTTTATAAATGACTGGGTCGCAATGTAATAAATAAATACATACTGGGGAAAGTAAAATTAAAATCAATATTGAAATATTTATTCTTAAAATATCTGCACATGACACAATTCCCTATTTCCAAACGAACAAACATACATATCTACATACACAATCCAGTTTGTTTTATTCAATAATTCTCGCAATTTCAAAAACATGGACAGCCAATTCAAGCAGTTACTTAAACTTCGTAAAATCTACGTACGCATCTTGTATAACAAGTTTCCAAAATAAAATGACGCCCTTTACACAAATTTTACACTAATTTGTGAGCTAATTTTCCTGAGAAATATTTGTAAACATTTCTTTGCATACAAAGTTTGCATACAAAGATATGTGTGTTTACGGAATTTATGAATTTTACAATGTTACAAAGGATTGTGTAAATTGTGTCAGAGTTGAGTGACTGGCCTATATATTTATATATTTATAAAGTATTCTCCTAACCTAAATTAAATTCCATGTCATATGTGCATACATATTTTATGTAGTAAACTCCATATACATACAGCTACAAAGTTATCGTGGAAGAATGTAGATACATACGTAAATACATATAAATGTTGTGCCCCATATTTTAGGAATTGTTTATTTATATAAATAAACTGGGTTAAATTGCCGATTAAAGTTTACTTAATATTTTGGAACGATGAGGGCAAATTTGATTGGATGTTTAATAGTGTATTCGATTCATAAATTATTAGAAATTATTTAGGTTAAGCGTTATTGATATTTTAGTAAAATGTATGTAAGTATATACCTATGTATTAAAAATGCTATAATTCTTATTTTTTAGCTAATGTGTTTAGCTAATGCAAATATGTATAGGTACATAAGTATGTACCTACATATATTTTTTGCAGGGACAACTTTTCAGTTTATTTTGCAGCTTATTAACACTATTTTTTAGAACGTATGTAATACAATATTACGGAAATTTTTGAATATTGCTTCATACCGATATAGTGTGCAATATTTTCATATTGTGATTTGTGGCATATCTGAACACTCCACCCACCTAAATTAGTATACCTATGTAGTTAGATTGAATAAAACTACAGTTTCTTTTTATTACTATCTACAGATAGTAAATATGTAAGTAGTGAAAAGAAACCATGAAATCAGAAAACAATTGTTGTAACTACATTTTACGTTACAACCATATTTTTATTTCTTTAATGCTAATCACTATGAACAAAATTGATTTAGGCAGTTCAGCTCAAATTTAATTCATCGGCAGCAAGCTTACGGTTCGATTAACACAAAAATCCAAGACATTTATGCATGCCGCCATTTCCAAGAAATTTTGTCCGAATTTCACTTTAAGTCTGGGCAGGGATCTTAGCACCTTAATTTCCAGATTTCCTACCTTTGAAAAATGTTGCTTTGTTGGGCTTCCTTTTTCTTAGATTTTGCAATATCTTTTCTGACGTAGTGTAAATATTTCCACCTGTTCTTGTGAATAGTCCTAACAACATGACGAGCTCTGGAATAGATTGGACTTGCTATTTGGCACATGTACATGACGCCAATTATTGTGAGGTCACTCCATTTCTGGGAGGATGGTTTGTCCAATTTTTCCAAGTTGTACATCATATTTAGCAAATTGGTTACTTGGAAGTCTGAAAATTTAATAATATTGTAATAATTTTTAACGTGTACATAAATATGAATGCCAACGTGCCCGCAAAGTTCTGTCTCACAAAATTATTGTTTTAATAACCATACTTTTACTTCTTTTCATAAGCTGACGAAAATGGGTCCAAATCGAAGAGTATGAAATGCAGTGAGAAAAATTTTAATCAGGCTAGAAATTTCGAAATTAGAAATTAATGTTGCCTCAAAATTATATTTTATAAACATAGGAGAACATTTAAGTTGAAAAACATTTTCATGTGCATATTTTCAGTATTTTTAAGCACATATTACATACATATTTTGCGGAATTTACATACGTACATACATATATATTTGCTCATTTGCGAAAAATACAATTCCAAAAATCTACAAAATACAAATGTTTTTGACGAATTAAGAAAAATTTTGAACATGACTGATGGAACAAAACTTTGTGCGCAACCCAACATTTCCATACTTTTTCTCCACGCGATCAGATTAATTGACACATCTGCCAATAAGGCGACCGAGGTCATCGCAATCAGTACAAGTGAGGCAATTCCGAAATTATTTGGCGTAACTTGTGTCGCAGAAAGCCGGTAGGTCACATATAATCCGTTTAGCCCAACAAAGAACCCGAACGATGTCACAATAGCGAAAAGAACTGTTTTCCATGGAGATCCTTTGGGATGGATCGACTCCACAAAAGTTTTATCTTTTTTGGAAAACTTGTAACAATTAAACCCCAAAAATCGACAGAGTCCTATCTGACTTTTGAAGCAGGATAGCATAAGATTGGTCAACATTTTACGTTTTAAATTAATTAAATTTTTCTAAAAATGCATGTTTCACTTTGTCCGAACCGCCTTATAAATATTGCAAAAAAAATTCACAAATATTCGGGTAATGCCTGGAAAATTCCCATGGGTTGTCGAAATCTTGTAAATTATGTATGTATGTATGTACCTACTACTGCCATAAGTTTTGACCACTAAACAAATTAATGTAGCGGACTCAGTTTAGTGAATTTTAAAAAACGAACGATATCATGAGAAAGCCTATTAAATTCCCTACAAAATATACCGGGCACTTTCCAAAATTTCCTCCTTTCGAAGCTACAATAGCCCAAAGTCTAGATATCCACATCTCACTCGCGGTACGCACTCATTCCAAGGAATATTAGTCTCATTTCTAAGCGACAGATTTTTTCTCGGATTCCAAACTTGTGTGGTGTTTAGCACATGTATCTAGCTTCAGTTTGGACCACATATCGTATTCCAGAAGGTTGAGGTTCGGCGACAGTGCATTTTATTCTTGATCCGAAATGGAGTAAGAAATTTTGGAATTTTACCCCATTTTTACTATTTTGGCCTTATCAGCAGGTCCTGAGCCCTGCTCGAATACTTAGCAGCTATTTTTTAATAGAGTGTGGTCCAGTGGTTCTTCCATTCGCTCGATAACTTCAAAAAATACTTTTTGACAAGAAATTTCACCCCCAGAGGAAGACAATTCACTTTTTTGACCAAATCCAATCTACGCCGAATAAAAAAATCACAGAATCTGGATGGTGGGTCCGACTAATATTTTAAAAAATTTTATGAATAATATGGACTGGTGGGGTGTGGACAAAGTGCTTTTGCTAATTTTATATGACCTCTATTGTGAAAGTTTACTTATCTTTGAAAAATTCTTATTTCCATTTTGAAGCGCGTACCGCATGATCAGTGCGCGGCTTTCAAGGGTCCTATTTTTACTTGGCGTGAAGTTAGCAAGTGTTTCTTTTCACATCTTAAAAACATAAGTCCAAGGTCGAGTTTAGGGGCCTGGGACGTAGTTTTACTTGGACCGTTCATTTGTAGGGACATTTTTCTTAGGATCCGGCGTGAATTCAGCCGAGTTCAGGTTTTGTGCGCCTTCGTGATTTTTTGTGACCTTTTTGACCGTTCCCTTCAACTCGGTTTTCGGTTATCAACACTGCCAATGTTAGTGGATCATTTTATGGTATGGTCGACCATCTTGCAATTAGTTCCGATTTTTAATGATCTATTGAAAAATGCCGAATTTTTATGTTTGCAAAAATGTTTCTGAAAAATTGCAACACGTCGATTTGTCCGATCTGTCATTTTAGCACCTTGTATCACAAAAAATTTCGGAAGATGGTTTCTGATAGACAATTGCATGGGGAATTCAATAAAAAATAGTACAACTGGCTAACGTAACTGCTACTGATGTTTTTTGCGCGCGGAATGCTTGAGACAGAATATATGGCAGTAGTAGGTAGGAACGGGCGATATTTTTTGACAAACTTTCAAATTTATTCTGTTTTCCACATGTGTCCAATTTATGTAGGTTTCGTACTTAAAAATTAGTATGCATCACAACACTCGTGATTAACAATATCTCCTTATGTTTTGAACACTATGTATACTATGTAAGATATGTAAATCTGCATGGGTTGCGGTACAATTATGTTGCGAGCATTAAAAGAAGAATATAATTCTTGAGGACTTGTCAACCATCATCGCTCCTCAGGGCGAGGGCTTCACATAAGTTTCACGATAATTAAGCGCTACCCGTAAGGTGAGAAATTGATCGTAATTTTCCCATCACCTGAACCCGAACGAGGTCACTGAGCAGCGATCTTGTTTTAAAGTTGACACAATAGGATGAGTTGAATTGATTCTTGGGACACTCTAGAAAGACTGATTCTTCATGGACAAATGCATCAGCCTACGTATGAATAACTTTTTAAGTTATCTTTCATGCTATCACATAGCAAATATTTGTCATGGGAAGTCACGAGAAAAATTTTCCAACCACATAAATTGCCTTGAGAATACATAAACATGTCAAGATTGAGTATGCATAAATATGTAGGAGCATGTGCCATTTGTAGTACTCTTACAAGGGAAACTCCGAAGCTGTAAAGACTCTCTACACTCAAAATAAGGTAGTAATGAATCATTACCATGCGGAATCACTATGTGTCTCTACCACGTCGGTTACAATTTGTCGTAGAAATGGTAATAATAATTTCAGGGAAATTCAAATTCATTACCAAATATTAAGGAAGTGAATACCATTATGTATTAAATTTGAATTTCCCTGAACTTATTATTACCATTTCTACGACAAATCGTAACCGAAGTGGTAGAGACACATAGTGATTCCGCCTGGTAATGATTCATTACTACCTTATTTTGAGTGTAACAATGGTGCAGAATGATTCATGAAAATCCGAATTATTTACAAGGTATTGACACTGAGAGCCATTAACTTTGCCGTAAAAATGAGAAGGTGCTTGTTTTATAAGAATTTTATAAACGGCACATGCTACCATTTAGAAATTATTTAGAAGCTAATTTTACACCCTTGATTTGATTTTAACTATTCAGTATTACATCATTTTTTAGAGGTTTATACCTCTGAACGTTAAAAAGTTTCGTGTCCAACTAACTTCAACCAAAGTAAACTGGAAGCAAAACTTGTGCAAAATTTATGTAAGCACAGAATCTTTAAACGCGAAATAGAATTTGCAAAAGTGAAGCCTGTTCAGGACTAAGGAGGAGACACTCCCAACTGGACAGTACCAGATTTTGATAACCTTCAAATATTTAAGCTGTAGTAAGGGAATGGCTTCGCAAAAATTGAAATTTTAAAAGAGTTGAGTTTGATATCGGATATGGTAAAGAAATTGCATTCTCAACAAAAATGTCACTAAAATCGTCTCCTCGTACAGGTATTTTTAGCGACAAAATAATAAAAAAAATTGGCAACGAGTATTTTTATTTATTTCAAAATTTATCTATGTATGTATTTATATATTTATGGGTTATCTTTTTTTTACATAAATGTTCATATCTATGAACCATATATGAACATATTTGCAGACATGCAATCTAGAATGCATGTCTGCAAATATGTAGAGTGTGGGCATGTTATCAAATTCTTTACACGTTTCTTGGAAATTTCCACCGAACCACACCGTACTACATTTATTTTCCATTTTTGTCGGACAACCGTACATATGTATCTACTTATGTAATACTTAAAAAAAACACAGCCAAAGCAAAGCCAAAAACGCAAATATATATGGACATACCAGAGGTGAGCTGGATCGTCATTTTTTGATATCCAATCCGTCCAAATCCATTTGGCCCAAAAAATTTCAGATCCAATCCATCCAAATCCAGTTGGACTGGATCGGGCCATGCATTATCCAAAAAATGGATATCCAGCTCATCTCTAGGACATACACAAAATTTAGAACTACCGTAAAACCTCTATTTATAGCCGGGGCTAAAATCCAAAACTGAGGGTCACGGACCCGGCTAAAATTAGAGACCGGCTATAATTAGAGACCCGGCTAAATTTTGTTGCTCCAAAAATTTTAGATGTTACAAAATTAAATATAATTCATGTTGACTCAATTTGAGTTTTGTAATTTAGCAAGATAAGCCATAAGTAACCCATTCACTTTTAATCTACATCTTGAAACGAAGTTTAGCAGGTTTTTTAAATCTTATTTCATGATTATATCCATTATTAACCTGAAATTAATAGGAAAAAATTAGTAGTTCAACTTATTCGTTGATTGGCATAATGTGAAACATTTTTCTTTAATGGACTATGAACAGGGACACAGAGGACAAGACAGGTCATAATTAGAGACCCGGCCATAATTGGGGACCCGGCTATAATTAGAGACCCGGTTAAAATTTTGAAATCTTGGTCTGTAGGCCCGGCTATATTTGGAGACCGGCTATAATTAGAAGAGGGCTATAAATAGAGGTTTTACGGTATGTATGTACAGATTTATACACTTTTATACGAATAAGATTGGAGTCATTGAATGGAATGTATTGGTGTATTAAAAGGTTTGTACATACATATTCAGAACTGTGTTCTATTTTAAGACACAAACTCACTCTTAAAAATAAAGCTACTCATGTGAGAAATGCATACGTACACTCTGAATTTAATTTTAAGGAGTAAACTATGCAAAATCCAGAATAACTTTTACTCTTTATCAGTTTCACGTTACTCTGGATTTAGTATTTTACTTACATAATTTAGAATTTATAGTGTATTCACTTTTTAAAAGGGTAACATTATTTTTAAGAGTGTTATCATTCTCCGGGCTTGACGTCTCATTTGCATATCTATCCAGACATTTGCATAAACTTTGTCCACGTGAAATCTTATCATGCGAAAGGAAGTGAGCTTCCCGAGCAGTCCTTCCAACAACTTGTCCCGTGTGGTCTAGTGGTTAGGATCTCCCGCTCTCACCGGGAAGGCCCGGGTTCGATTCCCGGCACGGGAAAGAATTTTTGCCACTTTTTACAGCATAACTAACTTTTGAAATATTTATTTTAATACACGGCAAAAGTAGGAATTAATTTAGTCGCCACTTTTTAGAAAAATTAATGCGTCTTTATGTAAATTATGTCATTCTTTCAGATAAAAAAGTGGATAAATTGTGGTTGATGAATGATGATTATTTATTTCATGCAAAAAACGCTTCTTCTCTTCAATTAATCATGCATGCAAAATATATTTGCAGAGTCTAAAATACTGCAAAGAAGTATTTTATGTAACTACAAAATTTATTTACTCCTGTCAATTTTATTTAGTGTACACAAATACGATTAATTTTAACAAGAGTGAAAAAATTGAAGTATGTAACGAAAAATGCACAATTTTCAGATCACCACTTGTTCCAAGTTACACACATTTTTAACACGTGGCGTAAATGGAGCTGCCACTAAATATGTAAATATTTAAATATAACTCTTCTACATATTATCTATGACATACAAACATTAACTATGTATGCTAAAATTTTGCCATAATTCGGCCAAAACAGGGTACATAAAACGATTCAAAAATTAAACTAGCATTGCAAATTGATAAAATTATTTATGCTTGTAAAAACCATGCAAAAAAGTCTTTTCTCAACTGACTATTTATACAAAATATTTTAAAACATTTGTTAGATTTTCTAAATTTCCAAAAACAGCGTAAAAATTGTTATAAAAAGTTTACAGACCTCAAGGGTTTAAAGTGGGTAAATGCATACATGAAACACGTAGTTTTTTTTACGAATACATACAAAACATCGTCCTAAATATTTAGCAAACTGCGTTACAAATCTCTGACATACATATTTACATAGTTATCTCATAATATATGTTCAAAAAACCTCAAAACATTTGCTTAACAGCAACCAAAACTTTCCAACAAAAAAATAATTGCTTTAAAATCATAAAACTATTGAGGATATATATTTATAAAAAAAGTGGAAACTTAAGAATTAATTACGAAATGCACAAAAAAGCTTTTCCAAAAAAATAAAACGTGCATAAGAAACGCCGTAAATTATATTCCCATCGCCATCAATTACATCATATTTCCTCACAACACATGTCCCATTTTTTCACTAAATGCACAAAAATCCGCAAAATTTTCGCAATAAAATATTTCCTGATAAAAAAAACGCTTCAAATTAATCCCCCTTCTTCTCCCCCAACTACATCATATTTGCCCCCAACACGTGTCCAATCGCCGCTCCTAAATGTCCCATCTGTCCCAAATTCCCTCCTCCCCCTCCTCCCCCAACATAACCCCCAGGGGGAATAGGAATCTGCTGTTGCTGCTGTGGTGGTTGCTGTCCTTGTACTTGTTGTTGCACCTGCTGTTGCTGTTGCACTTCTTGTTGTTGCACTTGTTGCTGCTGCTGCTGCTGATGGCCCAACCTGACCTTACAGTACCGCTTATGACTCGCCAAATGCGGCAATTCGGCACACCCCTTCCCACAAAATTCGCACCTAAACGGCAAATTTTTCACGACCGGGGGCCCTCCTCCACCTGCTCCTCCTTCATTACTATGAATCTTCTCATGCCTCGCCAATTTCCTTTTCGCCACAAAATCCTTCCCACACGTGCCACAAACATACGGCCTTTCTCCCGTGTGACTCCTCACATGAATCGTCAACTGTTCCCGGAGCCGAAATCGGGCCAGGCAATACTCACAGGAAAAGGGTTTTTCCCCCGTGTGCCCCCGCATATGGATGCGTTTGTGGCTTTCTTGTATGAAACCGAGGCCGCAAACCTCACAGGAAATGCGAAATTGTTTTAGGTGCACGGTTTTGTTATGGTTTTTCAGATTGGTCGGGTTGGAAAAGATTTTGTCGCAGGCGGTGCAGCGATAAGCTTCAAGGTTAAGTTCGGGATGCGTCGTTTGATGGTATTTGAGGAAGGTGGGTTGCGAAAATGCTTGGGCGCAGATTTCGCACACGTAGTTTTTCTGCTTGGTGTGCGTCCCGATGTGGGCGGTGAGGCGGTGGTGGCGGAAGAAGGCTTTCGGGCAGTAGGTGCACTTTAAGGGGGGTTCGGTCCAGTGCATCTTTTCGATGTGGCGTTCCCGAGAGACGGTCGTGATGAAGGCGGAGGTGCAGTGGGGGCAGGCGAAGGGGGTTTCGCCGGTGTGGGTGCGGCGGTGGTGGAGGGCGAGTTCGGCGGGGTTCCGGTATTTTTGGGAACAAAGGGGGCAGACGTGGCGTTTTTCGGCTGGAAGTAGAAAGAGAGATTAGGTTTTTTTTCGGGGGGAAATGTGTGGGATTTTATAAATCGGGAATTTAATGCGAAGATTTTTTAAAATTGGGAATTAATAAATGGGAAGATTTTTTTAAGGTGGAAAATTATTATTTGGAGGATTTTTAAAATTAGGAATTTAGGGTTTTGTTAAATCGGGAATTTGTGGATTTAGAGAAGTTTCTTAATCGATTTCTTAATTTATATTTATATGTAGGATTTGGAGGATTTTATAGAATCGGGGATTTATTATTTAGAGGATTTTGTAAATCGGAAACTTAGGAATTAGATGAATTTTTGATTAGGAATTTAAGATTTCCTGGTTTAATCGGGGAATTTTTGTTTTGACTTATTTTTTAACGGGGTACTTTTAAGATGGAAGGCATTTTTTATATCCGGATTTGATAGATTTTAGTCAGACTCGGGTCCCGTAAAATTCGGGGTGGAACCGATCCGGAAAACTAACCAGGAACGGACTCAAACTATTTATTGTTTTCAATTTCCATTTTAATTCCAGGATGAATTTGGGGAAATTTAGATTATAATTTATGCAAAATCGGATGGAATTTTGAATCTCCGAATTCGGGATGTTCAATAAAGATTCAAATTTTGTAATAAGTGCATGCATACCGTAAGTGCCTCTTTTTCTTGGAGCGATTCCATGCTTGGAGAATAAATGCGCCACGAGGATTTTTTTGCGGATAAAGAGTTCATCGCAGTGTTCGCAAGGGTAACGCTTTTTGCCACCTGGAAGATTTTAGTTTGCAAAATTATTACTTTTCGTTCATCGTGGAGTAGATTTCTTAATTTAGGATTTGCAACATTAAATTTTAATACAAATTAAAAATTTCTCGCAAAAATGAAACAGAAAGATTTGAAGAGTTTAAATTATTCATAAAGGTTTAGCAAAATAAAAATAAAATCGCAAGCTTTATGCTCCCAATAATAATTTGCACAACTTTTGGCATGGGGTAAATGTGAAATTGGCAAGGTTTTGTTTCGCAAGGGATTACGTAATTTGCATACATTTTAGCAAGATATTAGCCTTATCAACTTAAAAAATGATAGCAGAAAGGAATTAGCAAGGTTTTATTTGTTGCATTAAATATTTCGCATATATTTTAGCAAATCGCATTTACAAATTTGCAAGCGTTCGGTTCATTTACCAAAACTGTAGCCAACCACATATCAAAATTTAGAAGGTTGTCCTTCACTAGATTAAATTCATTCAGCAAAGTATACAGAAATTTCCAGGTATACAATTTTAGCAAAATAAAGTTTGCAATGTTTCAATTCCGACAACATTTCTACAAAATTGCCAAATTAAATTTGCAATTTACAAGATTAACAATATCTGTAGAAAATTATTTTCGCAAAATTTCAGCAAAAAACTAAAAAATTCATTAACAAATGTCAGAAAACTTTATGAAATTAAATTTGTAGTTTACACGATTAACAAAAGGTTCACACAATTATTGCCGCAAAATTTTAGCAAGCTACACGAGGAAACTTATTTTGGAAAAGAGCATAGCAAATTCGTTCTTAAAAAATTTTGAAAAGATATTCGCGAAATTTTGCCCACTTTGTTTGCACTTTTTCCCTTTTAAGACCCAGATTTCCGGCGTCGTCCTCCGTGTCGGAAGTGCAATTTTAGCTTAACAGTAAAATTTGCAACTTTTAGATTCCGTCGACATGCCCACAGCTCGTCGACATACAGCTCTAATTTGCAAGTTACACGTTTAAATACCTACTTTTACAAAAATCGCTAGCAAATTAAGTGTGCTAAATTTTAGCAAGCGACACAAGCAAAGTCTTTTGTAACAAAATCGTTTTTAAAAAATTGGATATTCGCGAAATTTTGCCCACTTTTTTGTGCCTTTTCCTTCTCTTCAGATCCAGGTCCATGACTTTTTTCGAAATGTGTATCTCTTTGTTGCTCCGTTTTGAACGTTCTGCGACACGTGGGATGCGAACAGGAAATTCGGACCGCGACGGGCGCGGATTTTCGGCGCTTCTTTAATCTCGCGGAGAGCGGGAGATCGTCGTCGTCATCTTTCGTAGCGCCTTCGTCATCGTTGGACGCGTCGTCATCTTCGTCCTCCGTGTCGGACGTGGCGCTGCTTTCTTCAATGTCGGAGAGTTGGTCAGCTTCCGTTACGAAGTCTTCGGACTCTTCAGACTCGGAATCTGGAAAAACATGTGTACTTTTATAAATTTTTGGGAACTTTGTACATATTTTTGTAAATTTTTGTAACTTGGTAAATATAAAGTTTGCAAATATTGATATTTGCACGTTTAAATTTTTTTAAGCTTCGTAAATTTATGTAAATTTGCAACTTTGTGGAAACTTTGATAAATTTGAACCCATAAAAAATCAAAAATTGGTGATAAATAAATACATAAACAAATTTAAAAAATACGAAACTAATAAATTACAAGTTTTTTTAAACTACCACACTTTTCGAAGTTCAATCGGAAATCTTTAAAGTTAAAAAAACATTTAAAGAAGTCACATTTAATTTATAAAAAAAATTAAAGTTTACTAAAACTGACGTGAACACTACTAAACCGTACGTAAGAACTACCAAAATCCATGTACATAAAAAAAGTCATGTACACGTAAAATTTTATCAGAACATGACAGAGTTTAAAAAATGGCGTGAAATTGCTCCTAAAATATTTATAAAGTTAAAGTTTTACAAAAATCCCTTTAAAAAGTCGCCAACTTCGAATTTCACCAAAAACTATAAAGGTTACAAATAAATGCCTTTAAAATTACTAGCAAAATATTTAAACTAGGTTAACAAACTTTGCCGTTTAAAAAGTTACAAAAAAAGTTACAAAGTTTACAAAAAATTTGTCAAAAACCCATATCCAAAATTTTCAAAAACCCGACTAACATTCCACTTCGAGGAGTTCCCTCTCATCCTTCACGGTGAGGAAGGGTTCCCCCTCTTCTTCTTCCTCGCTGTCCTCCCCCAGCAACTTTTTGTAGTCCGGTTTCGTCACCCGTCTCCCCGAATGGGTCCGGATCATGGTGACCTCCTCCGTCTTCTTCTCGCCACCACCCTCGTCACCCTCATCGTCACCCCCGATTTCGTCCAGAAGTTCGTCCGCCAACTCGGCATCCGCGTCCGCCTCGGTTTGTTGTTCCCCGGAAACGTTGTCCAGCAGGGATTTTATCGGTTTTCTGACACATCTCTTCTTCGGCGTGGAGGATGACGGCGTCGTCGTCGAGGAGGACACGCGCTTGGCACGTGGCGCCCGTTCTGCTTTGGGTTTCCGGCCTCTTTCTATAGATGTAAAAAAAATTGTTTAATTTAATTAATTAATTAAGAATTAATTAGCGATTACTTTTTGGCCGTTGCGACGGTGGGGGATCTTCAAGGTCTAAATCGTCATCGAAACTTATTTCTGCGTCAGATTCGGCTTCGGCTTTGATGTGGCCTGAAATATGGGAATAATTATAAATATAAATTATGATTTATCATAAATCATAATTTACATAAATCATTTATGTAATTAAAATCTTTATAATTTTCATAAAATTGGAAGACTTTGCAGGAATAAAATTCGACTAGGACTTAAATTCGACTAAAATGTAGTAATTGAATTTTTGCTTGTGGTTTTTCTCTCTAAATTTTTATGAACTGTGTGTGTGAAAGTTACACAGCGTAAATTAAAATTTGCAAAATTTGAAAACCTTATTTTAAAGAATTAATTTTAAAAAAACCAAACAAATTTATTAGTTAAGTAATAATTAACTAATTAACTCACCTGGACCTTCGTCATCATCATTTCTTGTACTTTTCTCGTCGCTGGCCTTTGTCGAACGGATGACGGCGGCGCGGACACGGTCGAATATTGGAGGATCGCCCTCGGCCGCGGCGTCGGGGGCGGCATCGGTGGCCGCAGTGCTGCTCTCTTCCCACGTGCCTTCCACGAGGGCCAACACCTAATTACATAATTAGTTAATTAGAATAATGATGATTAAAATATACATTGGATTTGACATTTAATTAATTAGAAAATTATTCACCGAACTTTGTAAAATTATGGATTTTACGGCATTCATAACGCTGTAAAATCCTTAAGTTTTACACAGTTTACAAAGCTCAGGGTGATTTTCGTCCTTAAATACGTACCCGTTTTCGGTGTCCATCTAATTGTACTTGACAGAGGTCAATCTGGAGGCGAAGCTGTCTCGCGGCGACGATCAGGGCGGCGCAGTCGTCGCAAAATGAGACCCAGGTCGATGGCGAGGCTTGGCTGGGGGGACAAAATACAAATTTTAAAATTCACAACGTCAAAATTTCATAAAAAATCATAACATTCATAAAATTTAGTTTCATAAAATTACGCAAATCTTTAGCATCAACCTTTGACACAAATTGCCAACTTTTTAATTACAAATGCACACAAATTACTAAATTTGTAGTTAAAAGCGTACACAAATTAACAAATTTGAAATTAAGAATGTACAAAACTTCGCAAACCTTCAGAATTCCTAAAAGCCCTCAACTTTTTCCAAAATAATCTTCCAAAACAATATTTCCTCACCTTTTCACCAAACTTTCCAGCAACTTGGTCAACCCCCCGGCCTCTTTTTGTCTTGCAATATCCCCCTTTCGAGCCCCCAAATGTACCAAAAATTGTGGGGGGAGGAGATCCGTCAAGAAAAATAAGTTAATCTCGTCCCCAATCGTGTCCTCCCCTGCGCCGCGATTATTCTCGCTGACCGGCGCCGTACAAACGACACACTTTTCACCCGAAGTGGTGGTCGTCATGTCGGAAACTTTTTTTTTTCAGAAACTTATTACTTTGTTTTTATTTTTATTTTTGACTGGACAAAATAAAGTGAAGTGAAGGGCGGTGGAGGAGAGGAGTAAAGTGAAACAGGCTTTTCAGAGATGGGGGCTGTGCACGCTGGATGGCGTGAAGTTAGCCTTTGTTCAGCCCGTGTTCATCCCTTTGTTCCGCAGTTGGGTAGCGTTCCTATGAATTTGTAAGCATGACGGAAATTTCGGAAACTTTGTTTTTATAAATTTCTGACAGCATCAGGTTCGAATGATGTACATGATTTTCATGAAAATGTCTGATTTTCATATTTAATGTGAGACGTTTACACAGTTTTCTTAATAAATTAAGGATTTTTAAAAAATTTTTCACCCTTTTTATTTAAGATGAGTTTGCGATAATGTAAAAGTTTGGAAATGTATTTTTATGAATTTCTGACCGCATCAGGTTCGAAGGAGGGGTATGATTTCCATGAAAGAATGAGCGACTTGTATGATTTTTAATGTCAGATTACAGGTTTAAAGAAGTTTTGTTAACTTTTAAACTCTTTTTAAATATGAGATGGTAAGATAAGCAGTTCGATAAGGTTTATTGTCCTAGTTTTATAAGTATATTTTACTACGTGAACGTTGCCTGGATTCATAATTTATATTTTTTTCATGAAAATGTTTCATGAAAATTTTACAGCATCTTTTTATTTAAAATCGCATCGATTTTAAATATATTCAATCACAAAATAAATTTAGGAAGTGTCCTTATTTATAAATAACCCAAGAAATTGTATTACTCGAAAGTTTCCGGGATATAAAATTTGGCCTTTCGTGTCTCCATCAAACTCAAGTTCAGTCAAGTTGAGACACATTCACACACAGACACATTGTTACATATTGTTTTTGTATTGTAAAAATTGCAAAATTTCCACTCTTTTTAGACTTTAAGTCTCCATTTGCGAAATGGAAATTAAAATTGAGACAAAATACAAAATAAGGCAGCATTATTTAAGGCTTGACCAAAAATGTGTATCTCCCATTTTGTGAATTTTTGCGTCCCACCCTAATCTTATATTCATGCACTTTTAAAAATAAATTTCCCATTTTGAAAAGTAAATCGACTCTGAATTCGTTATTAAGTTAACTACACGAAATCCAGAGTAACGTTAGCTTGATGAGTAGTAAAATCTACTCTCGATGCAGTTTTGTTTAATTAATGTAAAATTGAGAATAAATTAACTTTTCAAAAAGGTAAACTCATTTTTAAGAGTGTCCATCATCCAACGCTCCATTATTTGACGTTGTCAACGACAATTTTTGTTAATTAAGTACTTGTAGCATCAAAATCTCATAAATTTTCGCCCTTAATCTGAGAAAGATTTGTGAGTTAACAAAATAATGGAGTTGTAATGTTACCAAGCCTTGCGTGAATTGCATCACATTTTCATTCCCTTCGAGAAGATTCATAATATTATGAAATAACCTTCATACATAAGTAACAAGCGCTACATTTTGGAGAGTACAAAAAATCCAGTTTGCCTTCATCCTCCAATCCAACAAGTGGATAAGGGTCAAACTTTGTGGTAAACCTCACCACCCGTGCCCAATCTCGACCCCTCTCGATTTACCAGAGATGAACGTTGCCTCGAATAATTCAGAGAGGGTTCGATGCCACATTTACTTCATGGAGTGGCGTCCACCTAGTTTGTGTAATTTTACAAAGTTGCAATTTTAGAAAATTTTAAGAATTTCAGAAAATAAGTTTAAGTTTTCTGTGAATTTTTCATTTTTTATTTTGAAAATTTGCACAAGTTTTTAACACATTTATGTACTTTTGTTTCCGAATTTTGCGTAACTAAGATAATTCGCATATGTATGTATGTAACAGCAGAAATTTTTGCAAGATATGCGAAACTAGGATTTGCAAATACCTGAATTTTATCAAGCTAACTATTTAACCCTTAACTTGCAAAAAAATTGCAGTATTCATAACCCACATGAATGTCCTCTTGGATAAAGACGCCCAATTTGGCAACATCTCTGCAAATCACACGTACTCTTAATTTTTTGCATCTTTGTCCTCTGCATCGAAACAACCTTTCTCTTCGAGGTCAGTCTTACACAAAGAAGGAATGAAATAACACCATAATTCGCGAAGAGCGAATTTTTTTAGCAAAAATGTGGGGGGAGCAATAAGGGGCCCGATGGGCCAGGTCAAAGTCAGAACAACAGGACGCAAGGTACAATTTTTGTATAATTTTGAAAGTGGGGCTAAAATTCTGGACAAAGTTTCGCCAAAAATTGGCCAAATTTCACAAATTGTTACTTATTATTTTTTGCAATTTGATTTTAGGTAACATCTAGAACAGTGCGAGATCATTATACTCCCCCAGGGACGTTATAAAAAAAAGAACATCTTAAAGGTGAGGGTACTAAACATTTAAACCACTTTTTACGCGAGATTTCGTAACTGTGTAAACGTTGTAAAATCCGTAACCTTTTATAAATATTTTTGTAAACTTTTATAAAATAAAAAGATGCATTTGATCGGAGTTCATTTACGGAAGTTTTTACACTAATTTTTCAGAGAAATATTGGCAAAAGTGTGCAAATTTATGTATTTTATGAATTTACAAAGTTACCAAGCCCTACGTTAATTGCCTCGCGTAACGCAAAACTTTGTAACTTCAAATTTTGAAAGCTCGGATCATATGTTTCCACAATTTTATCAATATTAGAAACAAAAAAAATTGTAAATTGTCTCATCTACATAAATATGTATGTATAAAACTACACAAAATTTACCAAGTTACGAAACTTTACGTAACATATCCTCCGCCAACACTTGTTAAATCTTAACCATCAAAAATTTAATTTATAGACAACATCAAATTAATGAACACCACAACACCATCTCTCTCCTCAAGTGACGATAACCTGTTCCAATTGTTCTTCAATGCTGAGAACGATTCGAACCAGGCTTTCACTTCCGGTCATGATAATGCAGCTGAGGTCAACGACCTTCACCACGATGTGGGGGGCCCTTTCTCCGAATTGGTCCTTTTTCCGTTCCAGGTCGAGGTCAATGACCCCGAGGTCAATGACCCTGACCCCACTCTTCCATTGGACACTCCTGAATCACCACCGCCGCCATTAAAACGGAAACGCGGCCGACCGCCAAATTTAAACAAAAAGATCACCCAGGTCACGAAAAAAGCTAAAAAATACGAGGAACCACCAACCTCAAAATCAGTCCGAAATGCGATCGGTGCAAAGCGAAATCGTGACCTGAAGAAGGAAGCATTTGCAAAAATGCAGTCGGAAAACGAGTCCTTAAACGCGCAAAATTTGGCCCTTACCAATCAGGTCGTTGCCCTTTTGGCCGAAAAAGAAGATTCCGACGCCAGAATTTCAAAACTAACCGCGGAAAATGAAAATTACCGGAAAAGATTCGACCTCATCTTGAAAAATGCGTTGTTCGGAGGAGAAAAAGTCGACCACGTGGATGACCACGTGGTAATATCCAGCGCGGATATTACTTCCGGCGTGGGGATGATGTACTCATCCCCACTCGACGATAATTTTGAGGGGCCCGACTCACTCGCAGAATTGGATCAATTATTGGGACTCGATAAAATTCTGGAAACGTGCGAGTCGGGCTATTAGAAGTCATAGTTTTAGGCACTTAGTTATCGGTGTGCCATAAATTGTGTAACGCATTCTTTTCAAAACCCGGTAGAATTTGTGTAAATATTTGCATAAAATTCAAAATTTTAATTTAACAGCTTTAAACTATTTAAAATTTAAATATTCAATTTAACAGCTTTAAACTATTTAAAATTTAAATATTCAATTTAACAGCTTTAAAAAATTTACATATGTACACAGGATTAAAAATATTCAATTTAAAACCGTTACACAATTTATGGACACCAAAAATACATCTTTTAAATACACTCATCTTTAATAACGTTACGCCAGTGATGTTGTTTAATTTGTTTGTACTGACCCCTTCCCTCCCACCGGAACAGTTCTAGAGTCGCATTATTTAAGGGGAAAATTGCTGGAAAATATTGAACAAATTAGCAGAAAATATTACAAAAACTGCTAAAAAATATGGCAAAAGTGGGTAGAAAATATGTCTAAAATTAACTGAAAATATTGCCAAAAACGAATAGAAAATACTGCCAAAAATATTCAAAATTTTGACAAATTGCTAAAAAAATCAGTGTATAAAATTGAAAACATCTCAATCATCAAACAATTTAGGAACTTGTAACCCTGCAAAATTAAATTAACAACCTTAGCAAAAAATTTCCATGAAAAAAACAACAAGAAAAAAATTCGAGTCAGTTAAACCGAAAAAATTCAATGTTTCTCATGGATTAAAAAATAACACCCTTATCCAGCAATAAATTTCCCCCCGGTAAAAATGCCAATTTCTACAAAACTGGTCCCTAGGAGGGAAGGTACAGATTTTGTCAACGTTCCTAAACAATTGAAAAGTTTCGATTGTTAGCAACGGCACAAATTTTAAGAAACTGAGAGGAAATTCGTAAGATACCTAAAATGACAAGTGTCAATTTTACATCTTACGAGACACGGTTCACTCTGAGGACTAATTTGTGCGAAATTCTGAGCAAAATTTTGATTCGTAAAATTTCGCTTACAATTTTGCACACTTTTTTATTCGGAGTGTTTAAGTACCTCGTTTCGAAAGAGACCCTTTTTACGGTGCGGGTGTTGAGGGGGATTAATTGGGGGATTACCCAAAAAAATCTTGGATCACATCCAACCCGTAAGTCTCACTTCTGGTCAGGTCCTACATGTCGAAGGGGGAAGGTTCATATATTACGTCATTAAAAAAGTCAGTGGGTAGTTTGGAGTCGTATATCTTACCCGTGTTAAGTTTAACATGGGAAGGATAGGCAAGGGAAAGGATGATATTAAAATCCGCGTTTTTTAATTACGTAATATACGAAGGGTCCCCCGATGTGACGTGTAGGTTCGTTTTTCAGCGTTGAATTAACGTACCGTGCACCAGATCGGAATTTGATATTCTGATGTTGGGGTTAATCCGCGAAAACGGCAAACTTAAATGTGGCATGATTTTGTATATAGTATTTTTCAAAATATATGTATGAGTATGTATGTATCATGTACGTCTAACAAGAAAAATTAAATGGGGGTGGTTACTAACAAGTTGAAAAATTGGACCAGAATTTTTGTATTTTTTGGTATCATGAAAATTACTCAAAGGATATGCATACCTACTTATTTACATATTTAAGAAATGGTTAAATGGATACCTAAGTACATATATTGGGCATACTCACGCCAAATATGTATAATTTTCTTATTTAGTTATGTATAAATTTAGCGGTGTACCATAAATTGTGTAACGCATTGTTTTCAAAACCCGGTAGAATTTATGTAACTATTTACATAAAATTTCAATTTTCAATTTAACAACATATTTTTTCAAAGCCCGGTAGAATTTATGTATATACAATTCAAAATAATATCCAATTTAACAGCTTTAAAGAATTTAAAATTCAAAATATTCAATTTAATAGATTTATTCAAGTTAGATATAATTCAAATATTTAAGTTACAATCTTTCTGCCTTTTTTGGAATTATGAAAATTACTCGAAGAATGTGCACACCAACTTATTTAAATATTTAAGAAATAGTTAAATGCATATGAATACCTAAGTAACCCAAGTACATATATTGGGCATACAAGTTGGGCATATCACGGCAAGTACGGCAAATTGATCAAAAAAAATTCCACAAGGGTAACATCATCTCTATTATTTAAAAAATTGCTTGATTTATTCACTGACAGCATTCCACATTCGCCGGATATCCTGGACAACTCCAGCCACCCCCACAGCGCGAATAGCAAGTATATTTCCCGCTGCGATCCACGCAATTCCAGCCACTCCACCCACAACAGGAGGCTACATATGTAAATTTATAATTTCAACCAACACATAATTTTGTACAAATTGGTATTGTGTTCTAAATTATTTATTTACTCTTACCGTCAGCTTTTATGATGAAAAATATGATTACCACAAACAGAAAAAGAATCCAGGTCTTCAAAGAATTTAGGGACATTTTGTATCTAATTTACCAAAATTAAATGTTACTAATTTCGACAAGACTGGAATTTTTTTCTAAATGCTCACTTTAGCAAGGATAATTCTAAATCTGAACGAATTTATTTAAGTCATCTACCTTTTTATTTATATACTTTACATATTTTTGTGAAGGCTTTCAAAATTCGGCAGTAAGATACAAAATTATAATTTCATAAATATTCATTCAATCACATAAACCTTTCATAAGAGGATGCACACCTGCTGAAATTGCAAAATTGTAAAGTTTACAGAAAATTTTAATTTATAATGTAAGTGTACGTGACACGAGTCACATATTTGCCTTCAAGTGAAATAATTATCTAATTATTATTATGTATTTATTAATTTAAATTTTGAATAACACAACTAAAAACTTGCCATCGTAGATAAATATTTTGAAGAGAAACTCGTTAAAAACACTTTTATTAGAAAAATCATAATTTCTTTGAAATGTCACATTCAAACGGCGCATGTAAAGTTTTTTTTAATATAGTTAAAATACATTATCTATTTTCATTTTAATGTGCAACACATTTAAATAATTATGTATGTGGCCCGAGTCAGGTTGCTTGCATAATTAAGCATTCTTTACTAAACATACTTAAACATCCTGAGTTTAAAATTTTCTTCAGTTAAACAGTTCCCAACAACTGTAAATATATCAATTTGACAAAATAACTAAATTAAAAAAATGATTTTGAAGGATATCAAGTTTTATTTCTTCATGGTTTTAATTATTGCAACAAGTCTCGTCTTCGATAAGGTCGAAGGTATTTTAATTAATTAAGTAAAAATTCTAAATTTACGTCCTTTCAATATGTACAGAAATTTATAATACTTTGGAAACATTTATTTTAAAAAATTGCTTAATTTTTTAGCTGCCTGTTGCGGATCATCAAATTGGAACTGTGTAGACCGGCCTTCGATGTACTCTTGCATGTCGCGATGTGCTGGAGCCTGGAGTTGTCCAGGGTATCCGGCAAATGTGGAATGCTGCGTTTAAAAAGAAGTTTTCACACGGTTGAAGTACTTCCGTTTCAAACCCAATTCAATTAAAGATGAGTTGCATTAAATTAAAATTTATATAGAAATACAAAAAATCGATTCGCATTGTATTTATAAGTGATTTATTTTATACCCTCCAACTATAATATAACTTATATTATATAAGTAATTTACAGCATTTCCGCTTTTTATGGTTTTGAAAACGAATGTGGATCCCCTTGACAAAAAATTATAGGTAATTTATTTTGAAGTTATAAATTTAACAATTTGAGCTTCGCGATATTATATGTTCGATTTGGTACACAAATATGTATCCCCTGTCTCCTGAATTTTAGCCTATTAAAAAATTGAAATGTTTAATGTAAATATATAAAAATTCAAAAATTTCGATAAAGCAATTCACAAGTTCCTTATGATAAATATGTATGCATAAGCATACATACAATTATATTTTGCACATTTATCAGACAGCATATTTGTCCTTGCATGAATAAAGTTTGCACGTAAATTTGCAGTTTGTGCACATACTACATACATCACAAAATATTTAACTGGACGCATAATGCATACATTGCAGCCATAACCATGCTCATCACTTAACGGCATAAACTTCACTTAAAAAAACAAGTTGTTCACCATCAATTATTGCCTATTTATGTACGTACGTTACCGTCCAATAACAAGTATGCGGTAGTAAACGTTCTTTATCTTACGGAAATAACCTTACTGGAACATATGCACAAATGTCGTAAAAACTATTTATAGGAAAACAGCGCACTGTTCCACTGCAAGGAAATGATTAATCTTCAGTTTCCGCAGCCTTCCTAAATTTTTTTGGTGATAAATTTTACGAATTTTGTTCCTAATTTACTTACTAAAAAAATGGTATACTTCAATCTGAAGACATCTCAGGAACTTCTTCAATTCATACTGTTATGTACATATTTGCATGTAAATTTGCACAGTTTACGCACATGTGTACATTCATAAATGATCAGTATCCATCTGAATAATGCATATATTTATTCACAAGACGATGTACACGCTTAAAAATAAAGTTACCCATTCAAACAATAAATATTTACATCGTGAATTTTAAATTTCCTAAACTACAAAATCCAGCATAAACTTAATTCTTTATCAAGTTACCGCTACTCTGGATTAATTTACGTAATACAGAACCCACAGTGCATTTTACTTTTGAAAAAGGGTAACACTATTTTTAAGAGTGGGTAATTGGACGTATTCATATTTACAAATGCAACAAGAGCAACGCATACATACATACATATGTATATGTGAACACATCGTAGGTGATATGTACATATGTATGTTTGTACCTACGTAAAAAAATGTGCATGCAAATTTGCACAACATGCCAAATTTGGCATAAGTGGATATCAGCATTCCTGCAACACGTAGAGACATATTTATGTAATTAGACGCATACATACCTATCCATGCAACCATAAAAACGCACATGTAGTCTCATCGTACCACAAAACACGGAACTCATCATCACCAACCAGTCACACCAGAAATCACCTCGTTGCTCTTTATATGCATAAACTTCACACAAAAAATGTAACGTCATTATACCATCCGTAGTTTCGTAGTTATGTACATATTTCCATACTTGTCCAGCACATAAATATGTAAGACAACAATTGCTCGCACTCCAAGAAACGTTCTTTCCAACAAGGAAGTAATTAATCTCAAGGTGACGTACAAATTTACATATGTAAGAAACCACCAGGAACACAATTTTACCACTCTTTTCCTCAAAAAACGTTCTGTACGCCCTTGAATTTTCGTATAAAAGGGGAACGTTTTTCGACAAAGAATCAGTAACAATCTCACCTCCATCAGTGCAACAACAAGCTCTCACTTTTATTAAGAAATCCAAATAAAGCCATCCAACTCGATAAATAAATTCACCAAACACACTGTGCTCCAAAAAATAATCCAAGATTTTTACGACGGATCAAATTCTCCTTCCGACGGACTCCAAAATTCTTCAATTTTTCGCCACCGCTCCCACTCACACGCATGAATAATTGCGAATTATTTATCAAATTTTGCCGAAACATATGTAAGGCATGTCCGATAAGTAAAGGGACTAAATTGGAATCAAGTTTATTTCGTCGTGTTCAAAAATTTACAACGCTGCTGGACTTTCGTTGAGTCTCTGATCCCCGCCACTTCCGTAACCCGGATCCCGCAGACCCGGCAACTCTCACTGTTTCCATAACGACTGTGGCTTTAACCCACGTTTGAAAACTTTTATTTTTGAAACAAGAAACGAAAACGACCCCTGACTGCCAAAGTACCCTGAAATCTCATATTACCCCGCTGATATCCCATCTGATACTTTGTATCAACATGCCCCTCGAAGAATTTAAAACTACCCTGGCTGGCGTGAAAGCTCGGATAGAGGGGTTTAACGCCGCGCTGGAAAATCATGACCGCGGGACGGTCCTTTTATCTCGAAGGGCCGCTGAACTACAATTTGTCGCCCTCAAACAACTTAAATCTGACATCGCAACTTTATACAATTTGTGCTACCGCCAAATCTCCTCGGACAAAACTATGCCGACGTATTTATTTAGCCAACGCGACGTCGCGTTAGGTCTCGTTTCTGCACTCGAAATTAGGGCAGGCGCTATGCGAAGACGGACTGCCGCACTGGTTCAAAAACTGTCGCTAGTGTCTGACTTCAAGTCGAAAAAACATTCGTTAAATGGAATCCATGGAATTTTGACAAAGTTAAAATCTATGAAACAAGCCACGAGGGGTCGTCCCGCCAAGAGGAACATCTTCAAGGGTCCGACGAAGCCCAAATTATTCAAATATCCCGCAAAGCCCAAAGTTTCCAGGGGTACAGGCAGAGCCAGCGATTTCAAGACGAACGACAAACCCCCCTCAAAAACCAGTATCAAGTCTCCCGCCAAAACGAGCGTAAAGTATCCCGCCAATCCCAACGTCGCCAAGGGTCCTTGCACCGCAATTGTCCAGCATCTCCTTCCATTCACCGAGGAGAATTGGACCACTTCCTGGGATCGTTTCACATCCCGCCAAGACAACATCTGTAACGGAATTAAAAAACTCTTTGCCGCCGTTCGGACTACTCGCGCTCAACTCGCCGCCATCCCGGTGCGCACACTCACTCAGGTAGAAGTGTTCTACATCCGATTCCTCCTGAGCCGTTTGGACGTCAAAATGATTCAGGAATTTGAGCAAACTATTCCCAACCGTTTAATGAACAAGCTCATCTCTTGGCTCCATCTTGCCAAAGAAATATGCCAGTCGACTAACTCCCGGGTAGAATCTGGCTGCAAGGCGGACGGCGGAGAGCGGGGACGCACCACTCACCGGGAGTGTGACCGAGGACGCCGCACTCGTCAGACGTATTCACGTCTCACTCGACGCTTACTATGTTGTGTTGCAACTCAATTGGCAAATTCACGAGGATCTAGAACTTTGTGCCGAAGAGGGATTCGCAAAAATTAACTTTTTCATAAGTTTCGCACAAAAAACGGTTTTGTAATATTGTTATGCACAAATTAGTTTCGATGAGTTTGAATATCTGTAAATTCTATCGCTTTTCATTTGCAGAATTACATAGTTAGTGATTTCGGAAATAATTTTATTTAATAATAATAGGCACATTTTAGGGTAAATTTTGAGATACAGAAGGTCAAACAAACTTTTTCTGGATTTTTTTTGCGAAATCCTGCGAAGCCTGCAAAATCTTTTCTAACTAGTTTATCATGCTTAATTTAAATAAGTTGGCATGCCACATAAAATAAATACCTTATACATACATATTTACATACACACATAATCTGAAAAATGTAAAAAAAAATAGAATAGTTTGTAATCTAGCACATGTCTGTTTTAATAAGCGAATAACCTACAACTTTAGCCCATTTATTTAAATAATGTCTAAAATATTTTCTAACCACATCCATTTCAAATTGCGGGTTCTGCCGTTACGTTATTTATTGTATTTAGCCGTCTCGAAATTAGTGGGTTTAAATACGGTTTACTATTATTTTGTACATATATACATACATCCATACGTACAGGTACTATAAATAGGCGTGTTTGAATATGACCTTTTATTGTGTAATACATGAAATATAGATAATAAAACAGCAACAGAAATCTATCGCAAAAAAAATTACAGCTGGAATAATTGTCAGAAATTCGAGCTTTTTTAAATCATGAAAATTAATAAAAGACTTTGCACACTTAAACATATTGGTAAATAATGCACAAATGGGCACACTCACGGCAAATCTCCCAAGTTTCTCAGATTTTAGGGTGCATACATTTTTAAATCTTGCGAAGTTTACGACATTCTTTTCAGTTTCATGGCAAATGATACGAACTTTGCTCTCGCCTAATTTATTTTTAAAATGTCATCCTTTTAATTTACTAATTTTTTGTATAACTAATTATTTGCTGCCCAAAATTTCTTTAAACTTCACACCTCAAGAATTTACTACAAGTCGTCATACTACGTCAAAATTTGCATGCAAATTTAACTTGCACAATTCACTCACATTCATGCACATGCTAATTTTCACAATTTACGCACATCTATCCACATCCTAATTTGCACAATTTGCGCACATTCACGAACATGCGAATTTGTACAAGTTAACAACATACATACACGGACATGCACATGACTTAATAGAATCCTCTGGAACATTGAATAGATCAATTTGAACTAACATACATACATGATACAAACCGTCATCGGATGCATATTTGAATATGTACACATGCAACCACAAAAATGCACACATAATAACATCTCACCTATTAACGAACGTCATCATAAACAAAAAAACGTCGCATTTATGTGCATAAACTTCATACAAGCAAGTGTTAACAAGGTCCTCATAAAATCGGTCATGTCCTAAATACCAACAAACTTATTTGCGCACATATGTACATACTATGTTGATAAGTACATACATAAATGTCCGTCCAATAATAAAATGCTCTTTCAATCCAGCAAACATTCTTTCCCCACAAGGAAATAACCTCACTCTACTTTCCTCCGACAACGGATTAACCTCACCGCAGCATACATACATACATAAGTTTATACATAATTAAAATATCTAGAACTACTTAAGACCACACTGTTCCAGAAAAACGTTTAAGCCGTATATATTTACAACCTTGCATCTTCACGTATAAAAGGCAAACCTTCCTCAAGACAGGATCAGTATTAATCTCACCCACCACATTTCCAGCGACCCAGTTATTACATAAACATCACCATCCTCAGCCTTCATCAGTTGTGCATCATACACTGTCCACTAATAAAGTGAAAAACATATACAAGTTAAAAATCGGAGCCAACCTTCTTCGGATTGTGACCGGTTGCCTCCAGTTTTCACAGCGCACGTGAATAAATAAGATGGTAAATTGTTTAACAAATTTTTACTGAAACGTATGTAAGGTTTGTCCGATAAGGAAAGTAACTAAATTGAAATTTAATTAATTTGGTTGTCTTATTATTCGTCGTTGCTAGGCGTCACTGTCCTAACCGGTTTTTCATTCTGATACTTTTGTATCAACATGTCCCTCCAAGACTTTAAGGCCACCCTGGCTGACCTCACCGCCCGGATTAAGCGGTTCGACACTGCTCTGGGCAATCATGACAGTGGGGCGGTCTCTTTGTCACGAAGGACCGCTAAACTCCAACATGCCGAGGTCAAGAAACTTAAATACTTTTAGTCAGCTTGTACAACTTTTGCCACCAATACCTCTCCCGGGATAAAATCAACCCGACGGACCTCTTCACCGTACGAGACGTGGCGATTGCTCTGGTCTCTCGGGCGGAAACTGAGCTTGGTGTCGTGAGGAGACGTACCGCCCAACTGGTTAAAGATCTGTCCCTGGTCAGCGGCCTTAAACCGGGAAAAGAATTCTTAAATGGATTCACTGGCAAGTGGCCAAAGTTCAAATCTACGCGTGTCACTGGTTCTAGGAAATTTGACGCATGTAAAAAATTTGGGCTTTTGAAACAGGTCATGAATAAGAGTCGTCCCGCCAAGTTTCAGGGTCCAGCCAAGTTCATGGGTCTCGCCAAGGCCACCTGTATCAAGAATCCCGCCCAGGATCTGCTCCAACTTTTAGAGCAAAACAGGACCATTTCCAGGAACCGTTTGTCATCCCGCAATGAAAATTTGGGCCTCCCCCAACTCCTTGCCGCCGTCCGAACTACCCGCGCTCAACTGGAGGCCATCCCGCCTGGCAGACTCACTCAGGTAGAACAGTTCTACATCCACTTCCTCTTGAGTCGTGTGGACATTAGAACGATTCAGGAATTTGAGCAAATTCTGACCAACCATGCGTTGAACAGGCTCATTTCCTGGCTCGATCTTGCCAAAGAAATGTGCCAGTCGACTAACTCCCGGGTAAATACCCGCGGCAAGTGCGACCCAGGAGAGCGGGGACGCAGCTCTCGGCGGCCGTGTAACCGAGGACACCACACTCGTCGAGGGTACTCACGTCTCACTAAATGTTTGCTACGTTGCGTTGCGACTCATTTAGCTAGTTTGCGAAGGCCTAAGACTCCGTGTCGTAAGGGGATTCGCAAAATATAATAATTTAAAAGGGAAATTTGCATGGATATATGTAGTAACAATTTCAATTATCTTGTTATGTTTTGCATAATGTAAAGGGTGTTAATAAAGTCCGATCCCATGCATTTTTTGGAGCGTGGTTGTTACAAATTCAGCTGGAACTTTTGAACCAGTGAAGTTATTTATTTCAAATTTTTACCATGGGAGGAACAACTAAACGTGTAAGTCATGAGCATCTTAGAGTTGAGATACAAACATTGCATCAGCAGGGGCTTAAACCTACAGAAATTGTGCAAAAATTGGGCTGCAGCCGCAGAACTGTTTGGAAATGGAAGAATAAAAATTTTGTCCACGACAAAAAGCGACCAGGGCGACCCAGAAAGGTGTCACCTACCACAAAAAGAATGATTAAAAACAGACTTTGCAAGAAAACCGGTAGTTCATTACGTAATTGAGCAAGGGAGTTAAATGACTCAAAACGCTATAAAGAGAAGAAGAAGCAAATTAACTGTGTGACCGTGCAAAAATTTGTGAAAACTACGAAGTGGGGTCACACAGCTTACAAACTAACCAAAAAAACCTCTCATGTCACAAAAATATATCGATGACCGTCTGAAATTTGAAGAACTCCTTCAGAAAAGTGCCCATTTGAGTGAAAAAAGACTTGGTGAAGAATTGCGCAGTCACATCCTTTGGACTGACGAATCTATTATTGAACTATATCCAAAATTGAACCAACAAAATGTTCGTTACAGGACAGAAAACAAATCGGATGTACCATCAAGAGCGATCCCAAAATTCGGGCTTAAAGTTATGGTAGCGGGTGGATTTTGTGCACGTTGCGTGACCCCTCTACATATCATACCAAAAGGCCAATCAGTCAATGCAAAGCATTATATGGAAAAAATATTACCTATCTATTTCGATAGCATGGGGAACAAGGAAATATTTCCGAATGAAAGAAAAATAGTTTTCATGCAGGATGGTGCTATAGCCCATACAGCAAAAGCGAGTTTGAGTCTCATCAAGACGCAAGTTTCAACGGTCTGGAGCAAGGGGGTGTGGGCCGCTAACGGCCCAGATTTGAATCCCCTGAAGAACCAGTGGTCCATACTTAAGGAAAATGTATACAAAGAGCCACAACCCCGGACGAGGGAAGAGCTAGTAAAAAAAAGTTCAAGATGTATGGAATTCGATTTCCAGAGGCACATTGGAAAAATTAGCACAGAGCCTTAAACAAAGAGTTGAGGGCATGGTTAAAGTAAATGGTAACAAGACCAAATACTAAGGTAAATATGTCGAACATTTTTTGTAAGTATCACGGGTAGTTTTTTTTTATACTAGCCTTCACTTTTTTACAGGAAAAATGGGATCGGACTTTATTAACACCCTGTATTTACAAATTATATCACTTTTTGTAGAGAAGATTAGTTTAATAATTATTTAAGTTTCCGAATCAAATAAGAACATTGCTGTGTAAATTTTCTATATTTAGGCAATCTCCTTATTATGCAATTTTTGGTAAAGTTAGCGTAATTTTGCAAGTTATTCTTGTTGCACCCAAATGAGCCATAAGGAGTACATTTGTTATATATAAATAAGCTAAACAATAGTTTGCGATGTACAAGGAGACTACCTAAATTCACTTTAACATACATATTTACATAATATTTACAGTATGCACTAATTACCATAAACCTTTTATGTAAATTGCGGGTTCTGCCCTGGTGCTACATTTATACATGTTTACTATGTTTAACTAAATCGGAACCATTTTTGGATAAGAACGATTTATTATTAGTTTGTTGTGTATTTATTTAGATTACCCACATGCGTTTAATTGGACCTTGTATGTACATATGTAAATACTTGTTGTCTCATAAAATACTTATAAATTTCCTGAATAAAAGATAAACAATAATGAATCACAACATAATTACAAAACAGATTAATTGCACATCATCATCATTGTGCTTTCTTAAGTATATATGTACTTAAATATTTTCATACGTCCAATTTAATCACGACTAAACTCTTCATTAAAAAATATATTTACATACATTTGCATACATGCATAAAAAAAGTACATGTTTATAAGATTTCGCTTTCCAAGGTTTTTCAATAAAGCAATGGGATTTATCTATAATCGAAAATTAACAGAACAAATGACCCTGCATTTCGCAAGATTATTGGAAAAAGTTTTTTACATAAATTTTGACATTTATGAGTTTGGCTTGAGTAGGCCTAATTTTTTGTTCATGTTATGCACCTGCATATAGATGCACATTGTACTTATGATTCCCGTTATAATTTGAGTTTGAACAACCATAAAATAATTCATTAGCAACCTTACAAAAATTCCATAACAATGTCACAAACAGGGTAGTAGAAATCTCATTTCACCTTCGTAAATCTCATCTCACTGAGATATAATGAGAACTAATGCGACATGAGAAATATGAGATATAGTGAGATTTGTGAGCTATGCACTAGCGCCACCTAGCGGACGGGGTCATGAACTACAGGTTAATCTCATTATTTCTCATATTTCTCACTCAGTCCCAACTGAGATGATTGACATAAATCATCAAATCTCACTAAATCTCACTAGGTGATATATACCGCTTGCAACCCTGGTCACAAACGTCCATGGCAACTGCAATAAACCATTATACATCAAAATCGTTAGAGTGCGAAAAAAGACTCATTGTACAAATCTATGTATTCTTAAATGTTTTTATTATACATAATTCCAAGATAATCTTGACACATTTGGGTAAAACTTTCCATGCGGCTCGTGTAGTTTATTGAACGATGACTATATATATGTATTTATTTATGTGTGTGATTATGTAACTCGGTGGCGTAAATGTGACCGTAAAACTGTAAATAAGGGCAACGTGGTCACAAAATAGTTACTTGGTTATAGTCATTTATTTGTCACACAAATGGGCCAATAATTACAAAATTTTAGAGTGTTCAATGAGACGAGGGGAAAAAATGTATTGCTATTCTGATAGTTGGAGAGACACTGAATTATTTCAAAACGAACTTCACATTAAAAGGCAATTCACTGCCAGAAAGGACGCCAACTTTCTGGCAAAGAGAAAGTCTCCTCACCCACACCAGCCAATGGCAGAAGTCCACACAATTTTGGAGGTGGGGTCCAGGAGGTCACGATAAGGTTCAAAAAACTTTACAATGATAAAAACTGGGCAAAGTTCCAGGGAAAAACGTGCAACGAAAAGGCACATTCATATTTACCAAAGATATACATGATATATGTAGATACACCAAAGATTCATTTTCATATCATGCTTAATATCATAATCCTCATAATTTAGTCAATATTCATAAAATCATTAGCATCATAATTTAGTCAATACATTCTTAGAAAAATTAATAACCGTTGGTATTGATACGTGACTTTACCGCGTGGTATTGATCCGGTATTGAATTAAGACTACGTGGTAAAAAATTTGATACCAATTAGTATTGAAATTATTACTATGAGGTATAATTTCAATACCAGTTCTATACCAATATGGTATAACCGTTTAATACCAGCCCGGTAGAGTCACATATCAATACCGTTAGGTTTTTTTCAATACCAGGTTTCTAACAATGCGATGACGCCAGCGGTCTCGCTCCGATTTTGATGAAACTTGGATAATTATGTAGCCTTAGGTAAATAATTGAACACATGTTTCGGGATTTTTTATAATGCTCAGTTTAAACAAAGTTATGATGGTATAAGTGGCCGAAAATTCGCATTTTTCTCCCTCAAAAACCAAAAAGAAAAACTTCACGAGAAAAATGCGAATTTTCGGCCACTTATACCATCATAACTTTGTTTAAACTGAGCATTATAAAAAATCCCGAAACATGTGTTCAATTATTTACCTAAGGCTACATAATTATCCAAGTTTCATCAAAATCGGAGCGAGACCGCTGGCGTCATCGCATTGTAAGAGTGTAGTCATAAAAATAATTATTTAAATTTCTCGACGACAGCTCGTCGTTTAGACGGGGTTATCGGCTAGTAATATTGTAAGACATCAAATTATCCTTCAGATTGTCGGGCTCCCTTAATAGGTTCAAATTATATAAAATATGTAGGTCCAAATTAATCAATCACCTCCGCCTCTAGGTTTGTAAATATTTTCACCACGTCACTACAAATCAAAATAACTTAATTTAAATTTCATCCCCAATTTTGATTTTTTTTCTTAATTTTTACCAAATGCCACCATTCCAATCGCAACAGCGACTACGCCCTCCCCCAAATTTCTTACCCCTGTCCCCGTAGATGTCCCCCGACACTGTCTCCCACTACAAGTTGCTCCATTTGCACAGCAATTCGCCCCACAGCAAATCGACCCGGTTCGGCAACAGTCCCCATTGCTACATTCGAAAAACCCAGGTTGACACGAGGGTGTCGGGCTGCGACATGGCCCCCCAATAAGACAGGCCCCATTAAGACAGCAATATTTCCCACAGCAAATCGACCCGGTCGGGCAACAGTCCCCATCACTGCACTTGTAATACCCGGGTCGACACGAGGGGGTAGTGGTGCGACAAGTCCCCCCAATACAGGAAGTCCCATTAATGCAGCAATACCTCCCACAACATCTTGACGCCATCGGACAACAGTAAATCCCATCGGGACATTCGAAATACCCGGGTGGGCAGGATTGCAAACCGTGTACGTCCGTTTGAACCGGGACTTCATCCAGAGTGTACAAACTTTGGTTGGAATAATGTACCGGAGAAGATGCTAACTCTTGAGTTTTTGATGCTGGAAATTTATTTTCAGTATTTCCTGCACTAATTTTGCAAATTATGGAGAGAACAATTAAGCCAACGGAAATAAGCTGGGGGGAAATTGATGGAAACATGTTTTTTATGATATGGATAAGTACAGGTCAAGTAAATTATGGCAGTAAAACTGACTACGTAGACGGGAAAATTGTTCGTATTTAAGCAACTAAAAAATACGTAATCTACTTAAATGATTCTCAATTCCTAATAAAGTTGGCACTGGAATTTATGTAGCTGATTACGGAATATCAGCACCTCCAAAAATTTAGATATTGCTAATCAATCACTTCATCATGCATCGTTGTATAAACTGTTGTCATGCGTATTTTACATATTGGCCTGGCCGTTGAGTCGAATGGGATTAAGTAATTGGATATTAATTTACTCACTCTGGACGCAATTGAAATTTATGCAAGCGTTTGAAGTTAGTTCGTCCGGTGAGATTGCACAAATCGACTAGTTGGAGCCCGTCTGGTGACATTTCTCCTGATAAAGAACTTAGCTCCATGTGATTGTGATCTTATAGCCCTGTCAAACATTACGACATAGCAATTCCTGGCTAATCACCGTTAGTAGATAGCAATGCGCCTTCGTACTTATGCAAGAATTCAGTCCAGGTCGTGGTGTGGGAATGATGAGCATCAATTATATGAAATGACATAATCGAATACGTACACTGCTAAAAATCTTGTCACGTAGATATTCCGTGCTGGTATTGGCTTGGTAATAATTTCCTACCGGATTGGTAGTAAATTGTGGTCGAGGGGTAAATTTTTCATTACTGAACCATTTGTGTACCGTCGATTAAAAGGTTTGATTTCTTCCGGGATTTATCACCGGGTGGAGAAATGGTTTAGGAAAACTAGACCAAAAAAGGTATTCGTGCATTATGCTAGTTGGACAAAGCTGATTGTAAATGAGTTTTATGAAAAGAAAAACATTTTCTACCGATGTTTGGATATATTTAATCACCAACTGTGACCGGTTTCGCAATTGTTTAATGCTTCATCAGATCTTTTATCTAGTCAGACACGAATTATATAGTTTGATAAACTTCCACTATATATTTACCTCGTTAGCTGACGGCCACAGACTTTATCTTCATAAAGCCAATTCGTAAAGCGATTGGTAGTCCAGCATAAATAACTCTAAGTTTCCTTCTGTAGGTTGTTACTTAGAAGAGCAGGAATTATTCAGCTCCACTTGATGCGTCAATATGAGATTTTCAAAATTCCAAAAAAGATGAGCCGGCAGACAATCTCCAATACCATCAACTGGTACTAGGGCATCCAGAATCGGAAAATTTTGAAAAACCGGTTTTCGATTTTTCCGATTTTGGAAAACTTTCGTAAAACCGGTTTTCGATTTTTCCGGTTTTTTAAATTTTCGTAAATCCGGTTTTCGATTTTCTCCAAAACCGGTTTTCTACAAAATTTTAAAAATGGGTTAAATATAATGGCTAGAATTTAAAGTTGAACAAACGTTTCGCATTAATTTGGAAAGAAATATTTCAGTACAATTTATTTTTGCATGAAAAACAAGAAATGACTAATACTTTGTAGTTCTAAAACAATTTTTATCAAAAATCGAAAACGGGTTTTCGAGTGTGATAAAACCGGTTTTTTTACAAAACCGTTTTTCTGGAAAATGATAAAACCGGTTTTCGGGTAACTTGAAACCCGGTTTTTAACCGGTTTCACAAAATCGGAAAACCCGGTTTTGGATGCCCTAAATGGTACATGGAACCTGGGGGTATAAAGGACAGAAAAAGATCCGGTCGACCTTGGAGTATAAGGACCCCAGCCATGGTGAAAGCGCTGAAAGCAAGGGTCCGAGGAAATCCGTACCGATCTCAGAAAAAGTTAGCCTAACAAATGAAGGTCTTACAACGCAAGTCTTTACGTGTACAACTCAGATCTCAATGGGACCAATTTTATCTTGTTCACCACAAAAAATAAGCATGTCCGTATTTTTGCATTTTTCCTAATGCGCTAATTTGAGCGCGAGGCGCGAATTTTAAACTCTTTTCCAGCCACAACCTCGGTTTTTAAAAATTCTGTAAATTTTCGAATTTTAGCGCGAATCCAAAAATTTATGTCTCTTCAGAATAATTTTCCTAACTTTGTATTTACTATGGAGGAAATATTCAACAAACAGGACGACTGAATATATGTATGCTCAGCGGAAACTAGAGATCTCCTACCACGAAGAAAATGACGAAGATTTCATCCTCCTAACTCCGTGATGGGATATAGATGGGATGCATTAAAATTAGTCAGTTGGAGAACGCGAGACGCTGTTTTTCTCCAGAAAGGGCTGCAGTGGAGGCCAAGAATTACATTAACAGTTTCCAAATTTGAAAAACCTTCAGAAAACTTTCGGAGTCTGGCCTATTTAAAACTCGAAAATGAATTTCAAAACAGGTCGCGGCCATATGGTAAATTGGGAGAAAATGAATGCCCTCTTGCCGTTTTATGTACAAAATTACTTCAATATGTAAATATGATTCATTAATTTAGTTTGTACGTTATTTAAATATAGGAAATGTGATTTTTTATTTTCTCTTCGTACGTACATTTCCAATCAGTAATTTTTTTACAATTATATTTGCATAAATACATTTTGCTACGTTATAAATATTTATTTCCTCCCAACCAACTTTTCACTCATCTCCCATAAAGTTGCGGCATCCTCCTCGCTCAACTTGGTTCGCTTACTGTAATCCCAAAATTCGCAATTTCTATACATTTCTCCACTATGGTGCGACAGGTGCTTCGATAGGGCACAAAACATCGTGGTTTGGGCACTCTGTAAAAAATAATTATAAAATTACATCCCATATTTTTTTGCATTTTAAATTACATAAACTCCGTTTCACATTTCGTGAGTTCATCAAATTGAGCACATATATTAGCCTAATTATTTTATAATTTGACACCACCTATTTTTATTTTTTTAAATTTCGTATGATTTTCACGCCAAAATAAAAAGAACTGTCAAATCATAAAATAATTCGGCTAATGCACTCAATCTGATGAACTCACGAAGTGTGAAACGGAGTTAAATCCACTTTTTTTTTACCTCTTTTGCATTTTTCCCCATGGCAAATTTCACCACCGGAAAGAGCACATGTTTAACCAAATAGGGTTCCGGATTCGCCCTCAGTTTTGCGCTTTCCTTGCCAATATTCGTGGTCACGATGCCCGGGCAGAGCGCGTAGCACGTGACATTCGCATTTTTTTCGGACCTTAACCTTTTAGCGAGTTCCAGGTTGAACAGATTATTCGCCAATTTAGAATTGCAGTAAAGTTTTGGCGTGAATTTCCAATCGTCCAGGGGCGTTTTTTCGTACATCAAGTCGTGAAATTGAAGAGCGCCCCAATTGTGCACGCCGGATGAGACGATGACCACGCGACTCGGCTCGGAAGGATTTTGCGCTCCAGTTTTCTTCAGTTCGGGGAGGAGAAGGTCGGTGAGGAGAAAGTGGGCGAGATGATTTACGCCGAAAGTCTCTTCAAAACCGTCCTCCGTCAGGTTCCTGACGCCGACGGGATTTATGAGACCCGCATTATTGACAAGGATGGACAGACTGGAGGGATATTTTTGGATAAAATCGGCACAAAATGATCGCACGGAGGAGAGTGAGGAAAGATTGAGGTGCATTATGATCTGAAGGAAAGATTTAATTGGACATTAAAGAATTCACAAAAGCACATAATTTTCAGTTTGGAAATACAACGTTAGAAATCCGGTAAGGATTGATTTCTCGGTAGTAAAGTTGCTACCGCTTGGTACCAAAATTAAGTATACCGGTCCGTAAACACACTCTTAATAATCCGGTAAAGTCACCTGGGTAATGATTGCTCGGTAATAAATTTGGTAATAATGTTTTACCAGGTAGTAAAAGTTCGTTACCATGATGGTAAAACTTTATTACCAGGCCATTACCACACGATACAACTTTTCACTACCACTTTGGTAGAGTCATATACTTGTGCTTCTGGGTAACGTTTATTACCAGATTATTTACAGTGCATTTGATATGTTATAAAACTTTAATACCGGGTTATTACTATACGGTGTTATTTATGAAAACCACGTAGATAGAGTCATATATGAATATGGTATTATTATAATACTGAATTTCTAAGAGTGTAGTTTCTAGGAATTTTTTGTCTACATAAATATAAAATTTCGAATTTATTTATTTACGTACCAGTTCCCCATTCCTTGTCCTAGAGCGGATATCGTCCACAACTTTTTCTGCTTTTTGCACATTTCTACACGCCAGGATTACTCTTGCCCCACGGGTGGCAAACTCCTCCACGGTCGCTTTACCAATTCCATCCGAGGCCCCGGTGACAATTACGGTCTTCCCTGAGACATCTACCTCATTTGTGGGATCCACCTGACCACGCAATTTTTTAACAATGATTCGTGTCGCTATGAGGATAATAGCAGGAATTATGGCGAAGTAGAGAAGCGCACACCAAAGAAATGAAGTGATACAGGAAAGCATTTTGGGAGAAATTTCCGAAATTCATCCGAGAAAATAAACCGGTGGGGATTGAACCGAGTTGAAATTGGGAATGGGCTCCTCTACATAAACGTGGAATAGAAGATGATGAGAGTGCAAAAAATGATTGCTAAATTGCAAAGTCACTGTCATGTGGCATAAATTTGTGTGCGTGACGTTATGCTAAATATGTACATATGCACCATGTATGATTTTTATTGTGGCCTTGTCCATATCGATACAAACTTATTGAGTGCATTTGCCAATATTGGAATTTATACAGGACTCTACATATGTAAATATAATAAATATGTATTCATCGTTCTTTACGCATTTGATCTGCCAAAATATTCTCTTGACTGATGTGTAAGTAAGCTTATTAGGGACATAAAATAGTTGGTGAGGAGTACAACGTGTGTTAAACTGAACTGGAGTAGATTAGTTTTTATCTGCTTGACAGCGTGACCACAATCAAGTCTACAGCAAATTGCATAAGTAATGCAAATTGCATCATTGGTAATTGTGTTACTTACATACATATTTACCTATGTTATGAATGTACATACTTGATCTGTATACAGAATATAATCTCCAAAACACAAGCGAACACATAAACGAACATACATAATTCCTATAACTAGTTTTTCTAATTGTAGTATTTTTCTCAAATTCTGCCTGTTTCATGGTGATAATGATTCTGTTATTAACAAGTAGACCGATTTTACAGGATTAAAATAAATTTATTCAGTTAAAGGGTTAAATCACTTTGCAATGGATATGGACTGGTCGGTGAAGTTAAGTGTCAGGGTTCCCCCTATTGGTTCAACCAGTTAACAGTTAATTTTGCATATGTAAAAATCGTAAAAATTGGCAAATTGGATTAGCTTTCTAAAACCGAAAACAGAATTTAATTATCTCTTTTCGTTAGAAAATGACAGCACAAAATGTAGAGGAGGTGGGAAAATTAGTTTGCCACTCGTGCAAAAAAGTGATTTTCTCGGATCGGGAAAAGGCTCGTGATCACCCCACTTTTAAAGGGATGCACCGGACAAAATTCACCATACACTATACGTATCTAAGGATCGTGAAAATTCAAAATACAAAATTTTACATTGCCGACCTGTCCGCCAGGAGACCAATATACTGACGAAAAACGTGGAAAAACTTTTACAGAAAAAAGCAACAGATCCGTGAGGGTTGCACCCAGACAACTAAAAATTTCAAAAACATATCTTCGCAAGATCAAAGCCAATAAGATGGGCTTCAAGAATTACAACACTTTAACTGGGCCAAAACACAATGACGATGAAAAGGCCGGAGCTAAAACAATTTGTCGAAAACTTGTTGAGAAAATGTTAAAATCGACTCCCAGAAGTTTGTCGTCGTGGATGATGAAAACTACTGCCACGTTGACCTCGGAGCGTCAATCCTGTAAAGCTCTACTCATGTAGAAGTAAAAATGACGTTCGTTCGACATATAAATTCAAAGCCAAGCAAAATTACCAATGAAACACATAAAATGGCTGGCGGTCGACAAAAATCAGCATCTGCAATCCATTCGCTTCAACCAAGAATATGAACTTTGAACTTTATTTGAAAGAGTGTATCATCAAGAGATTGACCTCCTCTAACAAAAACCAACACGTTTTATTTTGACCTGACATGACTACGTGCCAGAATGCCAAAATAGTGACAGGGTCCCATGGAGAGAAAAAAACTGATTTCTTCGAGAAAAAAGACATGGGTCCAAACGTACCTCAATGTTCGTCAATTGAGAGATTTTGGGCACTAGTTGAGAAACAATATACTCAGAAAGAAAGCACACCAACAAATTTCAAAAAAATTCTACGGGTTATGGAGAAATTCATCATAGAAGTTGGTGAAACGAGTGGCAAAGCGCTCATTAGAGGTCCTCGACAAAGTCTTCTCTCCACCGGTACGGAAGGGGTATTTGGCCAACTGAAGGATTAAAAAACTTCGGTCTGGTCATCGTTAATATCCCATAAGTTTCGTTAGATTTGATTCATGCATTCATTTTTTGTAGGTTAAAATAGCTTGACACTTAACTTCACCGACCAGTCCATATTTGCACACAATTTAGGCATTTGTTAACAATGGCATTAAAGGCGTAATAGTTTTAAGTAGACATGATAAATTTCATTAAACATTTTTCCTTGTTCTTAAAAATTGAAGTTATGTAAATACGTACATTGTCCTGCTAAGCTGCAAATATACTCACGAGTACTGAGGATGAGCCGATGAAGGAGGAAAGTTGCGGAGTCTCGGTTTCAAGTACACTCAAAATAAAAATTTGTCGAATCAACACCGGCGGTGTCAATATATGACTTAACCGCCTTGGTTACAATGTTGAATCCGAGTTATGATGATTTTGATACCGGTAGATGTTATGTTAGAAATAGATGTTACAATGTTAGATGTAGATGTTACAATGTTATGACCGGACGGAATAAATTCATTACTACTCGGAATCACAATCGTAACCAAGGCGGTTAAGTCATATATTGACACCGTTTTGTTTTGAGTGTAGTGGTACATACATAGTTGAAGAATAATAAACTGTAATAATTGAAGAAGAGTTACATAGTGTCCAGGTTGAACTTGGGTGCATTCTATCATTTTGATTTTACATACTTCTCGTACACTTAAAAATATGGCCAAGTTACATGTTTATACATTGCCATAACATTACTCGACGGTAATGCCCGTACCTACCGGGCATGTTCTCCGGTCAGTAATGACTCAATACCATTTTGATGAGTGTACATACATACCCCTGTCAACCAACGTTTGCAACTTGTTGCGAATTTTCGGTTGTGAAAACTTTGAACGGAAGTTGAAAAGCAAAATGGAACCTTATTATTTCCCTATGCATACAAAATTATATTTTCATTCCACAGTTTACATTTTACATGTTTACCATCATCAACAAGTTAATTAGATATTCGTCGTTTTCGTGGAAAATGCTGTCCCTTGTGTGCCACTTGGTTATAAACTTTTCCCCGCAAGGACACAATTTGAATTTCGCTGAAACTAATGAAAGTATTTTTCGTACGGAAATATGGTAGGCATACAGATACATATGTAAATATGTATTTAGCTTCCCATAATAATCCAATTTTGACCGATCTTATCTTCAAATAATCCCAAATTTGTTATTATGTTTTCCACGAAACCATTAAATCCATTAATGACAAAAATTGACTAGTTTTATCCCTACCACGTACACATACTTATTTATAATGAAATGATTCATGGTCATATGTATTTACTTGTATACTTATATGTGTAAATATACATACATATGCAATAACAGAAATTGCATAGTCCACTAATCATGCATCACCTTAAATGTTTTTTTAAATATTTTTCTGGTGTCTGCCTTGATGGTAATCAAACAAAATCTTCTAAAATTTGACAAGTTTTTGACGGTTAAAAATGAAGGTAAGCTACATATGTGCATCTTACTCACACGTCACTATTGAGGCTATAAGCTGATGCAAATGTAATTCCAAATATTGATTGGACTTAATTTAATAGAATATCTACATATTGACAAACTTAATCTGTAGCGTCAAAAAGATCATCACGCGGATTAATGGGACACACTCCAAGTTTGCTACATAAGGATTAAATATAAATATATTATGGTAGATATATCAGAAACAAGTTTTGTAATTTAAACTATTCCCCAAAATATTTGTTTTCAAGCGCATTTTTCAACTTTTGCATAATCTGAACATTATTTTAATTCCGAGGTAAAATGTATCCGAAGTACTTCATCGTACAGATACTGCTAACCATGGTGTCCCCAACGTTCGGTCTGGGCGACCTCCCCTCCGGCAATTTTGGTCACTTTGGTCCCTGCATATTGAAATTTTTGAACTTTGAACACCTTGACCTAACCGAGAACCTCATCCATGCCAACAATCCGGCAAACCTGATCTACACGGTCAGCGGGCGATACAACGTGTCTACCCCAGATATTCAAGACCAGAAAGACCTGCTTGACTTCAAGTTTTATGAAATCTGCACAATCACAGTTTTCACTAACATAGAAATCCAAGACAACAGATTTCGGTCTGACTATTCACACGGCACAAGGGACGGTAACAGAGGCCGAAAACATTCTATAATTATCCTAATTTCTCAACTGCCCCCACAAGACGTAATATTGCTTCGATCCAGGGGTGATTTCAGCATCCCGAGCACAATCTTTGCCATTTATGCGAAAACAATGGAGTGGTTTTTTGTCTGCGCTTACTGCCGAAATGTTTTTCTTCCGATTTTCTATACCCACAAGGTTAAAAGGTTAACGGTAAATTCGCTTCGTACCCAGTGGCTTGACGACGTCTACATCGCGGTCATATTAGTGCAGGTTCGTGAGCACAGTGCGCTCTGTGGCAAGGGGCAATACCACATTTCCCCACTAAGAAAATTCTGCAGCACGGAGGAGAGACAATATCTAACGTTAAGTGACATACTGAATTTGACTTTTGTACCGTCCATCACCTTCAGCCATAGATGGGGCTACTTTCACGAAAATATCCATGTTAGTAAATTCTATTATGTTCATATTAATATAGTGGTTTCCCTGGAACCTGAGGGGTTTAACGCGCTGCACTGTAATTTCAATGTTTGGTCCGAAAGGTCGGATTTGCACGTGTGGGTGTCAGCCTTTGGAAAAGAGGTGTGGCTGGGTTGCGCTGGAATGGTGGGTGTTTTAGTGCTAGGGAGAATTTTTAAAGACCTCTTCCACCTCGCAAAGATTAGAATGATGGTAAAAAACGTGGCTGAGGTAGTTTTCTCGATTTGTGCGACGTTTGTCCGACAAGCGTCGACTAGTAAGTATCTCTCCGTGTGGATCTTTGTATCCCTCCTGTTTTCAAGTTTTATACTCCTTGCTCAGTATGAGATATACTTAACGGCTAATTTGGTGATTCCACCACCAGCAGAGAAATTTGGCACGCTTCGTGCCTTTTTTGATAAGGGGTATACCCTTGTTTATCGATCGGAGGAGTATGTGGGAATGTTTTCAGTCCGTTCCAAACTGGAGGAGGAATTTGCTCGGAACTC